GGGAAGGTGTGTAAGTGTTAGTCGTGTGGGGATGCCCCCTCACGGGGGCGTACGTGTCTTTTGGTGTATTTGTCTGTCTGGTATATTGTTTGTCGGGGGTCGCAATTTTAAAGAAATGTATTCTAAAGTAATGCAAATAACTGATAAATAAGTAAAAACTTACCTGGGCATAACCCCGGCACAGGTGCTGTAACAAAGATGCCGACGGCGTCTATGCTTAAGCCGGGGATTAGGTCGGTGATTAAAAGGAAAGAAAGGGATTCTTTCCAGGTAGCCTTAATAAAGGCAGGTAGAATTTGCTCCTTGCACTACACTTTCACAAAGCACGTGTGCTCTGGTCGGCTGCCCGCTAGGAACTGCGCCCGTAGCGTCCCTAGAAAAGTGGATGCGCACTCGTCGAAGCTCATTCTCCCCTACTCCATATCTCTGGGGCGAGACTTACCCAATGATAGACAAAAATCGTTCCCGCCCGTTGCATTAACGAGCTGATTATTTTTTAAGCTGTGATCAAGGAATCAACAGCCAACAGTTTATTCAAATCCACATTTATAATTTTCGTCTTTGCTTGAGAAAACAGACTTATTTATATTAAAATTATTGCATAAATTGCGTAACGAGTTTGTAGTGTTTACGAAGATAGTGTGCCCGGACTGCCCGGGTACAATAAAGAAATGCCGACTTGTACAATAAAGAGACGCCGACTTTTAGTTTTTATACGGTTTCAATATCTTCGTAAACACTAATAGCCGGATTCATGAAAGGGTCGTAAGGCGTTAGTCGGATTAAGGAGTTTTGCGCCCGTGTAAACGTATTCACAAAAAATGCGCTTCCCTTGGGCTAATAGTTACGTCAAAGTTTAGACCTTCTACATGACATGCATAAAAATCGTGCAACTTAAGGTGTTGTTTATTAAGTTCATTGCATTTTATTTTTTTAATTGCAATATATTATTATAAGTATTTTCAGTGCTTCATAATAGTTTAATCACAAGACAATAGACGTGGCATTATAATAGTTGCGCCTTCTTCGTGCACTTTTTGTGAATGGGACTACGCTTTTTATTTAAATTCGCGCAACATGGGCGCAAAATTTTTGCGCAACTTCCGCTAATCAGACTAACGTTACGCCTCGATGAATCCGTGTATATATGTATATGTATACAGGGCTCTTCCATAGAACTCATTTTTTAACTACTAAAATAATACCGCAACTATTTAAAGGAGAGCGTGAGCAGGATTGTGTGCAATTGCCAAATGTCTGATTTTGTAAAAGACCGCGATCAGCTCAGCCCAAAACGGACCGCGATGCGACGGGACTGCGACCGCCTAATGCGTTCTCTCCTTTACGGAGTGTATACACTCTACACTCCATAAGTTAGCCATACAGAGTTACAATTCTTAGGGAAAATTGGTTAAGCATTAATCAGTTTTAGTTAGTTCCGAAAGATGGCAGCAGCTGTATTATTTTATGACTTAAACTAAGGAAGACTAGTGAAGTTAGTCAATAATGCTAATAGTTCTTTATATTGTGTATGATAGGTTCCAAGGGTTCTGCTGAAGCTTTCCAATAAGCAAGTGGAGCACTCCTCAAGTACTTCAAATTAACTTTTAGCATTCCAGTTGCCTGAAAACTGCACCTGAAGTACATTCTGTCAATTGGAAAGCAGCTAATTACTCATAAATTTACCTATGAAATGGAAAAAACAAAAAACTAAAGGATTAATTCATTTTTTTTTTCAATTAACAAATGTCAGGTAAAAGTATTTCTCAAAAAATGTATGTTGATTGAATTTAATAATCTTAAAGAATTCAAATTTAAAATGAGAATATGTTTTGAACCAATAAGGAGTATAAAACATTAGGTTATAACAAAGTGAAACAGTAGAAAGTGTTTTAAAACTTTTTTACATTGTTAATGTTTTATTTTTATTGCCAAAGTTATAAATAAACTTTGGATAAAAAAACTTTGCTGATTTTATATGAACACTTAATATAGGGTTTACAACAGCGTTGCCGGATTTTGAAACTTTCTGAATAAATAAGCGGGATCCTTTCATCCAAAAACGGGACATCTATTTCATGACAGACCCGGAGTCATGACGCGTCTCAGGATATCTGGGTAACATATTGTTACACAGACCAGCCGGCGAAGCAAGAAGAGCGCCAGAAGGGCCCTAGCCAGCGGGGCCCAGCCAGGACAAAAGGAAGTCCCACAAAGCGCCTACACCGGCCGCATTTGCGGTCGGGGTAGACGACGGATGGGGCCCACCTACGAAGGCTGTCCAGGCCTACACGAGATGAGGCAGAATAAAGAGGGATAATCCCCCTCGATCCCAAATCATCGAGGCCAATTTCTAGCCATGGAATAATGGCGCGCGCGCGCGTGGCGCGGGTAACATATTGTTTTTAAAGAAATTGATGTCTAAAAAAAAAGGACGAACTCGGGAAATATCTACTTAATAACAGACCTGGAGAAAATAATTAATGCCTACAAAAAAAAAACAAAACAAGAGCAGGAAAAGTGCGACTGAGCCTGTCCCGCGCGGAACATTTAAATTTGGGTTAAAAATCGGGACGTCTGGCAACGCTGGTTTACAAAGAAGTGGTATTTACAATTCCTTTGTAAAATTACATTTAAAAGTGAAACATGATCATGTATTTAAACATACTGAAATGTTCCAATTAAATCAGACGTTTATGATAAGTTTGAGGGAGTTTCTGATAATGTACTGAAACATTTCTTTCATAAATGTCATATATTTCAAATATATCTGAAACTATATGCAAAATTTTAAAATTTCAATGAAATACGTCATTTTTATAAATTTCGTAAAATTTAAAAACACTAAACAAGATAGAACAGAGAATGTATTTTTATTAAAATAAAATTTTTACAATGACAGACATCAAAGATATTTTAACATCAAGTCAACTGAAAAATAAATATGACAATTTAATTCAAAAATAAACGTAAAAAATTTCTATTCATGATTCTAAATATATAATTTAATTCCCAATTTTTTCGATTTCATCTGAGTCCTCTGCATTCAGATAATGGATTTTTCGATTGAAATGTTTCTCAATCGACTTACAAATGGCCATCGACTGATCGGAATCCACAAGGTTTATAGCGATTCCACGTTTGCCAAATCTTCCTGTGCGACCAATTCTGTGTAGATAAGTCTCACAGTCTGCTTTGCCGTGTACATCGACTGGTAAGTCGAAGTTTACAACGATGGTAACTTGTTCTACATCAATACCTAAAATATTTTCTGTTTAGGGTATGTATGCCCACAAAAATATAATCTGAAGTTTTGAAAGTTGTCGCAAATGCATAATGTATAAAGGACCTTACAAAAAAGTAGGACAAGCTGTCAACTACAGATTCTTTGGAAGAAAATAATTTTACCTTTTTCAATTAATTGAGAGCCTATTTTTCAAGACTTAAAATTAAATATTATTGTTTACGAATTTCAGTTGAAATTTTACATAATTTTGTATTCCCAGCCAGTACCAAGCCAAGCTGTATGCTAAATTTTGCCCAAAAAAAATTCCTAATACTTCCAGGTTTTCCAGTTGCTATTTCTCAATCACCAACGCTTCTTCAATTTTTTATCAATATCTCTCACGCAAATAATTAACAAAGTATGATTATATCAAAAATTATACAGTGGCCGCCATATAATTTATTACAAATAGCGAACATTTTTATTTATAATTTAAAAAAAAACTTTATCTTCTAACAACTTTTGCTTGTATGAATACCAAATAAAGACAATCTAGATATTCAACGAGATCTTTGATTTAGTAAAAAATAATAGTGCTACACAAAAAAACAAATTATTAAGAACTTTGTTGCTAAAGTTTTTACTCTCATTAAAAAATATATAAAGGGCTCAAGTTAAAAAACAGTGATTTCGAGATAAATGGCATTAAAGATTTTTTCAAATTAACCATATCTTACATATTGTACAAAAATAAGTAAATTTACCAACAAAATATACAGGGTGTCCCAGAATAACGTGTATCACGGAGGACCACAGATTCGTGGACTCAAAATAGGCAGATTTAGGCTAATTCACCTATATCCGAAATCGCGCATTTTTTTCTTTTTTTTTGATCAGTTACTGTAGCTGAAAATATAGTAATACCTCCAAATTTTTTATAACTGCATCGATTTTTCTCAAAATTTAGAATTAGGCTCATCTTACCCCCCACTTCAAAACTTATATATGCGCTAGGTGCGCTTTTTGCTCTTAAGGGGTGAAAACCACCACTTATTGGAAAAAAAGAAAAAATAAAAATTTAAGTATTTTATGTAATCAAATGTTTTTCATTTATGCAGTATGAGTAATTTCATGTGCTATCTAACATGAAGCTTAATGTGTCCCAAATTTTCAAACCCGGAAAAACCTTTAAAAACCACCCCTTTGGATGAAAATATAAAATTTTTTTCAACTTGAAACGTTTTAATCATGCATTTTTATTAAATTAAAATTGATTTGATTGTTATTAAAATTCTGAGTTTAAAAATAATTTATTGCGAAAAAACATCAGTGATGGCAGAAATTATATCAGTTACTGACAAAATTGAAATAATAAGAATTTCTGGAGAAAATGTTACATCACATGAAGCTGCAAGAATTTTTAATCACCGCCATCCCAATCGAACAGTAAGTTACAGTACAGTAGCACGAATAAAATATTTAATCATACTGGTAGTGTATCACACGTAAGACCAAAAGAATACCGACAAGCAAACTTGCACGAAAATAGGATTTTAGATGCTTTCCTAAATAATCCACGACTAAGCATACGACATACGGCATTGAGTTTGAATTTAAACAAAGAGACCATAAGAAAATGTCTAAAAAAGAATAAATTGAAGCTCTTTAAACCAAAAATTTTACACACTCTTTTAGAAGGAGGCAATTTAAGGAGGTTAGACTATGCTTTCTGGGTGCAAGGCGAATTTCTGAACGACAGAAATTTTTTGAAAAAAATTATTTTTAGCGAAACTACTTTTTCTACAAATGGTGTTGTATCGACGCAAAACTCTCGATATTGGGAAAGAGACAATTCCAGGTGGATAATAAATGCTAAGAATCAGTATGTTTATAAATTGAATGTTTGGTGCACGATTTTTAATGATCGAATTATCGGACCCTTTCTTATAGAAACTTTAAATGCCCAAAATTGTTTACGTCTTTTGGAAACAGAATTTACTGATGTTTTGGACATTCTGCCGCTAGATGCTAGACAGAATTTATATTTTATGTTAGACGGTGCTCCTGCACATAGTTCGCGAATAAATAGAAACTGGCTGAATACTAATTTTCCGTTAAAGTGGATAGGACCTCATAGCCCGCTGCAGGACTGGCCAGCCAGGTCTCCTGATCTTACACCAATGGATTTTTATTTTTGGGGTACAGTTAAAAATAAAGTTTACACCAATCGTCCACAAAACATAGAAGATTTAAAACGACGAATAAGAGAGGCATGCCGAAACATTTCTTGTGAACAACTGCGAAAAGTAAATACTCATATAAGAAAGGTAACAGAAGAATGTATAAGGAGAGATGGCGGCTACATTGAAACTAAGAAAATAAACAGAGTATTAGCTTATTTACATTTGTATTAAATGAATTTTCTGTACAACCCTGTATACGATTTGGATGAAACTTGACATGGGTATATTTTCGATGATACTGATTAAGACTAAGCATCAGCATTTCCCTATTATATTCACTAATCAAAAATACCGAAAAATCGATCCCCTTCTAATTTCCCCTAACGCACACCTATACATGTATTAAGTTTAATGATCCTCAAATGTCCACCCCATTGGTCTGCATAAGTGGTTAAAATTTGAAAAGGATTCGTCAATTAACACCTGAGTTATAGGCCTGTGTCACCTAAATCGTAGCCACACTGTTTATATTATTTATTTATTAACCCACAGAGAATGCACCGCGGAGCCCGAGGGCCAAAGACCTTTCCAGTCAACCCTTTAAAATGTTTCAATCAATTAAACTCTACTTACTGTCGATTAAGTCTTGGTACACTCACACTATGTACCAAATTTGATTTTTTTAAGTTCAAGTATAACTGAGATAACGATTTTATAAAGGTAAGTTGCGTTAAATCACCATGTTTTGGGTTCCCCTACATGCCCCTGCTCTGTGGGTTCTTATACGAAACACCCTGTATATAACACATACCTCTCGAGAGTACATTTGTTGTGATAAGAACTTTCTCCTTTCCCTGTCTAAACCTATCCAAAACGCTTATACGCTGGTCCACAGTTAAATCTCCCGAAAGTACAGCTACTGCATGACCATCTGTGGTCATTTTTCCTGACAGCCAAGAAGCTGTTTTTCTTGTCTAAAAATCATGTTTGTTGATACTATACTAAATATTCCTAATAATTTATCCTTACATGGCAGAATATTATGGCTTGACCAACGGCTATTGTACCGTAGATATTTGTAACGGCACTGTACTTTTCTTGCTGATTTGCGCACCTCACGTAATATTGAGTAATGTTATCTAAGCTTTCTTCTTCCCGTTTCAACCTCATTATAATGGGAGTCTTTACAATGTGCTCAGCGAAATCCATAACCTCTTGGTCGTACGTTGCTGAGAAAAACATCATTTGACAAGTCGGACTGAGATTCCTACAAGAACATTTAATAGATCAATATGAGCTAAACGCTAATTTACATCTAAATTCATACTTATGTATTCTAATGCACTGATCTTGATGTCCTTGTGTTGCTATCATAACATCAGCCTCGTCCAAAACGAAAACGTCGATTTTTTTCAAATCAAATACTCGAAATTTGATACCCCAATCCAAAACTTTTCCTGGTGTGCCAATTATTATATGTTCAGTCAATTTTGTTCCTCTAGGCACTACAACAGTGAACAAATAGAGTTGTAAATAATGCAAATAAACAGAAATTTACCATCCTCTCCCCTTACTGCAAATCTCATTTCAATTTCTGGGCAGAATTTTGCCATATGAGCTGCAACTTCACCAGTCTGAATTGCTAATTCGTAAGTTGGAGAAAGGCACAGTACCTATAAAATTAATTATTCAACACAAACACTCGAGACATTTTATTTGAAAAATAATCTTACTTGTGGGTATTTCTTTGTTACATCAACTCTACTTAACATAGCCAGAACGAAAGCTGCAGTTTTTCCAGTACCTGACTGTGCCTGGGCTATTAAGTTCTGTGGGGGATCTGCCAAAAGAGTAGGTAGCGCAGTTTCTTGGATTTTGGAAGGAGCATTAAATCCCATGTCAAAGACTCCTTTTAGTAGTTTTGGATTCCTAAAAGTAACCTTGTTTAAAGTATATCATAGTCTGAGACAAAGGATCCTTACAAATTCAAAGCTTCGAAGGATTTGACAGAGTACAGTGGTGATTTTGGATCTTTCCGCTGCACCTCGATGTCATTTTTACTTTCAACTAAGCCTTTTCTTATGACCTTTGCTAGGAGACTCGCCTCTGCAGGACTGAATTGATCAGGAGCATCATCGTCATCTTCTCCGATTGCGTTTTTTGCATGATTATCACCTTCGTTTGAAATTTCTACATTTGCTATCTGAAATTGGGTTATGTTACAACTATCCAAAAAAACTGCAGCAAAACAAACCTTGTTCGTGAGGTTTTTCTCAGTTTCAGCTACATACTTGGCCCAATCTATTTTACTAGACATTGCTAGACGATGATCTTTTGTAGAAGATTTTCCTTCGTTGAAAACAAATTTTATTTCGAGATAAACGGAAATTGAGTTGCGGCACTATAAATCTGAATTGTGATTCTGAATGTCTACTGTCTGCAGCTGCACCAAATAATAACTAATAGTTAAGTTACGAGAAAACATTAGAATTTTAATGTTGGCAACCACGAGTCAAAGCGACCTCTATTATGTTCTGTGGAGCCACCCTAGAATTTTAAATTCAAATCTTTTCTTTACGATCTTCTATTTGGCGCAGCAGTGCAGCTGCTGCGCCAAATTAATGTTATTGTTAAGTTATCAAATTATGAGAGCGAATAATGAGAAACATAATATTTAAGGCTCATTGCACCATTTTTTAGGATCTGCGTAAATTTCAAAATAATTATGCGTTTCACAAATATGTATTAAGCATTACTTCGAAGCCTAAGATCCATAGACCACCCCTAAGATCTATTTTAAAAACTCTATCTGTCTGCACATTGAGCACTGTGTTTCATCAAAGCTATATCACCATCATTAGATATAATATAGCGATTCTAACATTACAAAACCATGCTAATATCTAACATAAAAATAAATTATACAAATATTATTAATTAAAAGCGTTCTAAAGACTTTGTTATGTACATTAAATTTTTGTATTGTCTGTAATGGTTAAATCATCCTGATTAAATAGAAATAATCGTACATATTTTGTGTAAGCGATTTTCATAACATAAATATTACCATAGAACAGAATTTGTCTGTAATCTCAAATTTGGGTGTTACCCAGAACCATCGATCTGTACTATAAGATCGATGCCCAGAACTACAAATGTGTGCGTGCGCTTGCGCGATCAAATTTTAGCCATACAATTAGACAAATGTCGCTAGATCAAAATTGAATATTCGCATTCGCACTATTACCTATAATGTATAAATCAGTAAGGATACACATTTCTTTATAAAGGTTTTATGGGATTAAAGAATTGTGACGTTGAAACAAGATAATCATATAAAAAAGGTAGTAGCACATACTTCTATCCTATACTAATCATTTTGCGATTGACTTGAAGCCGAAAAGTGGGGCGACGGACCAGCGTATTCATACGCATGCGCTTCCTTTATGGGTTTTGATTGGTTGAAAGGAACCAAGAACGGTAAACAGTAAGAAAGCCAAGCTAACCTAAAAATATTCTCATTATGTTTTGTGTTGATGTGTTGTGTTAGTCCTTTGGTGTATTTTCTCTAATAATTGCGACTATTATCCTGTATATATTTTAACCAAAAACTTTATTAAACTTTGTTTGTTGTTAGTTATTAGTATTAGAGATATGGGTAGACTTTGTGCCTTATGTCGTTCAAAGAAAAGCGAAGAAATTTAGCTCCACGGGTAAGTACATTATATTTTTATTATTATTCAATATTGTACACTGAACTGGTTTATTATGCAAAAATCGATATATATGTTTGATAGATATTATATTTATGCGTACTTTTATAGTATATATTCATGGGTATTNAATTGTCATCAGATCAAAAATAAAATTGTTAAAAGATTTATTATGTTCCGATTAAAAATAGCTTCCAAAAAATGTCAAAAAGCATGCAAAAAGCTTGCAAGTAAAAGTGTTGCTGGACATTTATTGTAACAAATACTATCACTAGTATTAAGTATTCGTTTTTCTAATGTAAACCCAATAAATTTCATTGTGTAATGTAGGTATGCTTAAATTTACTTGCCTAGAAAATATAAGCCAATAGTTGTTATTATTATATATTTATCCTTCCCTATTGCGCAAGTAGATTCTATATTCATTCATTATTTAAAATCACTTTCCAAGGGAGTTATTTGCCTAAAACTGTGCGTAAAATTTAAAGTTACTTTCAATTTGACATTGGATGCAACATGGCGGATGGGCGGGGTTTAGTCGCTATTGTCGCCACTGTCTTGCATATAGCCACTGTACCCAGAACCATCGATCTGTACTATAAGATCAATGCCCAGAAGTACAAGTGTGCCTGCGCTTGCGCGGTCAAATTTTAGCCTTAGACAAATGGCGCCAGATTTCAAAACTGAATATTCGCATTCACACTATTGCCTATAATGTATAAATCAGTAAGGATTTCTTTATAAAAGTTTTATGGGATTAAAGAATTGTGACGTTGAAACAAGATAATCATATAAAAAAGGGAGTAGAATTCTTAGAGAAATCGTTTCTTTTAAATATATTCACTATGGAGTGCATTACTCATATTCTCAGTAAACACATGAACGACAGAAAACACAAATTATACAAATGTAAATAAACGCAATTCTCCTATTCTTCTTCTTCCACACTAATTGATTTTATAGATTTAGATACGGCATCTTTCACCAATAATAATTCTTGCGTTGTGTTAATAAGTGATGGAGTATTATTTATAGTAAGGATCGTATAACAACAATTTTTGTGGCAGTTTATGTATGATATTATACAAGATTAAAAATTTCTTTATGAATTATTAAAATTAGTTCTAATTTTAGCATACCGTCATACGACCCTAATAATAATTAGATGCCTATATAAAAGAAACTATTTCAATTCATAAGAACTGGATTTGAAAATAAAGCAAGTTATTATAAAATCATAAAGAATATGTAGGTATATTTATTATAAAATGGACATTATACAGATAAATAAAAAATAAAGCATATAAACAAGAAGTATATATTTGAAACAATGGTCTTTAATGATTTGAAATAAACAAATAAAAAGCAATTTTGGAATAATTATGTACAGGATTAGTAAACGCGTTTTTCAAAGGGGTAATAGACTTATAGCGGAAGAGAAAATAAACATCGATTTATGGTAAGTAGATTATTTATATTATTTTTTAATTAATTTCAGTCCCAGAGAAGTTTCAAAACTTTCTAACCGAGAACCCAGTTTTTTTAGTATAAATAACGACTGGTAAAAACGCTGTGGCTGTAAAGCGACGTCCTTGAAATTGCCATATGCAAAGTACACAAATAACGGGGCCGTTTTCAAATTTTATTATTTTTTTATTTGATAATTTTTACGATAAAAATACGATATTTTAGATCACATATTGCTTTAAAAAAACTAGTACATATTAGTTTCAATAAATTAAAGAAAGTGTATAGTATTACTAACATTTTTTTATTGTTTCGTTTATTTACCGGTAATTGTAACCGATCTAATTGAATAATTATTGAACTTTTTCCTTTTTTTATAAATGAGATCTATCCATTAAACAATTAATCTAGGGAAGAACAGTTTTCTATCCTAAAAACATTCTAGTGAAAGCAAACCGAAATTAAGATGGGCACTTTTGTCGAGATTCGCCGAAAGATAAGCCCGCACATATGCATAAACGGTAATAATTGCTTATTCTTCAGTTATCCTAATTAAAATATGGTGGTTTTTGTAAATGTTAATTAGTAGCAATTAAATGGAATTTAACTAAATGCTCCAATTCTTACAAATGTGCATATAAGTATGTAGGTATGTATGTATATGTATAACAGGAATATGGTTGATTGCGTGGTAATTCTTTTTTACCTGTTTACCATATGACTATTAAAATATATATATTATTCATAATAAGTAATTTATATATGAATTGTGTGTGCAATTATCTTTAAATATTAGCTGAAAAAACAGAATATAAAACTAGAGAAAGCATAAGTTTGTCACTTAAATTGAACAAATATACAGAAAAGCAATCACAGAAACATTAAAATCTTAAACATGAATAGAACAATTTAAAAAAAAACGTGATATAAAATATATCTATTCATATTTGTAGAAAGAAATATACATACATATGTTTGGTAAAGAATGTGCTAAAATTCAGCATTAGATTCTACAATGAAAATTATGGGGGTAGTAGCACAGAATAATTGTTTTATTTTCTGTGGTAGTACTCATATAAGAATAGGTTGATATGCGCTCTTTTTCAAGATACGGGGTGTTGAAGTTAATAAAATATTGGAAACCTACATATCTGTTTTTTTATTTTATTTTAAATGATGAATAAATAATATCCTGAATACCCATTATAGACTCTTTTATTGTGATTTTTTAGCTGTAGACTCACATGTACGTACCTACCATTTGTGCTACTTCTTTTGAAAACACCCTGTAGATGGAGTGACGTACAGTTTTTAAATAAATAATATTATTTAATAATTGTTTCTGTTTACATTTTTTTTCTTACTAGTTAAGTAAATCAAATTTAAGTCACAATTAAGATAGAATGTTAGAGGCTTTATAAAAATGTATTTTTACTGGATATTGCTAGAGATAAATGATAATATGTCAGACTATGTTTGGGTATCTAATTTTATTAGTAAATGTGTCAAATATCAATTTCATTTTTAAATAAAAATAATTATTATTCAAATAGTCACGTTATCAACAGAAAGAAAGAAAAGAAAGAATGAAAGAAAGAAAAGACAGAAAAGACAGAAAAGAAAGAAAAGAAATAATGAAAAGAAAGAAAGAAAAAGAGAAAGAAAAGAAATAATTCTTTCTTTCTAATAAATTTTTGCAATTTGATAGAAACCAATTTTTGAATATCGATATTTTATTCAGTGTTGATACAGAAACTACAATAAAGGTTTGTGTCAAGTATTTCAGTTACGCCCTGTATAAATTACAACAACAAACAACTATCAGCAAATCCGACTAGAGCAATTAAGACTTAAAATGACACTAGGGATTTGCTGAAGAACTTTCTTCGGCACGAAGATCGCGTAGATCTCGTGATGAGTTCTACTCGATTCGACAATTTTCTAAGAGAAAATATGCATAAAATGAATAATTTTCCGCAGTGCCACCAAGAAAATAAACCGAGGGGTAGGAGGGACCCGCTTCCACTTGCCGGACTATATAAATCAATTAAATTAGGTAAAGCGAACCAGTCGGCTAAAAATTAATTACCGAAGTGTTATGTTTTGTTAATTAAGTAGGGGAATTGTTTCATTGTAACGGTGTGGAATCAGTTAACTTTTCTGATGCACAGAAATCCATAATTAGCCATATAACATCCGCAGATATCTTTAATAACCGTTGCTGGTGAGTTAGTGTTTGGATTGCCGTGATACGTACTCAGTTTTTGGACTATTATAAGGTGAGTATTGAATTTTAACAATTTTATGTACGTCCCTTAAACTTATGAAATCTATTATATACAGGGTGTAAATAAATAAGTGAAAAAATTCAGGGGGTGATTCCCTGTCGAAAAATAAGGTGGGTCTTTCATATAAAAAAATCTCATTTCAACATCTCAAGGAAAATACAACCGCTTTTAAAAAAAGGTAAAAGTAATTTTAAATTTTTTCTGAAATATCACAACGTGACACAAATGAAATTATGTAAACGTTTTCTGCTATCGAGAAGGCATTCAGTAAACATTTTGTTGATTTTCCCTTATGGTTGTAAGGGGTAGAAAAAGTCACCCATAAGTTCATGTAATGTTTCATACGAAACTTTTTTCTTATTACTATCTTACCATTTAAAAATTCTTTTCAGATAGCCTGATTCAATCCAAACAAAAAAGGTTTCTTCTAATTTTTTCGTAAGATTAACGGTTTCTGAGGAAAAAATTATTTAAAATCAATTACACGGCATGATTGGCATAGGGTAGAATGTAATTTATCTAGTAGGCGGTTGTCACGTTGACATTTTGTAATGGCAACTTGTTATAACAATTAATGCAATCATTTTATTAAATATGTGAAAAAACACTATTATAAATTATTAAAAACTAATAGAAACTATGAATGCTTGTTTCTTCACATATTTAATAAAATTATTGCATTAATTAACACCAACAACAAAAATGTCAACATGACAGCTGCCTATTAAATAAATTACAGTTTGATAAAATTTCTACACTATGCAATCATGTGGTGTACCTAATTGATTTTGTATACATTTTTTGCTCAGAAATCATTAATTTTACGAAAAAACTGCAACAGACCCTTTTTGTTTAGAATTTCTTTAAAAAATATACATTTTTTCTAAATAATTATGGTACATAATATGTATACTTTGTAACATCTATAAAAAATGCAAATGAAGATATAAAACATAAAAGAAGAATTTTTTTCTGAAACGTAATATTAAACATAATTAATTGGGAGTAGGTAATATTTTTTATACAATTGCAAACCCCTGGATCGTTTCTAGAACAGCATTACTGTTTTGTAGGTTATTAATTACATATTTTAAGATTACAAAAAGCGACAAATTAATAAAAAAACAAAATTTCGATCTTTGAAATGCAACAATCAATTACATATTTTTATACATATATGGGTCATTCCACGCTAAATCACAGGTCGTAACTCGACCATTTTTAATTTTCCTGATTTTTTGGTATTATCCATGTAGAGCTTTCACGAATTTTTTCAAATTTTTATTTCAACCCCTCAACAAGTTATGAACACTTGAATATTTTGTGTAAAAAATTTTCAAATACCTCTTTTAAATACGGATTTTGAAATCCGGCTTCTAATTTAGTTGCGAGTTACAGGAAATCATTCTTTATTTTTTGCTTGAAAACGGTCGCAGATATGAAAAAATTGCAAGAGACGGAAAATATTCTAAATTGAATAGGAAATTAAACACATATCTCAAAAGCTGTGGGACATACAAAGAAAAAACAGAAAAATTATTGAAATTTTAATTTTACTTAAAATCATAGTATTATGAAACATCCTGTATATAAATGTTTTTAACTAAAGATTCCACTCTAAAACCTGTCCCATAAAGTTGAATATTGAAAGACGATTTTTTTGAGAATTTTGAAAAAACGACCCTCTTTTTCAAAAAGCACTTTTTTGGTTTAAAAATTAAATAAAAACAAAAAATTAAAAATGAAAAAAAGTTTCTGAAAATTTTAGTTTTTGCCAAATTACAGGTATTTGACAATATTTGAAAAAAATCATGAAAGCTACTCTAAATGGATACTAAATAATACCTACCAAAAAATCAGGAAAATTAAAAATGCCTGATATATTTCCTCGATATCACAAAAAATATTTAAAACTTTAGTTTTATCATTTTTTGCTAAATAGAAAAGTAAAAATGATAGGGGGTTAAAAGTTACGTGAATTACCTACCCTGTACACCCGAATTTGTTGAAAACGCTTCAATTTCTTAAAATTAAGTAAGAGGGCAGTCCTGTCCCTAACATTCTTGACATTAATGTGTACCAAAAAAATATACTATTGGGTACAATTAAAAACCTCCAAATAGTGACATTTAGTTGGATTTGGGAATATGTATATAAAGCGATGTCCTTATTTTTTGATATATATAGGTCCCTATTATCCGTACTAAAAATATCAGAACACAATGTAAGCCCACTTTGTACAACTGAAAAAAAATCTTCAGTGTTCAAACGGCCTAAACCAGTATCGACTGATTTTTTATAGAAATTTTCCAAAATATTAAGGATGTCAAGCTATGCGCTAAACCCAAAGTCGTGTAAAAAAATTCCACATTCTACCTAATTTTCATTCGACACACTAAAACCTTTCAGTCACGACTTTTAACGAGCTATCATACTTGGATATTCACTTTAAAATATTTCAACAACCGCTCTGTTTGTTTGCCCACTCTCTACATTTGCCGCACTAGTGAGATTCGATCTTTATCTGCAGAAACAATTATTACTAATAGCAATAATTCAGAAAGCAATTAAAATGTAATGTAGCAATTACCTCGGAATATCATATAGAAAATCCAAGAATAACGGTCAGTCAGTGAACCAAAAATAGTGCAAAAATACGAATTATGATGGGAGCGTGGAATATTAGCAACAAGCAAATACAAGGTGGATTATATGGTAACATTCTATAGAGTTTACACGTACATTTTTAATTTGTAATTTTCACTGTTCATTTATCTTTTCCACAGAATAAAAACATGTGCGACGACGACGTCTCAGCTTTAGTGATAGACAATGGGTCTGGTATGTGCAAGGCAGGCTTTGCAGGAGACGATGCTCCACGAGCTGTATTTGCGAGCGTTGTTGGACGTCCCCGATATCAGGTAATGAAGAAAAAATAGTTATTTCGAACGATTACTTGTTAATCACTTTGATCGTCGAAACTCTAAACTTTTACTGCACTGAGTAGATTTTCATCCCATACTATCAATTAAGATAAAGGATGGAAATATTATCAGTGCTCTTTGAGTGGAAAAGTGAAAATAAGTTGAAAACACTGTACATATCAAAATAATGATGATCAGCTTACGGGCGGTTTATCAAATTAGTTTGAATACGATTTAATTAAGTTTTGTTGATGTAATAGTTATACAATTCTTTTGATAAACTGATAGAGCACGTCGTTTTTGTAATAAGGTTTGTTTTGTTAGTTGTAAATAGCACGGATGATGCGATTTAACAGGCAATGGTCTTATTCAATAAATCTCCTGGTGGTACTTGATCCACAAAATTTATTTTATTTTGAGGTTAAAGCCAAAAAAATCGCTTAAAACCGTGTCAAATATGTTTGAGTAGCACAGAATTTTCAAATTATTTTTCTGGAATTGCATAGGTTATAAACAAGTAAAACATTTGTAAAACTTTTAAACTCACCAATGTTAAATTCATGATACGTACTTCTGTTCATTTTCTGTTTTCTTGATACAAACACTGAACTACACAATAAAGCTCACTCTCACTACACATTGCACCTACTTATACTTAATTTTTGTGCTGATATTCCTTGCATTTGTTATTATAAACATGAAAACACTTTAAATTTAACGTTAGGAAAACATGCAAGAGCGCCACTACTGGCCAAAATGTAAACTAGTCCGTAGTTCACTTGTTAACATAGAGGTCCCGATTTGAATTTTTTATTCCAGGTAGCTTTAATACATACTAAACATACCTACAATTCAATTCATTACAAATTTTTATAAGAATAAAATTCATTGATTCTGGATACCTATCAATTAGATTTTATAGGAATTATAGCCACAGGCTCATTTAAGTATAATCATTAGTCACCTACTCTAATATTCAGATTTATTTCTTGAAATTTAAAGGATTAATCAAGTAGTTTGTGACCGTTTTACTAAGGTCCACAGAGGCCCGAATATTTAATTAGTTTTGAGGTTAAAACCCGAAAAATAATTTAAACAATCGTTTTAATAAAAATGATAAATTAATTTTCACGAAATGTGCATAAAATAAAACATTACACCTACCTACTTATCAGTAGTTCGTGTTCTCTTCATCACTCTTGAGACTTGAGACTATTGCCATGAATATTCAGTATCGACACATATTACTTTCAGTTTTTCTGCTCCATCATGACACTAAACTACGCATTCACTATTGTTGTGTATATTTACGTTCAGTTTGTGCAAATGTTGCTTGCATTTCATATAATAAACACGAAAACACTCAAATTTAGCACTAGGAAGATATGCAGCGCCCTCACTACGGACCGAAAGGTGAACTACTATTTGCACCATTCATTTGTTCGCCTCGACAACGTGATTTTATAACTAATTTGATGTAGGATTATTGTGAACTACCAACCTAAACTGATTTTTAGAATTTGTCAATGGCATATAAAATGATATAAACATTCTAAAGTAGGGGAAAGATTTAAAAAATTTTCAATATACTAATGCGAAATGCGATTAGTTTCTATCTAGATTCTGATTATTATTATTAGTAACCCGTTGCTATTATAAAAGTTGTTCGAGTTTAATCTTTTATTGAATCACAACTATATACTCTAATCCTTTACCTTTAGGGTGTGATGGTGGGCATGGGCCAAAAAGATTCCTACGTCGGTGACGAGGCCCAGACCAAACGTGGAGTGCTCACCGTGAAGTACCCCATTGAGCACGGCATCATCAACAACTGGGACGACATGGAGAAAATATGGCACCACACGTTCTACAATGAACTGAGGGTATCCCCGGAAGATCACCCGGTGCTGCTGACCGAAGCTCCCCTCAACCCGAAAATAAACAGGGAAAAGATGACGCAGATCATGTTCGAGACATTCAACTGTCCGGCTATGTACGTCGCTATACAGGCTGTCCTTTCACTGTACGCTAGCGGGAGGACGACTGGTATAGTCATGGATTCTGGGGATGGAGTGTCCCATACGGTGCCGATATACGAAGGTAGTTAGCAGATATTTGTATAAGTAAAATGGGCTATTTTGTGATTGTGCTTTGGTTGTAGCTTGTAGCAATACACTAAAATAAAACGGTGGGTTTTGCCGCACCCTTACCTTGAGGAAATATGTGGCATTAACTTATAAACAAATTGGAAAAACAAAAGTTTATTTTTAAATGCGAGCGAGTAAGGTTAAAGCAAGGGTATAGACCGACACAAATACGGTTGTGTCTCTGACTCAGGCAGAGCTGCGCGAGATTGAGAAAGAACGGATTCTGTTAGAAGGAGTAAGACGCAGACGCAGCGATTTGGGATAGAATCGTTTCCATTGCGTTGTCCAGGGCGCATTTGTGGGAGGAGTTAACTCAGACGCAAACTTATTTGTGTCGGTCTGTACGTATGTGGGCCACCTTAAAAACAGGGTTCTTTTTGATAAGCCTCATATCTTACAAAGGCAAAAATAAACTGAAGAACAGAGACTGAGCGATCACAACTATATCACATTAAATAAGATATCTTTGACTTTGAACTAATAATATACAATTAATTAAAAGGGAATTTACTGAACTGATTACTTTCGAGTAATTATTGTTATTAGTTTTTAATTTAAATGGCCTTCTTATTACTATTATTATTACATTAATCTAAAATAACTATTAATTTCACACAAAATGATAAATAAGTGGATACAGTCCGTACGATATTTGTTGGGATGGAATTCCAAGAAAAGAATGAACCAATAAAGTTACTGCAAAACACAGTATGCACTGCAAGCTGTTACGATGAACGCCACGCCGCCAACGTCTTTTTTCATACCTCGGGTGTCGAATGCGGTTAATTTCAAGTCAGTGACGAAGGAGTCTTCTTGAAATTCTATGTCAACAAATATAGTACGGACTGTACTTTTGATTTGAAATGTAATTTTAAATACACTAGGCACAGAATTTAAGGGATATTAAAAAATCCCAAAATTTTGGGTGATTTCCAAAGGGGTGTAACTTGGAGGGAAATGGTCCTAGAGAGAATTAAGAAAAGGAAATTGAAGCTTCAAGTGTCTAGTTTTCAGATTTGCGGTTTAAAATTTTTTGGCGCCAGCAGTTTTTGAGTAATCATAAAAAAATCAACTGAAAAAAATTTGTAAATTTTAACTTTTTTAAAAAAGGCCTATGGACTTCAAAACATTTTTTTTGGTAATTTCATCATAAAGCTCTTGTAGATAATTTTATTCTCTTCAACTTGAGCGGTCAATTACTCGGGAAAAATGGTCGTACAGAAAATCCAATCAGGGTTTTGAAAACTGCAAAGTGTTCTCTACAAGTCGTTTTTAATAAATATATTTTTTCAAAATGAAAATGTTGGTTAGAAAAAAGGTAAAAAATTGCATAATTAGGGATATTTGAATAACTTGGCATAACATTACAAATAATGAATAAACTAAGGATATCGACTAATTTTTCAGCCTTAAAGCGGCCTAACGAAACCTTGATAATTTGAAAACGCTTCGATTTTTTTTCCTAGTACCCGAAATGTTTGTCGTTTTGCTGAAAATCTATGTAATAAGTAATCACTTTACAACAACTATGTGACAATCTTGTAAATTTAAAAATAATAACTCTAAAAATGGTCTTTGTTCGAATGAAATTAAAGAGATTTTTTCCTTAGAAACAACATTAGCTATTAGATGCACTTATTCGATTTGCTAAATACTCAGTGACTTCAAAATTTGTTCATGACAGTAGGTACTTCTTAGCATCTCAGCTGATTGGCATATTTGAATATTAATATCAGAATTCAAGTTTTACTAGTCTTGAGTCAAAGAAATATTTTTTTAATTTCAACACTCCCAGTTAATTCTTTGGCTCATGGCTAGGAATCTTTGACCTGTCCTTGCTGCTCTCGAGCTAGCCTCTGTGGGCGCAGACCCACTATCAGAACCATTAGGCTTTTCCCGATGTACATTTCAGTTCTTGTTGTTGGTTCTGAGGCATCTACAGACGGAACAGCTCTTCAAACAATGATGATCCTCTCAGACATTCGGTGACTGTGAGCATCTTCAGTGGTGACTGTTTGACAAAGCGGCAAAACCGCCCGAAAAACAACTATGCTTCAAAAAAAAAAAGAATACTCCGTGTTCACAATATTAGAGAGATCAGCAAAGGGCTACTTAGAAATTTTGGCCAGGAGCGCCACTATTTTTTCATCCGGCCTTGGTATTTAGTGGTTTTACTTTGAAACTTCAATATAATTCTTTCTGTGTGATTCTTGTACAGAGGGATACGACATCCAGAATGACTAAAGCTGACGTCATTAACAAATGTTGTGAAACTCATCGAAAACGAATCATTACACTGACTATTTGTTGTTATTGGCTTAGGAGGATTTGTCGAAATAATATTTGTGACAATATAAAGTAATTTTAAATAGATGCAAATTAGTATTGACTTTTGCATAGTAGATAATTTAGGCATTTATATTTCTAAATTTTACTAAGTTTTAAAAACAAAAAAATAATGAGCATAGTCATATTAACTCAACTAAATGTCATTTTTTATCGCTCTTTTTTTAGTTTACTTTAAATTAGCTGACACTTTATTTGTTATCACTTTTTTTGTTTGAACTCCCTAGTTGAAAGATTTTAGACATATATTGAATAATATTCAGTAATGAAGTCATAATGAAGAGAATGAGCGGCGCCTTTAATTAACTGTGCCAAATGTCACTTTTTACTACTCTTTTTTTTACTTTATTCATGACAACGTGTGCGAAATATTGCACCATAAACAACAAATATTTTATTTTTAAAAGTTTGGACATACATACAGGGTGGTCCCGAGGTAATGGGCAAAAATTCATGAATAGATTCCCCAAGCAAAAATATTGCGATTTAGCCGAACTTACCTTAGTCCAAAAGTTGATAGTTAAAGAGATACAGGGTGTTAAATGTAAAATATTATTTTAGTTTATTTCCATTTATTTCTTAATAAATGCAAATATCTACACAAAATTTTGGGGTTTGGGGTTCTTTGGATAGAGGAATTGAAATTTGTTCACATTTTGGTTATAGTTCATAGAGGGCGCCAGCTGTCGTAGATTGAATGTGTTGGCAACAACATAACTTTTTTGTACTTTAAGGTATCTCATCTTTGTTATCAAATTCTTATTTTCCAACTTTTTTTCCACAAAAAGGTAGACTTTATGAAAGTAGCTGTCTCGCACCGTTTCCGATATTTTTTGCTTTGAAACTGCCAATGCTAATAGTTGAAATAATGAAAATAATTTAGAAATGCCAAAAACAAGGGTTTATTTAAAATAAACAATTGTAATGAACAGTAAAATAGTAAACATTAGTAAAAAAATATGCCTTTTGACAATTATTGCTCAAAATATCCACCTCTAAGTTCAATACATTTATTAACGCGTTTATTAAAAAATTGTCTTATTTTAAAGTATAAATCCTTAACGCGAAATGATTTTGCAGCATTTAAACTCTGCTGCTAAAGTTCTTCTCAGGTGTTTCTCCATAATAAACAACTGAATTCATGTTACTCCAAAAACGAAAATACACAAAATATACAATTTAAATTGTAAGCTAAGATGTAATTTTAATTGGGTACCTACGAATAATACTTAATAGAAATTAGCACACAAATTACAGCAATAAGACAAGTGGAAAACGTCAATTATTTGATTTTCCTCCAAATCCTACTTGAGAAACTTTGCCGCTAAATTAATAACACCTGTAGGTACTTACTTAATTGTAGTTTAATGCAATAACAATGGAAGCTTCAAAGCCAAATATCTCGAAAACGGTGCGAGATAGCTACTTTCATAAAGTATACCTTTTTTGTGTAAAAAAAGTTGAAAAATAAGAATTTGATGTCAGGATATTTGCATTTGTTAAGGAATAAATGAAAAAAAAAAAAAACTGAACTGATGTTTATTATTTTAGGATATGCTCTTCCACACGCTATTCTGCGTCTGGACCTGGCTGGTAGAGACTTAACCGACTATTTGATGAAACTGCTTACTGAAAGAGGATACAGTTTCACTACCACCGCTGAAAGAGAAATTATTCGCGATCTGAAAGAAAAGATATGTTTCGTGGCGTTGGATTTCGATCAGGATATAGCCTTAGCCCAGAATACGTCGTGCTTTGAAAAGTCATACGAACTTCCCGATGGACAGATAATAACGCTCGGCAACGAGAGGTTTAGATGCCCCGAAGCCATGTTTCAACCAGCGTTGATAGGTAAGTACTTGGTAGTCCATTTGGTAGATTCCTTTCTTATTTCTTCAGTCTGTCTCCCCAGCAACAATTTAATCGATTTTCTTTGGGCCCCTTTTGGGCTTATTAGCGTGCTATGATTACTGTTATTGAAATAATTTTGTAAACAGTTCTTATAAAAGTCCTGTAGGTTATTAAAAAATAATTGTTACTTGGTCTTTCCTTAAGACTTTGAACAAGAGGTTACTTCTTCGTCATCTTCCAACTAAGTATTAGTCAATAAATCGTGATCTTTAGGAATGGAGACACCCGGTATAGCAGAGACAACCTACCTGTCCATAATGCGGTCCGACATGGACATCAGAAAAGATCTCTACGCCAACACCGTGCTGTCCGGGGGAAGCACCATGTTCCCCGGCATAGCCGATCGAATCCAGAAAGAAATAGCGGCTTTGGCACCGGCTTCCATGAAAATCAAGATCATCGCACCACCGGAGAGAAAGTATTCCGTGTGGATAGGTGGGAGTATCTTGGCTAGTTTAACGACTTTCCAGCAAATGTGGATATCCAAGCTGGAATACGAAGAATCTGGACCCATAATCGTTCATAGGAAATGCTTTTAGTTATTGTTAAATCAATTGTTATTTTTTTAAATAAATGTTTTTGTCTATTTATAATATTCTTCTAGTTTCTTTAAAATTTCTAATACTGAGCTTTAATACTTAATAAACGTAAGAAGAATTTTTCCAAGTAAATTATATAGGAATTTTTTCTCTGGGTCATTTTTGAGGTTAGATTTTTCTAACTAGCGACCTCTAGTTGATTGTCAAAAACTAATAATATAGACATATTTAGCACTTTTATAAACTTGCCTGTACTAAATTACAACGCATTACATTATTTTCTCGAAAACACATGGCTAAAATTTTATTATAAAAGAGATATGATAAAATGGAGTAACTGCGAACAATTAATGCGGATAATGCTCAAGTGTCTCTGATCAATAATTGATAATTTGCTCTAAACAACGAAAAAAATACTTGGTGCTTAAGTAAAGGTGTTTATAATTGTATTTTATTCGAATCAGTGGAGAAATGCTGTGAAAGAAACTGTTAGAAGATTTAATAAAATTTATTAAAAAATCACAGGGGTACAACACAGTTAAACTGTTTAATGTAATTTATCTTTTTTCTTAGATATACTTGATACAACGGAAACGCTTTTTTTCAGACCTAAGAAAGATAAATAAATAAAAGCGAAAAGTAGGAACAGCAAAAAGAGTTGTACGTCAGTGGAAGATGCTACGAAAAAAGACATATCTCTGGATCTGGGACTCAAAAAATTGGTGCCATTGTGTCTCATGGCATACTCCGACCAAAACACTGCCGTTTCCAATGGGGTGTTTTGTTGGTCCCTCATTCGTTTGGAAATTTCTTTCATATTATTGGAATATCTGTAACAATAATAGTGTTCTAAAAAGTAAGCAACTCATGTAAAGATATACAAATATTTACTTAATGTGGGTAGATAGATGCAGTGCGGAACGGTCAAATGGAATAAATTCAGTATCACAATTATTATGCATATTTATAAAAAATCCCGAGACGTTTAGTATCGCGGTGTTTATGTTATTACTACCTGGAATAACGACTTAGAATTACAAATTTTTGGAGTATGACCAAGGAGAACCTGTACTAAGGGATGCCAAAACGGGGGCGATAGCATCGACCCCGACAGCTGCACTAGAAGTCATGCTAAATCTACCACCACTTCATATAGTGGTGGAAAGAGAAGCGCGGCTAGCAGCATATCGACTCAGGAATAACAACGACTGCAGGGGTAATTCCCATTCCAGGATCATAGACACATCTATGTCGGAACCAACTTTTGGGATGGTATCTGACAAGATGGTTCCAAGGTTTCACTTCCACAAGCCGTTTGAGACTCGAATAGAGGATCAAAGCAAATGGGAGGAAAGGTTTAATACCCTGGAAAGATGGAGCCTAGTATGGTTTACAGATGGCTCCAAAATGACCAGAGGGACGGGTGCTGGAATATATGGACTCAGACCCAGATTGAGTGCAAGCTACAGTTTGGGGGAGTTCCCTACCGTATTCCAAGCAGAAATTTTCGCGATAATGGCGTGTCTGGCAGAGAATGTACGTAGAGGTTATAAACGTAAACTCATATATATATTCTCTGATAGTCAAGCTGCAATTAAAGCTTTAGCCGCACACAAGGTAAGTTCAAAACTGGTGTGGGACTGTTTACAAATGCTGACTGAACTGGCCACCAACAATACAGTCAGACTGTGTTGGGTGCCAGGGCACAAAGGCATTTGTGGAAATGAGAAAGCGGATGAACTTGCTAGGAAGGGATCCGAGACAGTGTTCATTGGCCCGGAGCCCTTCTGTGGCACATCTCCCAGTGTGGTCAGGCGGGCTCTGGGCAAATGGACAGAGACAGAACATAGGAAATACTGGACTTCAAGGCCAGGACATAGCCATTCCAAGGAGCTTATGGAGTATCCTTCGAATGGAAGAGCGAATGAGTTACTGAGCTTGAATAGAATCCGGCTCAGGAGAGTGACAGGACTCATAACGGGACACTGTCACTTTAGGAAACATCTACATAGACTAAAGCTTGTAGACAGTCCGGTCTGCCGAGGATGTGAATCGGCGGATGAAACTTCTCTGCATATCCTGGGCGAGTGCCCGGGATTTGCACGTAGCAGAATGGCGCTCCTTGGGAGACCCTATTTGGAACCCAAGGAGCTGAGAGAAGTGTCAGCAAGGAAGCTTTTGGACTTTGTAAAAAGGACAAATCTACTTGCTGAATATGACAAGTACTGGGACGCACAATAGGCCTAATTAGGCATCAGTGCTATGGGACTTACTAGGACCAACCACTAGAAGAAGAAGAAGGGATGCCAAACATGGATATTACAAAGACAAAAATAATTGTGTTTAGCTAAAGCGGTATAATCAATGGTGCGAACAAAACTGTGAACATTGTGAATGTGGGGATGAGGTTTTAGTCCGTGACGTTCAAGGTTAATCGCGGCGAGTCTGGAGCCGGCTTAAGATAGATCATATTTTATTTTTTACTCACGTCGGATTTTTCAATATCTCATTTACATTATCTAGCACCAGCTGGGTAGTCACACTTTGACTGTCCATCCGTAACCCTAGCTTTCTCTTTACTATATCGTTCACTGTTATCCTTTGATCGATGAAGAAGGGCATGCCGATCACTGGAATCCCGAAATATGCGGCTTCCTGAGTACTTAAAGCGCCTCCGTGACTGATGAACAGTCTTGTATTTGGATGACCTAAACAGAAATCCCATAAGAGACCTAAACAGAAATCCCATAAGAAATACCCTAAATAAATATGGTGTTTTGGAATATGTGCCTTGGGTTGAGGAGTTACCAAAAAGTGATTTTTTTCTCATAAACCGTTGTTTTTTATTTTTGAGCCATTATAAACTGCGAAAGATTGGGAAATCTCGAAGCTAGAGATACTGGTGGCTAAAACAAGTCGATTGAGCCAAAAATATGCCTTATGCAAATGTTGCTGGTTTCAAAGCTACAGGGTGTTCAATGTTTGAATTTTATTTTGAAACTCAATAATTTTGAAAACTGTCAGAGTATGAATAAATGGCACTATTCTGTTTTTCGACATGACAAATGAGAATTTTTAACTAATTTTGGCGTTGCTTGTATAGGGTATCAGCCCTATACCTTTGCCCTATGCCCTATTCCTTTTACAAATAGAGGAAATTGTTTTTTTGCCTTTAGGTTTACCGACATTGTGTTATATATTCAAAATATGAAAGAATGTCCGTCGTTAACCATCTGGATATGGTTATCGAGGCATTTGCATATACAAATTTCAACCGTTTAAAGAGAAAATAATAAATAAATAAATTAGGCAAGGCAGTTCTCATTTTGAACAATTTTTATAGTAATTAGTAATTTTTATTACTAAGTAGATACCCACTAAACATTTCTCAGTTTCTGACATGTTTCGGAAACGTTTCCATTTTTCTCGAAACGTTCCATAAAAAATTCATGCAACATTCTGGTAACATTCTAGAAACCCAAGATGTCCTCCCCAAAATACGTTTCCAATGAAACGTTTCAAAAAACTGGTTTCAGTAACATTCTTTTTATGTTCCATTTATGCCCGCGATATTTTTGTTTTACGTTTCAGTATATTTTCAGAAATGTTTGAGTAACATAATAATTTTATTGCCATATTGTTCTCATAATGCTCTCAACTTTAGATAATTTTCACTTCAAAAGCGTTTTTGAAATAGTATAAATAGTGTGAGTAATTTTTTAAACATTTCTAATACTCTTTTGTGATTCGTACCTACTCCAGACAACTTTTTCTGATTTCTCAAAAAATTTAACTGAAAAATGTTGTTCCGCTGTAAATTTAAAAAAAAATAACTATACTCTTCTTGTTTGGGGATGCGGCAACTTTTATCAACAATTTCTTTCTTTTTGAGAAGCCACTGAAAAAAGTTTCTAATATGGATTACGAATTTTGCCATTCATCGTACAAATAAAAATGTCACAAAACAATATCAGAAGCATTTTAAAAAAGCTACACATCAATTTATATTGTTCAAATACGCTGCTGAAATGGAAATTTTCTAATGTTGAGACCATCATGCATATGGTAATAATGACGAACTGATAATTAAAAAAAAGTTAGTTATGATTATGAATCTTGAAATGGTAGGTACATGAAAAACAAATAGCATTACTGAAAAATAATATAAAGAAGTTACAATTTCTTCTACACATGGTCAATATTACATATATCCTTTTAATTATAAATTATACAGCAGAAATAAGGATACAAAATGATATCTTGACAAAATAAATATCTGTAGGTAAACCTAAACTGTTTTAAGGACGGGATTTTGTACAAAAAATATCGCCCAGCGTGAGTCACGAAACGGGACCCCGGCAAGTGCTGCTCTAGCTCTAGCGGCCAACGCTTCAAGGTGTGTTGTTTAATAATTTACGCTGGACCGATATTTTAACAGGCCTCGCGCCCGATTGTTCAGGAACGGCTCCAATTTGTGTACATACAGTCTTATAAGGAAAGAGAGTAAAGATTTTATTAATCATTAATAGATTATCGAGGACAATAATAATTTTTTTATTAAGTAGGCAATAATTTTTAGTTAATAAGCTTAAACAATCTTAGAATTACCATTCCTTTATTATAAAAGCAGATATAATTTTTAAAATTACAAGTAGTTTCATCTTCAAAAGCTTAAAAAACGTATAACAGGATAACAGGAATAGTCAACAGTCTAATGTTTATATTTTCACGTTAACAATCCGATACGTAAATTACCTGCTATTTTCAGTAAAAATGATTTAACTTGAATTATTTTTTTACTTTGGTGAGTCGTATTAATTTAAAAAACACTGCCTAATTACTAAAATATATAGAAACTTGCTACTAATTACGTTTGGAGAATAATATGTATAGTAGGGTAGTCCAAAAAAAAAAAACGATTTTTTTTCGTGTCTCTTGTGAAAATATGTTAGTTTATCATGTTTTAAGAGCCCCCTCAAAAAATCAGCTCAAAAAATTTTTTTTAAAGGTCGCTCAAGATTTTAAAAAATTTACAAAATCGTCAAAAATTAATTTTTTTTTTGTTTAATTTTTTCCCGTTATTTTATCTTTTTCTAGGTTGAAAAAAATATCGATTCTGAAAATTTCAAATCGATATTTTAATTTCTAAAGGTCACTCGTTGAGCGACCTCTAAAAAATAAAAAAATTTAAAAAAATTAAAAAATTATAAATATTTGATAGTGACAGTGCGGTAGTAAATTTTGCTTCGAGACATTTATTAAGTGTCTCGTAATTAATTTCTATTATTTCGTTGATCAAATTCAATGAAAAAAAATTGTTACTTCGTTGATATTTATTTTTTAGAGGTCGCTTGAAAACATAAGTACCTACCTACACTACTAAAATTAAAATAATTATGAGTGACCTTTAGGAATTAAAATATCGATTTGAAATTTTCAGAATCGAGATTTTTTTCAACCTAGATGATATAATAACGGGAAAAAAATTAAACAAAAAAAAATTCAAATTTTTACTGGCTATAATCGCACTATCGTCTTTAGTACTGTGAAGGTCATTTGTCTCGAAAGCTTTTTTTTTTATTTTTAAGCAAAACAGAAGGGGATGTGTTATCTCCGTAAACAACAATCTGAAAAAATTTGTTAAAATAATACAGTTATAAAGGTTATACTGTATACTCTGCATCGGACCGTGAACGTAATTGACCATTCCGATACTGTTTTTAAGAATATCATATTTATAACTGTATTATTTTAACATATTTTTTCAAATTGTTGTTTACAGTTATTTGCTACCTATGTCAGTTTTTCTTTTTTTTAAAGAACGCCATATTTACGGAGACAGCACTCCCTTCTGTTTTACTTAAAAATAAAATAAGATCTTTTGAGACAAATGACCTTTACAGTATTAAAGACAATAGTTTGACTTATCGTCAGTAAAAATTGGAATTTTTTTATCAGTTAACAAAAAAATTACGACGAGTTAAAGTGAGAGGTATCAATAATTTTATATGCAGAAAACCGTGATTTTTTCAACATTTTCATTAATAACTAAAAAATGGGATAACGAAACCAACTGAAATTTTAGCACACAATAGAGTAATAGTGAGGCTATATATGGTCGAAATTTCAAATTTTTTGCCCCTACGTTTTCTTAATATCGGTTTCCAAACTCAGAGGTCTATTTCATTTATTTCGATAGTAAGTGACTAAAAATAAGCAAAAGTTGATTGTCAAGACAATATGAAATTAAAATCGTGTTAGTTATATTCATATTCTAGAATTATTACTTTTTTGGTCGTAACTTTTTTCATTAAATATCCAGTGGTTTCCTTCTTACCGGTAAGTAGCTTGAAGATTTGTAGATTTGTAGATTGAAGAAGAAATCTATCTGAGCCAGGCTAATTTTTAAGCTGTAAATTTATTTTGAAGCTACCAAGGAAGCGGAACATAAATAACGATTTTATGTGGGACACCCTGTACGTAAAATTTAATCTTTATTCTTAATAAAGAAAAATTAGTACATATTATTGGTTTTTTATGCGTTATATTTTCGTACTACTTAAGCTTTACAAAATCATTACTTAGGTACTTAGTACTACTTAGTACTACTAGGTATATCAAAGATAATATTAGACCATTATGCTTTATTTTAGGACGCATTTATAATAAACCAACTCTGTGTTTTCGCTTTCATTTTCAAGGGTAGCGACACCTGTGACAGAGTATACAAACTAATTATACTTACAAATTCTTGTATTCAGATAGAAATCGCTATAATTCTGGTTTAAATATATAATAAAAATGGAGTCGTGTGTAAAATGTTGTCATTTTACTTGAGGACACAAATTATAGAATTATTAATAAATATTAATCTGAAAATTAAATACAAATGATCCTAGGTGTCAGTTCTAGTGAGTGAAGTAGTTTGGTTATTGTGCCTGACCTAGTGCCGTCGTAAATGCAATATATTGACAGACTAACAGTATGGTTAAAATTGAGGTACTTTGGCATTTATTTAAATTATTCTTCTGTTCTCATGAGCATTGAAATTTATCTCACTCACTAGCAGGAACCATTGCGAATACATTTATATATAATAATATTCAATTATGTTAGTTTCATCGATGATTTGTGTCCTCATCTGAAGCTCTGTTACACGGTAAAAATATACATACTAAATCGCCCCCTTATATAAACATTTGTACAAAATATAAAATAAATGACATCTATTTCACTTGATTCTTCCATATTTCAAATAGTTCTCACTGACTATCTAGTTGCTCTTCAAATCATATCGAAACGTATAGTTTCACGTTCCATTTTCTTAGTTCTTGTCGCCTATTGTCTATAATAGGTAGTGGGTATAACTATGACTAGGTAGATGTGACGCAAAATTGGAAATCTCTTTACACATATTGTTTTAAACATTTTGCATCAATATTCATTATTTTATATGCACCTTACAATAACCACAACTGCACACACTACAAATTTAATTATCACATAAAATAGCGTCAAAGTAACGATGAAGAACAACGAAGCCAGACAAACTGGCAAAGGCAAACTGCAAACCTAACCTAACATAATACAAATTGAAAACGAGACACGAGAAACAAAAAAACCGGGCTGAAACAGCTCATTTGCAACGTTTCATTTACGTTTCGTGTTTAGTAGGTAGCTTCCAGATTTCCCAACCTTTCGCATACACCTTGTATATGCTTTGTAATTTTTACTTGCGTGTATGTAGAACTAGATGTACTTTTTAAGTGAAATTAGAACTTTACGGCGCCATCAAGCGAGTTTTCAATTTTTAAGCGTTTCATCTAACCCACTCTCAATTTTGAAAAAAATAACATATACCGTCAAAAAATACGATTTTATTAAATAATAATAACACATGACAGAACTGTGAACTTGAAAAGTCGTTTTATAAATAATAATTTTACGTTTAATGAATAGATAAAAGCTCTGATAACAAGATTTATCTTTACTTGTACTAGCACAGTCAATTGCATTGATTTGTGAAGAAAAACGGCAAAAATTTGATTTTAGTGATCTTCGTCTATAGGGAAAAATCATATTTTTTTTTATTTTTATCCTGAATAAGCTGTACCAGTGAATTCCAAGCGACCAATGCATTGAAAAAAATATAAATAATTGTGATAGCCAAATAATTCATATCTAACAGTTAGTCAACTTACTCAAAATGCTACCTTGCGGCAGCCACTGCCGAATAACCACATTCTTCGGGACGTTCTCCAAACCGCTCTCAAACTTCCAGATAACAGTTTGCTTCAGCTGCCCAAATGCCTTCAGCAAACTTTGTATAATGCCAGTTCCTAGCTTATCTGACCGAGCATTTGTTCCTAGACAGAACAAAATCACCCCGTCTTTAGCATCGTCCATGATGGTTTGCAAGTCCTACAACAAATACTGTCAAAAAAAAGCGGTGAGCGTTTCGCGACATCTTTTACCGTGGGCAATTTTTTTGAAGGTTTTATGTGAAGCCCTCCCACCGGTATGATGTTAGATGTTACGGACTGCGGCTGGTTAACAACAAAATTCAAGTTACACAGCAGCAAGGAAATGTGTCTTTCGAGTGTCTGCATCGAATTCATGTCTGGAAAAGTCTCTCGGGCCAATTTCTCCAACTCATTCTTTAAGTAAGTTTCCGTGAGGTAATTAGCATATGTGACAACGTAATTGACTACACGCTCAAAAAAACTCATGTCTTCTGTGAACTGAAGATGGTAAAAAGGTATGTAAGAGGGGTGCAGTTCATTTCCGAAGACTCCGGAAAGGTGCGGGGGGAGAAGGAAGGCAGTGGTGCCAATGGTGGGGGGATATTTGAACTTCTGGATGAAAGGGTAGAAACATGCACTCATACTCATGTCGATGATTATGAGGTCGAACTTGAAATCTGATGGATAGTTTAACAATGTGTGGAATCCTTTAGAATGGTAGGAATGACTACAAATCAAGCAGCTGAAGTCGAAAAACGTCTTCATAATGCTTATTACATTCTTATTCATGAAGGATTCTTCTATATTTAAGTCTTCAGATTTTTCCAACTCTTTCATAACATCTGAAAAATAATATTAAAATTGAGGATTATGGTGCCAAAATGGGATAAATACATAATTTTGAAAAATGAGATAAGTACTTAAAAATACGCCCACTAAACAGTATCATACTCTGTATGATTAGTCCATGGGCGTCCACAGAAAAATTTCTCAGGGGGGGCCAAATCGAAATTGTGGATGTGTATTTAGGAAAAGCTTAAAACATACAGGGCAGCCCATCGAAAACGTACCGCAAGGCATTACAGGGTAGTAAAGAATTTTTCGGCAAAATCCAAAAACAGGTCAAATTTGTTTCTGAGGGGGACAACTTTTGGCTCAAAAAGCATACCAAAATCTTCAACCCCCTAAGTGGGGGTGCTATCCCCTAAATTTTTTCAAATGGGAATGGGGGTCAAGTGGGGGGTCATTAGAAAGGGCTTTTAATTCTCTATACATCGATTCTTACTTTTTGAAAATCGATTCATTATTTTAGAAAATATGCAGCTTTGAAAATACGAACAATATTTTTGACGAGAAATGCGAAAATCGATTTAATTTTACTTCAAAACTTACGGTATTAGTCAAGTAAATGCTGAAAATGTTGTCCGCCAACTTGCATACAATGATACAGGTTGTCTTCAAACCGTTGTCGAACATTCTGGAGCACTTGCGGTGTTACTTCGCGACATACATTAATGATTCGTCCTCGCAGATCTTCCAAGGTATCAGGTGGAGTGCTGTAAACTTTGCTTTTAATGTGCCCCCAGAGAAAGAAATCTAAAGGATTTAAGTCGGGTGACCGAGGGGGCCACTCAATTGCACCTCTTCGTCCTATCCAGCGTCCTGGAAACGTCTCATTTAGGTAATTGCGCACATTGAGCGAGTAATGTGGAGGAGCTCCGTCTTGCTGGAAAATCAGTTCGTGTTCATTGTAAGCAGGGTCGTCCTCTATGATATTTGTTAGAGCTGGGTCGATGACATTTTGTAGTAAATCCAAGTACATATCGCCTGTCAAATTTCCAGGAAGGAAAAAAGGACCTACAATGGAATTTCCAAAAATACCTGCCCATACATTCAACTTCTGGGGGTGTTGGGAGTGTGTCTCATGGAAAATCCTTGGATTGGTATCAGCCCAGTAACGACAATTATGGCGATTCACTAAACCATTCAAGAAGAACGTACACTCGTCCGAAAAACACACATTAAAGAGGAAATTATCGTTTATCGCTCGTTCAGTCATTATTTCGCAAAATTGCAAACGACGATCAAAATCGTCTTCATTTAGCTCTTGCACTAGCCGAATCTTATAAGGATGGAATTTGTATTTTTTTAATATTCGTTGGACACTTGTACGACTCACTCCTGTCGCAGTAGCCAATTGCATTGTACTCAGCGTACTATCCATTGCCACTTGCCCCAATACCGCTATTTCCGTAGGTTCATTTAGTACCGGATTTTCAACCTGCCTCTTTTTGTTATGAACGGAGCCAGTTTCGCGAAATTTGGCCACCAATTCGCGAACAATTTTTCCAGACGCATGTTTCTCAGGATGCCGTTGGTTGAACAGTTCGGCGACCCGATTTCCGCATTCATTGTTTTTGAAAAAAAGCTCAATAATTTCTACTCTTTCTGGAATTGAGTACACCATAATTAATCAATTTAAAAGACTCGGCAGTATTGGTACTCTTCAACTACAAGTCACAAGACAGTTATCTAGCAACTTCTTGTGGCCTATCTAAATACGAAACAAAAAGCGGACAATTTTTTGCTCACCAAAATCAGGCTAAAGAATTCGCAAATCAGAAAAAAAAAAGCGAATTCTTTTGAAGGAATTTACCAAGCTAATACCGTAAGTTTTGAAGTAAAATTAAATCGATTTTCGCATTTCTCGTCAAAAATATTGTTCGTATTTTCAAAGCTGCATATTTTCTAAAATAATGGATCGATTTTCAAAAAGTAAGAATCGATGTATAGAGAATTAAAAGCCCTTTCTAATGACCCCCCACTTGACCCCCATTCCCATTTAAAAAAATTTGGGGGATGGCACCCCCACTTAGGGGGTTGAAGATTTTGCTATGCTTTTTGCGCCAAAAGTTGTCCCCCTCAGAAGCAAACTTTACCTGTTTTTGGATTTTGCCGAAAAGTTCATTACTACCCTGTAATGCCTTGCGGTACGTATTCGATGGGCTACCCTGTATATGTCACGAAATTTTATACAGGCAATACCTATCTCCTCTCAAAAGCGTTTACTGTAATGGAAATGCAATTTGTTGATTTATACTGCAATCAATCAATTAATCCTATTTTATTTTATTATTTTTCACGTGAAATCAACTTTAAAATTTTAAATAGAGTACCCCGTTTATTATTACATGTTCAAAAGCCTTGTTACAAGAAAACTCCTATTCTCATAAATACAAAACTGGAAAGAAAATTTGATAAAGAACATTTACCATTCTACATCAAATTTCATTTTAATTTTCCAAGCATTTTCCAGACACTGCCTGTCTAAAACTTCTTGGGTAACTCTTTATAAATATAGGAGATAGATACAAAAAGAGTTCTTACTAAAATAAAGTGTTTTAAACAAGATTATAAAAACTAAAATCACATCGTTTTAAAGCACAAAAAGTAAATAAATTTAACAACGTTTAAACTAAAACAATTTGTAAATAAATAATAATAATTATTATTAAAAAACGCGTAACAAAAAACATAAGATAAATAACTCTGATCTGATCTGATCATCCACTAATTCTACTAATATTCAATAATATAAGGCTGGGTTCACAAGTAATGTTTATTAAATTAAAACATTATTCGAAAGCCTTTGTTCTCGGATACGAATTGCTCAGCTTTTATATACATTAATTCTGTTATCAGGTGCAAACGACACATGAGACATAAAACTAATGAATTAAACAGTTTTGCAACGATATTTTATTTAAATTTTTCTGTTATAAGCAGCTAATTACATTAATTAAATTTTCTTATGATCAAATATTTTTACTCAACCTTGAACATGAGAAGATTAAATCTCAGCCGGGGCAGTTGTATTTTGAAGAAAATAAAAGTAATTGCATTTTTGATGTTCCATCTTTTGCTCTATATATTTATACACTTGTTGTGANCAATAATTTGTAGCGTGTTCCTCGTTCGTTCTGCCGTGGTTGGCAGAATATGGCGTCTCTTGTTAGAAAATAGTTGTGATTTTAGTAAGTGAAACGTTATTAGTGTTTATAGTTTATACATGTATTTTGGATAAACTTTTAAGGTGTGAATATGGTTAGACAGTGCAGAATTTGTAAGAAATTGGATTATAAACATCCACATCAGCTATCCTTCCACAGGTAAGCGTGCTTGAAGGTGACTTTGGAATGTATATGTAACTGTGGCCATTGTCGTGCGTGTGGGTAACTTTTATTTGAATAACGGTAAAATTTTATAAAACTGACTTCAACTGAATCATTTTCATTTTCCTCTACGACAAAAACCTTTTCAAAAATATATTTACAATTTTACTATATATGCACGAGCATAAAAACTGAATAAATACAACAGCAAAAATATGGTGGTGGTTCACTTATACATAAAAATACCGAAGATGCAATCAACTGAAAGTTGCATTCATTCAACCATTTGATGTTCTCCTTTGGGAATATATTTTTATGTCTCACTGAAAATTTGCCTCAGTATTCTAAAAGTGAAATGTGAACGTTTTTAGGATGCTTGGGGATGGTGCAACAAGAAAGAAATGGTTACAGTTATTGGGATTCCAAGAAGTTATAAAAATATTATATATATTTATTATAAAAATACTGAATAGCTGTTGAAATATATTGACTTAGGACTATAAAATATTTTATTTTGACCCATCCAAAATGTACGACATTGGAGATGTAATCGCGCGCATCAGTTGGATGAAAATAAAGCCCTCTGCTTTCCCCTTGTCTAGCTTCACCCAACATATGAGATAGACTGTGACTTGCATAGTCTCCTTTATTTAAATGTCCTTGGTCCCATAAATACAAAGTCAAATTTCTGTCTTATTCGCTTCGGTTGAAATAAATACAGGGTGTTTCACATAAGAACCGACGCATGTAGGGGAACCCAAAATATTGTGATTTAACGCCACTTATCTTTTAGGCTATTGTTGTTTAGGCTGTTGTTGTTAACGTTCAAGATATTTTATTACATGAATCATTCAAATGGTCATTTAGATGAAAAAACGGCGGAGTGCTATTAAATTAGAGGGTGGAAAATGTACCCCTTTCAGTTTTTTAATTGTAGCTCGAAAACGAAGCAAAATTTCGCTATAGTTCATAGGAAAAATTATTTAGAGAATTGAATTTCCCATCGAAATAGCTTATTTAAAAAAAATAAAAGGAAAATTTTATTAAAAAAATCGTTCATAACATCAATTTTCTGATATTTTTTTACTTTTTTGCCTCTAATTTTCTGTGAGTAAAGATAGGTAGAGGCATTGCTTCATAGAAAATGACGTAGATAAAATTTTCTTCAAAACAAGAGGTTGTTGAAGTATTTTTGGATGAAAATTGACTGATATATGGCCGCTCAAACAGCCAATTTCTCGATTTTCGTCGCGTTTACCCTTTACTTTTTAATTCTCATTTTTTGCAAAAAAGGAAGGAAATAAGACGTTCAATTATTTTCATCGCATGACTTGTTCCAATGGCCTTTAAAAATGAAAAAAACACGGGGTGCTATTAAATTAGGTGGTTGAAATTTAAGATAGGGGTGAAAATGCACTTTTGCAGGTTTTTAAATACATATAGCACGAAAACGAAGCAAAATTTCAGTATAGTTCATGGGAAAAATTTTGTAGAGAATCGAATTTCTCATCGAAATGGCTTATTTAAAATATGTAAAAGGAAAATTTTATGCAAAATATCGTTAATAACCAATTTTAGAGAAAGCAAAATTTAAGATTTTTTGATTTTTTTTAATTTTTTTAATAAAACAACTTTGTAAAAACTTGAGAATTTAAGTACAATAAAGTTTATTAATAATGTATATACAGTGTGTCCACGGATGGAGTTGACAAGAGGAGAAACTCTTTTGTTTTTTACTTTATCGAAAAATGTCACTCTTTATAAAAAGTTCTGCCCCGCGAAAAAATGAGACTGTCATACAAACATCTTAGATTAGATATACAGGGTGCTCATAAATTAAAAAAACACGAAAATACTCAAGAGAGAAGTACCATTATTTATTATTTTATTTATAAAACAAATCTGTTTATAACCACAAATAATGTCCTAATACAAATTTTAAAATAAAAATTTCATTTTTTGATGGGAAGTAGCTATACATATAGAGTAAAAATCAGAATTGAAATTTTGATTTTAAAATTTGTATTAGGACATTATTTGAGGTTCTAAACAGATTTGTTTTATAAAAATGTTGTGTTGTTTTTTGGATATAATCAATAGCCTAGGTGCAGCTTAGTATAAAAATTGCGTTAAATCACCATATTTTGGTTTCCCCTACTTTTGCCGGTTCTTATGCGAAACACCCTGTATATTCTAGTAATTATATGTTTATCAGCGGTTTGCTATTATTTTTAATAGATTAGTTTGACATTATATTTTAATAGATGTGAGTATAATTCAATACTGTTTAGGACACGTAGCCTCATAGAGTAGTTGTTGGACTTCATTTGACAGGATTTTTAGGAAATGTTTTAATATATTTAAATTTACTGAATGTCTTTAAAATAAAGTATAAGTGCAAGATATAACAATAAAGTTTGTATTTGTTTAATATTATTCTTTTCCAATCACTGTAATTACTGTTAACAACTTAATTACCCAAATCATTTTGGTTATGAAAACGTACTAATTTATACAAACCCTACCTTCAATAACTATCGGATGATACATTTCACTCTTTTGTTGTTTATCGCTGAATGGCCCGAGTAAAGTTACGTTGTGCCCTTTTTCTATTAGGGCCTCTGCAATGGCATAATGCCATAACTGATGGCTTGGCGATGGTAGATCAATCAGTATCAAAATATTTCCTCCATGGGAGCCCCTGGCGCCAAAAATAAGGAACAGAATACACCACACGTGCACTATCATAGTTTTAAACACAAAATACAGTTGAAGCAGTTATATTAATTATGTTCAATTATTGTATGCGCTATCGTGATATGACAACTTGATGTTATATACTTTAGCTTTAGTATTGAGCTTCGCTCTCGGCAATTTCAGCGCGTGATCTGGTAGTAGAACGTAACAATTTTTAATTCTAGGATACCTACTTTTTATTTTAATCGGATATTTATTGTTTATTGTTATACTATTGGATGCTCTTATTACATAATCTTGATTATCAATGGACATGTATAGGGTGTCACACTTATCACTAGTCCTAATATCTCAGAAGTGCGGAGATGTTTTTTCTTTTGGCCAGTAAAAATATTACAAAAAATCACTATAATAAAAGCCGTGGCCCCCTGTCCCCCTGGCTACACACACAATAATAAACTTGTTTGAGATAAATCATATTTATAGGATTCGATAATAAAAATAGATACAAATACAATGACTTGCTGTCATAATTTCAAGGTCAACCTTAAAAAAAGTGCTGAGTTGTATTTTCTTTTGGTCAATAAAAATATTACAAAAAATCACTACAATAAACCTGTTTGAGATGGAGCGTATTTTAATATTAGAATTCGATAACAAAAATACCTACAAATACAATGAATTTTGTTACAGTTCCAAGATCAACCGAAAAAAAAGTGCTGAGTTGTATTTTCTTTTGGCCAATAAAAATATTACAAAGAATCACTACAAAAACCTGTTTGAGATAGAGCATATTTTAGTATGTATTGAGATTCGATAATAAAAATAGCTACAAATACAATGAATTCTGTCACAATTCCAAAGTCAACCGTTAAAAAAAATGCAGGTAATCTATTAGGATCTTCTTAAGAAACAAAAAAAATGATTTTTTGACTGAATTGTATTTTAATAAGCGATAACTGCTTTAATAAGTACAATATATAAAATGCCTGATTTGGAAGATCAAAATAATTTACTAGCATTTTTAACAAAAAATAGGTTTTCTTGTACTCACTATAACTCATCTGCAAATATTACAGTATAATGATAAACTTGTTTAAGTAAATAAAGAAATATAAACATAAACAAACTATTTTGTTGGAAACTTTGTGGTCTTTTATTTAAGATATTATTTGACCTTACGTTATTTTTGTAATATGTGTTTCTCCTTATTTTTCTCTTCAACTAAACGCCTTTGTTTCTATTTCTGTATTTATTAGGCCAGTCGTTATAGCTTTTTTTTCGAGAAAAAAATACTATTAGAAGTTTCTCTGCGGAATATTGTTCAGAAACGTGTTATAAACAAAATATCAAAAAATCAACTCGAGACTAGTAGGGAAACTTTGTTAAAACAATGGTCAAAATGATGGAAAAGTGGTTTTTTGACTCGCGTAAAAAAAGTGTTATTCATAGAGAAAAAAGGTTTATACAAAAAAGGTAGGTATTAAATAAATCTGTAAAATAAGACAAGTCCGATTAAATTCCGATAATTTGTTTATGCGCAAGAGCTCAAAAATGGTCGAAATTGTCCGCTTTTTTCAATTGCTAATAATTAATGCAATTTTCATCGCAGACACTTGTAATTCAGGATTTTTGAAGCTTTTTGCACCCTTAATAAGTGGTAAAAATTTCAGCCCAAAAACTTCATTAGCTTGGCGTTGGCGGAATTTGTTATCTAAGAAGATGCTATTTTCAATTCATTTTTCCCAAGCTCACAGGCGTTGTAGGGTTTCGATCATTAGTTGTTTTTGTACCTAAATAGTTGTATTGACATATGCATTTACTGATAATTTAATTTTTCAAATTTAATTTGTTTAAAAATGACTGAAAAAATGTTAATATTTATTACATCGTTAAGCGCGCATGCTAAGCCTCGCCTTCCCCACTCGTTCGCTAGACCAAGTAATAGAACGCATCGCCGCTATCTTCTTTTTCGAAATTAAATAGTTGAATTCACCTTAATGTTAATGTAGGACATGAAAATATAGCTCTTAATGTATACTCTCTCCAAATTTCGGCTCTTAATATTAATAACTAAGGTCACTGCGATTAAATAAAAGAAAATATCTCAGCTTCTAATCAACTTACAACGATTTTTTTTTAAATTCGAAGAAAACTAAAGTATAGAGGTTACTATTTTATTTTATAATAATTACCTGTGTTAACAATTTTATAAATATTAACATTTTTTCAGTCATTTTTAAACAAATTAAATTTGAAAAACTAAATTCTCAGTAAATGCATATGTCAATACAACTATTTAGGTACAAAAACAACTAATGATCGAAACCCTACAACGCCTGTGAGCTTGGGAAAAATGAATTGAAAATAGCATCTTCTTAGATAACAAATTCCGCCAACGCCAAACCAATGTAGCTTTCTGGCTGAAATTTTTACCACTTATTAAGGGTGTAAAAAGCCTAAAAAATCCTGAATTACAAGTGACTGCGATGAAAATTGCATTAATTATTAGCAATTGAAAAAAACGGCAATTTTCGACCATTTTTGAGCTCTTGTGCATAAACAAATTATCGGAATTTAATCGGACTTTTCTCATTTTATAGGCTTATTCAATACCCACCTTTTTTGTATAAACTTTTTTTCGCTATGAATAATAGTTTTTTTACTTGAGTCAAAAAACCACTTTTCCATAACTTTGACCACTGTTAAAACAAAGTTTCCCAATTAGCCTTGAGTTGATTTTTTGATATTTTATTTATAACAGGTTTCCGAACAATATTCCACAGAGAAACTTCTAATAGTATTTTTTTCCCGAAACAAACTCTATCATGTCTATAATGACTGGGCTATATTTGCAAGCATGTTTATCATTATGTATTGCATAATTATTGGTCCATATACAGTAATAGCATATCAGTGACGGCTCGCCAGTTGACGTAAATGACGCAGCGCTTAACCTAAAATTTCCGTTAGGTTGTGTATTAGGCAGCGTTGCCAGATTTTTTTTCGGGCAAAGCGGGAATTTGAAATTTTTTGAATAAAAAACCGGGATTCTTTCGTCCAAAAACGGGACATACTACGGGTTTGCATAATTGATGACTAAAAAAAAAATAAGGTCAGGATATCTAGGAAACAAATTGTCTTCAATAAAATCGATGTCTAAAAAAAAGGGGGACGTAATCAGGAAATATCTATTTAATAACAGCCGGAAAAAGCGGGACTGAGCGTGTCCCGCGCGGGACATTTAATTTTGGGTTAAAAAGCGGCAACGCTGGTATTAGGTGTAATTCTAAATTGAAAATGTATTGGTTGTTTGGTTGGTTGGTTGGTTTGTTTTATACGCAGAAATAAACAGAATAGTTAACGCGGTGACCGCCTTCTAAAAAACAATTGCTTTCGTTGAGCGCGAACATATCAACCTCGTACTGTACAACGTATAGCACAAAAAATATAATAAAACGTATCAAATAAGCAAATGACGTGGATCCAAAACAGTTTGTATTTCCCTTCACTTCGTAGCGTTGTTTACGGCGGTTGTCATGGCAACGAGGCGGCCAACATGTTGGTAAATTATGGCGTGGAGGAACGAGTGACGCGGAAATTGAAGCAGCATCGCCATCGCCCGTCGCCTGCCTTTCCTTTTTTACTTTAAACAGTTTATACTGTATTATATGTTTTGTGGTTTATACGATATGTCGCCCAGTATACGATTATAACGGTTCTTTGTTAATATTTGTTTTGAATCAGTAATTATAGAAATGTTTCCTATGTATGGTCCAGTAGGTATTTTATTGGAAACGCCATTTTCCAGATGGAAAATTGAAGACAGAAAGGATTTTTTAAATTGCGGTGACCTGTGCCTTCTCTCGATATTGAAAAAAGGGGGAAGTCAAAAGACAAAGTGTACGTTCGGAAGTTTCGAAATGAATGGTATTCGGAGTATAAGTGGTTGTGTGGAAGTGTTTATTTAAAAAAACTTTTCTGTATGCCGCGTTTAATTGAGTTTCCATTTTTATAAAATCTAAATGAAAATCCTTCTCGCGAACGTCAGTTTGTCGGTAATATTACAAATGCAACTAAAACTAAAAAATTCCAGATTCAGTTAAAGCCGTTGGACCTTGAAAATTTTCGCCTGCGGCGCTTTTTTTTTCTTTTTAGCCAATCAATAAATATGCTTCTCCTATTCTCAATGTCACGAGCCGCCACTGTAAGTATATACTCTTGATACTTGACTGCATTTATACTTGTTATAGTTTTTCCGAAGTCAATTGAAGAACCTATAATTTCAAGGTATGTACCAGGCTCGACGGTCGCTAAGCAGCAACTCGGTATTGAAATATTTGAAAAACTTGTTCCCATATTTATTTAGCCATACCCACATACAGGTCTGGTCGAACTAAACGTGGAGGCGATAGAAATGTATACGCTCAGTTGACGAATGCGAGCGCGGGCGAAGGAAAACGATCACAGTTGCATTGGGCTAGTGGGCAATAAATCACAGCAGGCGACAAGTGGTTCATAAATTGCCCAGCAGTGCAGTGCTGCAGTGCGGAATTTGTTGTGAATCAGGCAATTTTAATTTATTATAGGCACCTTCTATCAATCATTCATATTACAATTGTGAAAGGGAGAAATATGAGGGATATTTTGTTTACTAATATTATCACAACGTGGCATTTTCACTCTTGTAAGAATTTTATTTAGGGCCTCGTTTACGAGATATGATAACTTTCTTGAATATGCGACACCAATTTAGGCAACGTTATACTTTAATTTAATACTAACTAAACAACAGTTAAATAAACGAATTGTACGAACGAAAGACCACTTTAGGCTGAAACCACATATTTTGATTTGCGCTTGCTGTACGTACGAGATCTGCAACTTTTTAGGTAATTATGTTAGATTTAGCTCAAATTAAATATTGCTGATCATGATGATGACCATTTCTATTTTATTCAGTAAACTGAAATAAATAAGACAACTCAAATATTTCATATATCCCCAAAAAATAAAGTCTAACGTCGACTAAATCGATGTCACTTTTCCAAAAAAGTTGCAATATCTCGTAAACGAGGCGCCAAATAACAACCACGAATGCAAAAATAGAATAAAACTCCACTTTATCTAAAAAAAAATATTCGAAAAGCATAGCGTACTCAAAAAAAATAGGGGGTACTGCAACCCCCTCCACTCCGTTCCCGGTTTGATATTTTAAAGCAAAATTGCACTAACTGTGTACCGAATTAAGATCAAAATATGTGCTAAATTTCCAATAAATATCTCTACAATTACCGGAGTTATCAATAAAAATCATTTTTAAAATTTTAATTTTGACACCCTGTATTTTGAAAATGGTGCTCCGCAATGAAAAGTGACATTAAAAAAGTCCCATTATTTTAGTCCAAAGAATATGGTGGTTAACGAATTGATCTACCAATTTGTAACATCCTGTATAATAAATTATTTTCCTTTCAAAATGTGATACTTTTTTCGAGTTGAAAATGTTATTTAAATACGTTGAAGCTCGTAAAATTTAAATTTACACAGGTATTTAAATTTTTCTCTATAATATAAGGCGATATATCGCAACTATCGACCAGAATTCTAGAGGCGTATAAAACTGATAACCCAACCCCCTTGATGTGACATTTTTTTCAATTATTTAACAGCGAACCATCGGAGTGTGGACTTTTTTGTGTAATTTATTTAAATTCACCTACTTTCCTACATTATATAGTTAGTAGATACAAACAATTGAAACTTTTTTGGTGTATTTTGATAAAGAAAATAAAATTTGATTGTAGGTAGGTATAATTTTTATTAAACGACTTTTTTCTAAAGACGTCAATCGATCAACAGATAAAGTTTGATATAATATGGAATTCGTTACATTCTGTATAATAATATTAACTACATAAAATATAAAATATAATTTAGCTAGGAAAATAATAAGTACCTATATAGGTACCTAGATGGCAAAAAAGATAATTCGAAATTGCAAATAAATTTTATACAGATTTGGATAACTGTCATTACAATGTATTACGAAAAAATAGTACGTACTACGTATGTTAAAAATATGTACCTATACAAAGAGTATCTACTCCATACAAGAAACAAAACATTTATCTGAACAGATTACTCAAAATATTTGAAAAATGATACCTAATAGGAAAATAAAAGGCAAGAAATGAAGGAAGTAGCGGAGTTTGAGCCATACAAAATTGAATTTAATCTTTACATGGTCGGTGTATATTTTAATTTTTTAAATTTCGAAGAAAACGTTTGGCAACCCTGATCCTTTTAATTCATTAGTATTCGGTACAACTTCAGGTTGTTGGGCTGGTTGTATGTGTTAGGCCTATTCCTTTGCACAGAAAGTGTAGCACCAGCTGCACTGAATAGCCAGTTATCGTTCCTTTGCAAGAGAGTGTTGCATTTTACACCACACTTTCTTATTCCACTGCTCAGTGTTAGTTGCACTATTGCAGTTTATCTACACCCAGCCCGAGCAGGAGTGAAATGCACTGGACATGCGCAGTCTGCCCTATGTAATGTAAAAGTCTTTGAGGTTACAAGTTAATAATATATATATTTACATAAATACCTATAAAACTAGTTATTTATATACATAGTATTTTGTGTTTATTGACCGTTAATCACATACAACCATAACCAAAGAACTGCATACAAAGATGGACCGTATACTTTTCAAAATTTGTGGCAAGTTGGTCAATTTAGAAGATGATGCCAAAGTGGTTCATCTTTTAAGATATGGCAAGTTAATCAGTTATTGATTTTGTAATTTACTAAACGTTTACTTGTAGATGATGAATTCACACTGGAATTTTTTCAAAAAGCATATATCGAAGGAAGACTGGCAGTATTTGGCATAGATACCGTTGATAATGGGGAATCGTTAGAAGTCATTAGACTTGAATCAGCAGAACTGCATGACACAGATGTGCCCACTAATGAAACTGCTTCTTCAGTAATAGTTGATATTGGTAACTTTTCACCTATTAAAGTTAGATAATTATTTATTTAGATATATTTTTACAGATCAGAATGAAAATACTACGAATAGTGATTGTACAGCTTTTGAGATGAGCTCTAATGTGGGTAAGGTTCTTTGTAATGTAAAATGTGCGAAATAATTTGTTTTTTTTTTTTTTACAGAAAACACCAAATGCAGTTGGGACTTACAGTCAACCAAGTTATTGTTGGAAATCTACCGTGAAAATATTGGAAATGTTGGTAAATCACCAAAATTAAAAAGTAAAAAGAATTTGTGGAAAATAATAAGTGGAGAAATGTTAAACAAAGGATTAAAATTTACACCTATTCAGGTTGAAAATAGATACAAGACTTTGGATAGGGGATTCAAAGACACTGTTCAAAACAATAAAAAGACGGGAAGAAGTAGAGCTAGTTGCAATTTTGAAAAGTATATATATATTATTTACGTAACTTATGGCATGCTATGTTAAAATTAGTGAATTATTTCAGATTAATCAAAAGAAGAAATCAGTATACCCTGAATTTCTCTTAGATGCAGCTAGTGATGGGAAGTCCCCATCATCCGTTGCATCCAGTACAAGTACCAGCAATGAAAGTGATACGAATAAAGAAGAAAGAGGAGAAAACACAAAAAAATGTAAAAAAGCAAGAACAGTATTAGAAGAAATCCGCAAACTAAGAGAATTACGAGAAAATGAAATACTTTTAAAAGAAGAAAAAGAAGCCCAAAAGAATGAATTTAGAAAGAATATTTTGGAATTGGAAAAAGCCAAGGTTGATGCTTATAAAGAACGAAATCAAATATTATTAAACATGTACCAGGCAGGTGATAAGAATAAAATGTAGGGAAAAATAAATGGCCTTTCTGAATATTGCAATCATTACTTTAAAATGTGATATTACTGAACTGTATAACTGTATTTTAGTCTGCAAATAAATAAGACTTTAACATAATTTGTAGCTTTTTATTGCAAAACTTAGATACAAAATGATAATACAAAATTCACTACATTTTCCTTGGCATTTTTTTGGGGAGTTTTATTGCAATTTGATTTCTTAAAGCCTTCCCCAATGCAGTATCCTGTAAAATATCTTCATTTCCACCATCAATATTTTCACACATATTATTTTTTACATAATTGTCTGTAATTTCAATTTCGTCAGATTTTGACATGTTATGTAATACACAACAGGCTCTTATGAAGTGGCATAATTTCTCCATTCCCTTTAATTTACAATAATACAGTTTTCTGAACCTTTGCTTTAGAATTCCAAAACTATTTTCAATGTCCACTCTGCACTGGCTTAATTTGTAATTAAAATTCTTCTCCGTTGCAGACAGATGTCCATTGTCTCGATACGGACTTAAGAGATGTTGCGTACATGGATAGGCTGAGTCACCAAGAATGTATTTACCTAAAATTAATACACATTCGGTTTGATATTTCTGAAACTGTACAATTCACTTATTTGATTTGAAAAATTATTAACCAAAAATAATTATTAAATACATATTAAACATACGCACCAGTACACAGTAAATCAGGCAACTTTTTATAAATGGTTGAATTTTTAAATACTCGAGAATCATGCACTGAACCTGGATATCCTATAAAAACATCAATGAATTTTTTTTCTTCATTACAGATTCCTTGTAAATGTATTGTAATGTCTCCTTTTCGATCAATATAATCATCTTTTCCATTTCTTGGAGGATCGATATGAATGTGAGTTCCATCAATGGACCCTAAATAAATATAAATTAGAATAAAATGTCTTATTTATGCTTACCCACAATTCCTGGAAATCTAAATTTATCATTATAATATTCAGCAGTTTCCTTCATTTTAGACTCGTCAGGCCACCTTATAAATTCTTTAGAAAGGCTACTAATAAATAAAGTAACCCTATGAATGATTCTACTGACACTAGATATTGATATATCGAAACGGTCAGACAGGTCACAAAATGAGGTTCCTTCATGTCCAGCAAACCATAAAAACAGCAGCATTTGAAACTCAGCGTTTTTTGTTCTTCTATTATCAAGCAGCTTTTTGAACATTTCACAATTCTTGTATCTTAGAACCAAATAATCAAATAGTGTTTTATTTATCCTAAAGTGTTTTAAAAACTCTTTATCAGAATATTTGGGTACAATTTCTTCTACATACTGTTTAATTGAATTTCGTTTATCTCTTTTAAATAAAGAACTGATGATAGTTTCTACTTCATCACCACTATCACTCGAACTAGAATGAAGATCTACTAATCTATTGTCTAAAAAGTCATCGTCACAAAAAACACTTACGACGTCCATAATTAATGATTAGGAAAAAAAATACAGTTTTTAGATTTAGAAATATATCCTAAACTTATATTATTGTAAAGCTACACCATCTCACACCTCGTTATTCCTTTGATCCTAACAGAACTTTTGCACCACTCTGATCAGCTGGTTTTCAGTGTAATGTAATTTACACTACACTGAATAACAAAGGAAAGAACTTGTTGTATGGCTGGTTGTAGTGTTGTTGACATAGGAAAAGTATGAAGGAAAGTTTCTGGGTTTATGTTTTTTTTTGGGTAATTCAGTTTCGGTGATAATCTGAGTGAAAAATGAGACTACACAAGTTGGTGTGTGTAAACTTTAGCGCTCTTGAGAGATGAATAAATTAGTGAAGGATAACGCGATGGCCATTAACTTTAAACCTTTGTTACGGTTCATTCTAAATAAAAGTTTGGTGCAAAAGTGTTGTTCCAGTGGGTACTTGTTTGTAAAAATTCCAGTTATTTCTATTTCGGACAAATGAGAATCGAATCAAGTCGATATCATAAGACATAAACAAAACCTAACCTAAAAGTGGGTTTTGAATTGTGGGACGATTGATCGATTTTAATGTTTTGGCCGCGAACACTACGTATTAGTATTTTTATTTATTTAATTAGTCCTTTAGTCTGTAGATTTAATTCCATAGGGATCGAAATGTATCTTATTAATCTAATTTTACTCGACTATTAAAAAATATAAACAATCACCACTACAATAAGCATCGCGACGTAGTTAATAATGTTTCATTACGAGTTAACGATTTTCATTAAGGGTTGATTGAATTTTGAAAAATATGAGTATTTTAAAGAGTATTTATAAATATAACTTTATTTTTATATAATAATATGCGAAGCATAAACAATGACCAAAACATAAATCGAGTTTGTACGAAAATGTCCGAAGACTTTCACGATGAAAATAACGCAAAATTGTCCAAACGTGTAAAATCCGTTTCTTATTTTGACGATATAAATACAGCCGAGGAAGAAATAAGCGACGAAGAAATCAACGTTAATGATCATATGTACGCATCAAATACAGAAAATGACGAGGTAAACGAAGTTAGCTCGCCTGACCTAAGCTGTCAAACTGCCGAAAGTGAGGTTAAGTTTTTAAAAGAGTGGTTGATCCTGCACACAGATTTGGTACAACAACAAAACGATGATATTATCGATAAGGACAAGGAGATTTATCTCTTGCGAAAAGAAAATGAAATGGTAAGTTACTTTAACTACTAACATTGCAATTTTCACTAAAATATTAACAAAAAACTGCGGGAATGATAGTCGAGTCGTTTTTTACCAATCAGGGAAAAAGAGCGCGATTTCAATAATTGTTTTTAATTTTTAGCTCAAAGAGCGCATAAACTGTATTGAGAAAGGGACTCCTTTCCAAACTGAAAAATTGTTCAATCACAAAGTAACCGAAGGCTCAGAGGGAGTTATTTCCGAAGATATGACCCAGGGTCCCTGCGAGGAGGATACTAAGGAAAACATTGAAATCATCAGAGAACAGTATTGTGATAACGAAAATTGTTCCATTGAAGTTATAAACTATCAAGAAAATCACGTAGACTTAAGTGATAACGAATCTCAAATCGACAGTGCGGTAGGTAACGACAACAATTACGTTGTTGACGATAACGAACTAGAACTAAAAAGTGAGGAGTACATATTAAATGACTTACGTGACAATTATAAATCAGAAAGTGATATCATAAACTGTAACAGTTCAATTTCGGACTACAATTTTACTATTAATAACATTAGTGAGTGTGATCCAATGAAAAATATAAGAATGAGCATAAGGCGGAAGAGAGTATGTAGTAATTCTTCAGCGCTGTCCCAGAACGAGTCTGCTATTATAGAAGACAAACAGACTTACAGGAGGTTTAAGAAGAAGAGGCGACGTAAGTACAGAAATTGACAGAACCTTAACTTATTAATGCAGCTTGCAAATTTATTTACATAAATTATGCCTCTGAAGTTTACCAACTTTCAAGGTCTTAGTTCATTTAAAAATTGTTGCGTTTGGATTTTTCTTGATTTCTTTAGCTTTTAAAAAAGGTCAACCAATAATACATTTGTTTACAATATTCTCTTGGAATCGGATGTACTGTTATATTTGTAGGTTATTGTAGATATGCAACCAGCAATTCAGGTATTATTTCTATTGCAACATTGGGGGTTGCATATGCTATAGCTTAAATCTATGATATCTTCTCAGTGGTTCTAAAACTTTTTGAAATTTTGAAGCTGTGAGACAGTTTCAACTAAATTGAAAACTTTTTTTCAGATGCATGCTACTAAAATGTTTTTTGTTGTTTGTGACTTTTACTAAAATTAGACTGTAAAATAACCAAGAAATTAAAGAATTGTGTACATATTTCGAGCCGGTCGATTTAAGAAATTAATTTCCTAAAAGCAAACATATTTGTTTTTTTTTTTTAACATTTTAAATAAATTTATAGTAATATCTTTTGTTTAACATTGATTACCATACACTGGGAACTACTGCTATAACTAATTATTAACAACAAATTTTTCTCAGGTGTTACCAAAGATTCACAAATATTAACGTCGTCCGAGACATATGTCACGCAAGCGCATGAAGTGAACTTGGGAATCTCAACCGTTGACCTCGATCTTCCAGAATGTACAGCAACCACGTTAGAGGTATGTTTCGGCGCATGTGTAAGTTTTTCAAACGTCTTTCTAATCAATAATTTTCCTCAAGGTCCCGAGGTGGCGACATAAGATTTATGCCAGCTGTTACACGATGGAAGGGACAGAAAATCTGGACGACGAGGTTTATAACAAACGGCACATGCGACTAGAGAACGACGAGAGGCGGCGAAAGAGGTGTTACACATAATAAAAGTGTGTTAATACGTATACTAACGACTTTATTTTTAGATGGGATGTACAGAGAATACGTGAACAGAGGGTGATAGAGAAATTGAAGCAGCGTCAGGAGAGGGTCGGCTCCGGATCCAAGGGAGAAGAAAACGAGCCTTTGACGTCGCTCTGGCCCAAACTGGAGGATGTTAAATACTTAGAAATTAACGATGAGTTACCTGTTGCAGCTTTTGGGAATACTATTCCAAAAATGACTCCTAGGTAAGTTTTGAACAACTGCAAATCACAAACAAAATTTTTTTATAAGCACTAAAATTTTAATCAAGCATTTAACTAATAAAAACAACAATCTTTGTATATTACAGATATATTGAAAACCATATATTTTTTTTAATTTCAGATTTTTTAAAATTAGTTGGAAATCGAGTTAATTATAAACATTTGCAATTGAAAGATACCTTATTAACGTTATTTTAATGGGTGTAATGTACCGGACAAGATATGAGTTTTGAAAAAATTTATTAGACGAAAATTGTTGCTTTTTACGAGTTAATAAATACTCGGTTAAAATTTTGGCACTTATTTTTGAAGCTACCCTGTATAATACAACATTAAATATCATTGAGAGAAAAACTTCTACAAATAACTTTTTACTAATACTAAAGCGAATAACTTGCATTCAAAAACTAACACTGACTGCTTTGTAGTAACTTCGACAACTTGCCAGATGGTTGAATCGCCAGTACAGTACTGGGTATTTTAAATGAATATTCAAAACATAACTGCAGTGTGGGTTGCGGATTAATATTGTAATGCAGCAGTTAACTAAAGAAAAAGTTATTTAAGATATCCAGCACTGTACGAGGTGGGACAATTGCAACACTTTTCGATGATTTCTCATATTTTCCGAGGGGATAAACAAAAAATAATTTAGTTTCTTAGCACCAAAATATAGAAAATTTTATACAAGTCAAGTAAAGTAAGGCCATACACAAAGTAACATAAAACATTGACAAAATGAATATCTATATAAGTATAAAAAATTGTAAACTATAAAATAAACTCTCCTCCTTTTTCTTTTTTTGTGTAGAATTCAGTGTGTACATAGAATTTTTCTAGAAATCTTGATTTTTGAGTCATCTCTCGAACTTATATTTTTTCAAATCGTACAGCCTAAACGTTTTTCAATTTTTTAAATATACTTAAGATTTCCTTCCAAGTGATGAGCAAATTTGGTAAAAAGTTTTCTTTTATCATAAAGCAAAGATCTGCCAAAGGAAAAAAATTAAAAAAAAAATTTTCAAATGTTATTCAAAATTCACAATTTTTTTTCAATTTTTCAAGTTTATTTTTTAAATATCTTGAAAACTATTATAGTTGCAGAAATGAGCTTGTGTTCATTTTAAAGAGGATACTTGGTTGGGGCTATGAAAAAAGAAATTCCAAAATATAATTTTGAAAAATGAAAAATTTGTAGAATTTAGAATTTTTAAAAATCGACTATCGACATTAAATTTTTGGCTCAATTTTTTTTATAAAATACCTTCTAATTGTCTTAAAAGGTCCTAAAATTTTCAGAGTTGCGTTTTTTTCTTTTCTAAAATATCAATTTTTCAATTTTGGCAAAAAAAAATTTTTTTTTAATCGCTAAGTCAAGTAAAGTTAAGAAAACATGTAGTTTTGTAATTTTGTGCAGGAAAAAGTTCATTTTATGACATAAGAACGTAAAAACAAACATAATTAAAATTTAATTCTTATTTTTTTGTTTTTTTATTTTTTATTTGTTAATAGTGTTTCAAGTCTAAGCTTATTACATCATAAAATGGACTTTTTCCTGCTCAAAATGACAAAACTACATGTTTTCTTAACTTTACTTGACTTACCGATGGAAAAAGAAATTTTTTTTGCCAAAATTCAAAAATTCATATTTTTGAAGGAAAAAAAACGCAACTGAAAATTTCAGGACCTTTTAAGATCATTTGAAGGTATTTTATATAAAAAAATTGAGAAAAAAATTTAATGTCGATGGTTGATTTGAAGATTTTAAAAAATTCTAAATTCTACAAATTTTTCATTCTTCAAAATTTTTCGGGATATTTTTTTTTCATAACCCCAAGTATTCTCTTTAAAACAAACACAAGCTCATTTCTGTAACTATAATAGTTTTCGAGATATTTAAAAAATAAACTTGAAAAATTGGAAAAATAGTGAAATTTTGAATTTTGAATAACTTTCGAAAAAAAATTTATAATTTTTTTTTACTTCGGCAGATCTTTGCTTTATGATAAAAGAAAACTTTTGACCAAATTTCGTTCAAATTGAAAGGGATCGATTCCAACCATTGGTCGATTTGACATGGGATGACCCACATTTAAAAATATCAGTACCAAGATTATTATAGTGAGTATATAAATTAATAAAAAGTTCAAGGTTTCTAAAAAGCTGAAGTTACAGAAAAATACCAGGTATTCCATTGAATTTTTATCAAAAAATTTGACGATATCTCTTTAAAAAAAATTAAAATGTTCACAAGTGAAAAGTTATCCGGCACAATATCCGAAAAATTAAAAAGGCCTTCAACTTTTTTTTTTTAAATCAAACCAGTGAAATGAGTGAATTCTCCTCGTGAAATATGAGAAACTTTGAAAACGTGTCGAAATTTCGCCTAATTTGTTTGGAGACTAAATAAAAATATTCCTTCAGTGAATTCACCCTTCCGTGGTTGAGCAACCCAGCTATTCTGACCAAAAAACCGCATTCGAGGAGGTCGACGGTCAGAAGGAAAAATACAAAAAGATAAGATTTACTATTTATTAACGATGTACCTGGACATTGGTCTACAGAGAGAAAGCTCGAAATCGTAAGATTTTATGTTGTACATATTTAAGGGCTATATCATTTTATGGAAGTTCAAAGCAACATTAATTGTTTACCCTCCCTTATTTCATAAAATGTAAACGCTTTAAAAGTTTAACAGATAGGTGCAGATGCAGTTTTTGGATTCTACTGTACATAAATGTTATCCTGCATTTCTGTCGATACTGTGACGTGATGCTCTATTTACTTTTTACCGTGTCAGGGTTTTGGCTTAAAATGATTTGAGTAATTGATGTTTTGCCAGTTATTTTCTTACATGAGACATTTGTCATGAATTAGTGTAATTTTATTTCAACCCAGACGAGATATTTGAAATGTTAAAAAAATTATAAAAAGAGGATTTGCTTTCAGATCAAGAAAATAAAATCAGTTTTAATTAAATCAAAATAAGAAAATTATACAGTGTGTTTAATTGTAAGGAACGAATAATTTAAAAAACGCTATTTATCGTTCATGTGGATTTTTAAAACCAACAAGATAAGAATGATTTTTAGTCTTAATTTTTTTATTATTAATTTATGAATAAATATTAACTAATTTGGTATTTTGTATTTCTTTCAGTATGTATTTCTTCAAACCTATTATAACGACATAGACCGATAAAATTTTAAATCAAAATTATTTATTTTATTATTACTTTTCCAAAGGTTTTTGATACGTTTGATCTGAATCCGGTATCAGAATTGCTCCATCATGTCAGGTTTTTGATATATCCTAACCTAACCAAAAAGTACAAAAAAATGCACAAGTTCTCTCTATATTTGAGGTTATGTTACGCCACGAGGTAATTTTACAGAAATACTACTTTCCCCTTCGTAATCCATTTTGAATCGTTCTAATATCTGCTCTCTGAGATGTCGTCTGTTTGAAGTTGATTAGTTTGGCATATTTGTCGATTTTCACAAAAAAATGTAGCTCCAGGTAAAGATTGAAAAAGAGAAATCAAACTACAAACACCTAAATTCCCATTGGTTTGTTAGCAGGGTCGCTGATTACGATTCAGAAGTCAGAATTACGAAATTCAAAATGGCATCACTTTTATTCCATCCGCCATATTGGATCCGCCATTTGGAATCTGGTAATTCTGACTTCTGAATCGTAATCAGCTAGCCCGAAAACATAAAGAACCAGTAGCAATTTAGGTGTTTGAAATTTGATTCTTCTCTTCACTTAATTATACTCAATTTCTGATTATCAATGAACACACCAAACTATTCAAATTCAAGACAATTTCTCAGAGAGCAAAAGAAATATTCAAACAAATCAAAATTGATTTTGAAAGAGTAATACTTTCAGATGCCATAATGAGTTTTGTGGAGAAATATGACCTTAGGATGTAACATAACCTCAAATATAGCAAAAAACTTGTTTTCAGCACTTTTAGGTTAGGATATTTGTAAAATCTGATGTGATGGAGCAATTCTGAGGTCGGATTTTGGAACTAACTTCGGGAAAGTAATGTCTGGTTTCTGGTTTGAAAGTTAAGTCACAATTTGTCGGCCTGTGTTCCCTTAGAATATTTTTAATATCACTTTTCTTTAGCGTCCAGTCATCAGTCTTTGTGAATTGGTTATCAAGCAACGAATAGAGCAAATCCCAATCTAATAAAAAAAATGCTAAATATTGTAGGCTGCCCTAAAAAGAATTATTACCTCTTTGCAATATGATTTGAATTGTCGAATGCAAAACTCTCCTGTTACTGTGTGCGTATATCATTTTTATAAAATGACTAAATTTTGCACTTACCTGGTGAACAACCACCGTTATTTATCAGCTGTTCTCCATCTTCATGACAATTTGTATAGTATTTATATAGTATGTAAGTCCTGGATACATATTTTTCTAGATTAGTAATTTTAGATGAAACCTAGACCCTAACGTCTATTTTAGGAGTAAAAGTGTGTTTTTACACTTTATTTTTAGTTTCATTGTGATAATAAATGAGCTGTAGAGAAATTTGATATTATTTTTATAAGTAGGCTAAAAACCTTTCCAGCAGTGTACTTAGCGAGAAACTGTTTGCATTGTAAATTGCAGATTTTCGTTAAAATATGGTTATGTTATGTGTTTACGCAACATAACCTCAAAAATACGTTTCATATTGTTTCTCTCGACTATGATGGCACTTTAAGATACCTCAACGAAAACTAGTAGTTTTTTTATTTCGTTGAGACACACCACCGAAACGAAAGCGTTATTTTAAAGTTTATGTTGCGGTTTGCACGGACACACCTAACTCTCATCTCATCACAGTCTAATGATGTAACGTCAATTGCAGGTTAATTTACGAATTTACCAAAATATAAGAATTTTTGCTAGTCATGGTTTTTTGATTTCCACCCGCACTTAGGGAATATTAGTTTATCTAGCCTTCTTAATATTAGTTAGCGTAGCTTGTGCGTAAAAGTTGTATATTGTTGCAACGGAAAAGATTTTTAATCTCGGCAAATGAGCAAAGTGCACATGGTAATAGATTATGTTAAGGGTCTATTTAAAAAAAGGTACTTCTAAAAACAGGAGAATTATAGTGATATATTTCCTGACTGTTCACTTTGCACATTATCAAAATTATATCCATATGTTTGTTAATCTGTTGAGGAATATTATCTGAGACGTCTTCCGACGATGCCAAATTTTTAAATTTTTACTAAATGAAACATAGTCGGGTCAGTGGATTTTTTATCTTTTATTATTATTGTTCGTCCGAACACACGGAGAAATAAATTTCCAGTTTGCAAATGGCCAAACGGTAAAAATTAAAAAGAATATACAGGGTCGGAAAGTACCGATGGTCCATCTGCTGTTACGTGAGAGCGATAAAGTAAGTCATAGAAATCCGTGCGATAGAGAAAGATGGCTATAATGAAGGCGTCTAATAGTCACCGCCTATTTCGCCCTTCCACAAATAAGAAGTGGATCTTATTTGTGGAAGGGCGAAACGGGCGGTGACTGTGAGATGCCTTCATTATAGCCATCCTTCTCTATCGCATGGATTTCTATGTCTTACTTTATCGCTCTCACATAACGGCAGATGGACCATCGGTACTTTCCTAACCTGTATAGTATGTTCCAGGATTGTTAAAGAGGGAAAGTTTTTTTAATTTGTGAAAAAATGCATTCTTTATAAAGTATGCTACTTGTTCTTATATTTCTTGAAAAATTTTAGTATTTTCTTGTTTTTATTTACAGGATGTTTCCTTTAGAAAGATAGCCAAGAGAAAAGCACTAATTTCTGTTAATTTGCAAAAAAAAATAATTACTTCATTTTATACCAGTTAATGATTTATGTTTTTGCAATTATACCGGAAACTAATTAACAAATTATAATTAATTAAAATCTATTGATTTCAAATTCCAGAAGATCATAATTAAATTGTAATTCTGAATTCTGAAATCCTACTTGGTAGTATAACCCTAGAATTCTGGGTTTCTCGAAAGTTGCCGCCCTGTAAGCAGTATAAAAAAAATTATACAATTTGGAACATTATGATACCAAGCAAAATTTCAGAATAACAATATATCCTGATCCTGAGCAGGCTTGATCTGAAATCAGTGGATTTTAATTAAATTAAACAATTCTGCACACCTGCTTGGAATGTCTAATAATATTTCTTAGTAACACCTTTCGATATTTCAGAAATTTAGAACGCCTGGATTCTGATTTTTATGTTTTTTTGTTTGTTTTTTTTTTATTGTACTGTACTTATAACTATAAAATCAAGAGAATAATTTTTAATAGTTTAAGAACAAGCAATAAATGTTATCGAAATATTAATGTTTTTTGTAAATTTCCAAAAAAAAGTATACGATCATGGGATGCAATATATACATGGTGTTAATTAAGTATGTACAATAAATTCAACAGATGATTATTTGAGTGATTTTAAGACAAAAAGTTCTTATAAACATTGGTCCGCAGATGCTTCGTTTTCAAGATACAGGGTGTTAAACTTTTGGAAAAAAATAGCTATTTCGTAAGTATCTTAAATACCCTTTACCCAATTTTGTTGTAACTTGGGAGTGTTACTTGTAGTGTTAAGGGGCTAATTTAACCCTAATTTGATTAGATGTGTTAAATCCAGTGGCGTTCCGAGCGGTACCTTAACGAATATTTTTGACAAAAAAAATGTACGCCAATTACTTTGTAATTAAAAAAAAATTTTTGGATTAAACAACTAAAAATACAACTTTTTTGTCTCTTGACTGTTTTTCGTATCTTGATTTGACAAAAGTTTAACACCCTGTATCTTGAAAACAAAGCATCTGTGGACCAATAGTTATATGAACTTTTTGTCTTAAAATCACTCAAATAATCGTTTGTTGAATTTATTGTACATCCTTAATTAACACCCTGTATAAAAACATGTTTATGGAATGGATCACTTTTATAGAAAGATAGACCCTCCACTGGCCAGATTATTACTTTGCCTTGCAAAATAATTGAAAAATTAGAACTTTATTGACTTTGCAGTCATTGCGACATTGCATTTATTCATTTTATTATGTATTTATCTGCACTTCTTTTAAGAGTTACGAATCTAGTTTGTTTTGTTGCTGTATAGTTTGTTTTTGTAATTTCGTACAAGCATTCCTATTCTGTTGCAACAAAAGTTATTTTTAAAATTAAGGTATTGAGCACATGCAGTTTTGCATTACAAAATTTTAATTTGGTATCATCTCGGACTTTGCACCTTGACTTCAATTATTATTCGTGAAAAATGGACTAAACTGGCATAATATCTTTATTGCCCAATGTGACGGTGTTTTTCTAAGAATTAAAACCATTTTTATTATGTGATTAAGTTGTGGTATAAATTTTAAGCTTCGGTAAATAAATTAATTACGTATAACCCTTACCTAGCGATTTTTCTTAATTTAGATTACTCGTACATCGTAAAGTGTCTTTGTTGAATGATACCAAACTAAATCAAACATATGATGTAGAATAGCTGCAAAATTGAAACAATTGACTGAATTTGAAAAAAATCTACTATGAGACTAAATTGATAAATGATTGAATGATTTTTTACAAATGTATATTTATATTTTTGCAAACATTATAGTTTTTATGCAAAGTTATATGATTTATTGTAATACTGTCATAGGCGTTAGAAGTGAATATGAACACTGCTGTCTTAGTAAGTTTGTGTTAAATGCAGAAATAAATGTAAATAAGTTGATTATTACTTTGTGTTTTTATTTTTTAATCATTTTTACCCATCATTTTATGTGACTGTACCAATCAACCACTTAAAAGAATCAGAAACATAATTTTTAAATGCATTGCAAGATGAGATGTTCAAAGATAATAGTACACCGCTCCCTCTCCCATACAAGCTCAAGGCTGATCCTTTCATTCTAATACATATAGTTAACTTAAAGTATATGCCTAAATGAAAATGTTTGAAAAAAATATTTTCAATTATAAACAGGTGGTTTCACATTAAATTTTGAAATTAGTATAGAATTGGTTGATTGGAAAATTTCTTGTGTATAATTCATGGCTACTCAACTGAAATCCATTGGATTATTTTTGTGAAATTTTGAAAGATAAAGTTTATGGTTTAATACAAACTTGAAGAAAATTAAGGCAAAGAAATCAAGAATATTTACTGACCTACTTCAAATTTATTATTCCGTATAAAAAAAATATGTTTGCCGATGATCTTTCTAGATTTTTAAAGAAATACATGCCAAAATTAACTGAATTTCTTGTATCAGTAGCAGACATGGTGCCTTGGAATTAATACAATGAAACAATAGAACTGTGCGTGTCAAAAAAATAAGTTTTGATATTAATATTTTTCGAAAAAAATCATGGCCTACTTTTACACAAAACCCCACACTGTGATCCACTTCTGAGTTTGGAATTTTTAATAATTGATTAATTGCACATGTGGTTTTGTGATGTGTTCTGACAAAAAGATTAGTTTTAAAATTAGGGAGTATATTTCATAATAATATCAATATGGAAAATTAATATCATCTTATACCCGCTTCATGAAATATTTTAAGTATTTAGGAAACTACGTCAATCAGTTTATTAAGCGATAAAGAAGGCCTTCCAATCGATTTTAATATTAGCATCATTACATTACCGCATCATCAAAAAATATTAAATACCTATAAACGGAACAACATTGTTGCGGCGACTGACTGGCGTTTTCGTTTTTGAGGACACAAATTACTGAACTATTATTTGGGGAATTCTGAATTAGTTCAGAATATAGTTTAGTGCGCATACAGTTTTGCGTCGATTAAGTATAAATTTTTCAAACAGTTTTCGATTTCAGAACCAAAACATCTCAGAGTTGTAGGAAATTTTTTGGTAGGTAGGTATTCCAAGGAATTATATAAAATATAAAAACAATTGACTTACATTTCGAAGATATAAAACAAACTTTTGTTTTTTTTTTAGTGGTACACTCTTTGAATATGAAACGGCATTGGAATCCCCAAGGCCCCTACAATATATTTAAATATATGTCTGCCATATAATAAAAATAAATTGATATGTCAAAATTATTGTAGAACGTAGCTGAAATTTTTGAATGTAACTGAAATTGGTACTACTGAATAAAAATTAAATCACTAAAAATCCCTAAAATCGACCAATAAATTAAAACCAGTTGTGTTGTCTTTAACTTGTAAATTTTTTTAAGCCAGGAAATTTCCAACACTTTTTGTATTATACACACCTATATAAAATTGTAAATTTCTTCATAAATTTGTTAAAATAAAGATTTTAGAAAATGAATGCATCTTCGAGAGCTCAACATCAATAAATTTAATAAAATTTCAAGTTCTGTAGACTGTCAACTAATGCTATGTTTTATTCCCTGTGTATACATTTAACGGAAACACACATGGACTTTAGCTTTATTTAAAAACCGAGCGGAATAACCGTAAATTATCAGCTGATCAATAGTTTTCGAGGCGGCTCAATCAACGTATAGACGACCCGTCCACATAACGCGTTTCGCCATCGACGCGATAAGCGTCTGCACATGGTCGGGAAATATCGCGGGTTACACAAATTCGTTTTTGGTTACAGTTTGGTGTCACTCGTTGTGAAATATTTCTCTTGTAAGTATATTCTTTTTATTTTAATTTTCTGCACTCATTTGCCAGGGTCTCAGTGAGTTTTAGTGTATTTGATCGATAGAAAACCTAACCTACCTATTTTTTAACTAGTGCTTCAAAGGCCGCATGCCCGCGACTGGCGGCATGCTAGATTTGAATATTTTAAATGTTACGAGGTGTCCGCGAAAAGATAGTCCAACATGTTTTGTATAAAAACTGGAAGCAACGTCTACACTGAATGGTAATGGTATTATGTGGTAAATTTTCGATAGGTAAGACGTCACTAAAATTTTATTAGTGCTAATAGAAAACGACAAACGATGCACCTTATCGTAGTACGATGATAAATTTTCAAATACAAAGTTTTTGTTTGTTTACATTTGATGTGCAATTTAGAATTAATATTTTTAATGTTTTTTTTTATACTACACAATGTTTGCCTTATTGTAGTTGTTAGTTTGTTATTTATTCTCCACGAAGTAGTAACGACTTTCTAAAACATCAACCGATGATTTTTGAAATTTGTTAATTATCCATCTGTTCATTTTTTGTTAACCTGTAATAAGTAATTAAAAAGTAGTTAATGTTTGACTCAAATAATAATTATTTAAGTAGACAAAAGTAGTATTTGAAAACCGAAATTCAAAATTAATGAAGCAAAATAATTATCCATCAGTCAAAACCATCTAGAGGATTTAGCGAGTTATAAAAGTTTTTTATTTTTTTTGCTCGAAAACGGCCGCAGATACGAAAACATTGCAAGTGACAGAAAAGTTTCTAAATTGAACAAGGAATTGAACCCTTGTTCTAGAAAAGACCAGTGGCGTACCGGAAGAAAGTTTGGGGGGCTAAAAGTAAGTCCGACCTCCAGAAAAAGTATCACCCTGTAGGTGGTGACGACTATTAGGCAGGGTTATTGAAAAAATTATTGAAACTTTAACACTGTATCAACGTTTTTTCTTAAAATTGTGCGCAGATTCCCCCTCCCCCCAAATAAAGACATACTATTATGAAACACCCTGTATAAATTAGAAAAAGCCCTGGAATTCGTTGAAATAAAAAATATTCAGCAAAAATAAAATCATCGTGAATCTAGAAAAACAAATAGTCAAATAACCATAAAAAATCATGAATGAAAAACAAATAATCCAAAGAAAAAATGTTATACTTGTAAATTTTGAGCAGTACAATTAAAATAGTCGTGCCTAGAGACACCAAATCTACTTTGCTTTGATGCTCCCCGCCTGTGCTTTTCTTGATTGTAAATAAAAAAAAAACTATTCCAATCTGAATTATCTTTATCACATAAATATATGTTTACATTATATTAAGAAAGGTCAGGTTGCGTTTTACATGCAGAGCAAAGTGAAGTAAACATTAGTCATGAAGCTCCCACAATCTCTTTAGAAAAACGTAAATTTCAAAATAATCAAATAATTTTACATATCTTTTATTAAATTCATTCAACTGTGTGACAAGCTCTTTTTAAATTGAAAAAAAATAACTCGAAGAAGGTTTTTTCGAATAAAGTGAAAAACATCTTTTTTTATATCACTAACCCAGTGCAGTGAATTTTTGTCTTTTATTTTTATCACTAACCAAAGCCATATGTTCAGAGATATTCGAATATTATGATAATATTTTTAACTAACACCTGTGTATCTTTAAAACCTAGTAGCTTTCGACCCTTGCTTCATTATTTCCATTTAATATAAAATGATAAATAGAACAAGTTCCTACGGTTATTATACAGACTTAGAAAACATTCTATATCTATATGATATAATTTAATTCCTCTTTGTATTTTAATCCATTTAAACTGGTGTATTTTTGTACAAATGTAGCTTATTGTTAGATAAGCAAATAATTCTTGGTATTTAGCAATATAATTTAATTGAAATGTACTGATATGTTACATAGTTATTATTAGAATAAAATTAGTCAGCACTTTTCGATTTTTAATGTTGCCTTTCGCCGAGACAGGTGTGTAAAACTTAAATAAAAAAATTAAAGTAAATTAAAACACAACCAATTAAAAGTAGAGTATATTTCCATGTTATTAAAATTTCTAGAATATACAGTACTATTTTTTTTTATTAAAATAGGAACTGACCTATAATAATACAAAGTTTTGCTACTGATTATTTTATCGTTTTTCTCGTTAAATTTTAGCGTTTGCGTTTGCGTTTGCGTTTAGTAGTTTCACACATAATGTATGTTTTCTTTTGATAGAATTTATGTAAACAATAACACTTGATAAAAGAGCTGTGTTATATACGTCAACACATTTTTTGGTCTATTACCATAAAAACAGTCATTGTTTTCTTTTAAGGTTTAGATCAACCCTCGTATTAAATCCACCTAGGATACCTATAAAACTGTTGAAATATAAAGAAAATATAAACTTTTGCCAAACAATGACACATGATTTACGAAAATATAAATGCAGTTTTTATATAAGTGTTGCCAAAAGTTACAAACCCATTGACATTATTTTGCGAAACGCTTTTGAGTTTCCAAATATACAGGGTGTTTCTAAAATAAGGTTCCAAACTTCTGCTGCGTTTATAACTAATTAAAATAAGCCAAAAAGTTCCTATTAACATTTGCCCTAAAACGCATCCTTAGGAAGTTATATGCCCTTAAAAGGGCTCAAACAAAACTGTTTTTTTTCAATATTTAAATTTGGTAAACAGATTTTTGTCATTTTTGGCCTAATAACTTAAAGAGCAGAGTAATTTTCAAACTCAATTTACTCGAAAACCATTGGAAATATCGATTTGGACAAAGATAATATTGTAAACGTAAAATTGTTTAAGATTTTATAAATATGTAGAGAAAATTGTAAAAAAATTGAAATAAAAAAAATTACGTGCCGAAAACCCCCTTCACCAACCTAAATGGGACGCATATGATTTGCATGTCGAAAAACGGAGTAGCCCATGTTATTTAACGTAAAAAGTTATGTAAGACCCATACATTTTTTTCTATTTATTTGCGACCGTTTTGTCAATAACAGAAAAAAAAAACAGTTTTGTTTGAAACATTTTAAGGGCATATAACTTCCTAAGGGTGCGTTTTAGGGCACATGTTAATAGGAACTTTTTGGCTTATTTTAATGAGTTATAAACGCAGCAGAAGTTTGGAACCCTATTTTAGAAACACCCTGTATGTATTTGCAGCGGTCTAGTGAAGTTTTATAGTTATAATCATAACTATCATGATAGTTTTTTGCGATGACAAAAAAAAATAACAATTTGAAACAGTGTTCAAGGAAATAACGTTGTCTTATGTCGATCAATAAACAAATTACCAGACCCAGTATAAAACTTGTAGATTTTATTTTAATTTCAAGGTAAAACAATTCCAGTTACTGGCTATGGTAATTGTTTTGCTTATGTTCTACAATAAAATATGGAAATAAGAATAAATTTGGAAGAAAGGAATTTACGTTTTTAAATGTGGTAGGTCGGATACTTTTTTCCATAGCTACAATTAACAATGTATCAATGAGAGAATTTCTTCTGTTCTCTACGGAAATAAAAATAGTAACCATAGATATTATTTCTCTTGGCATGGATCAAATGTGGTTCTCTCTAGTGTAGTTGTAATAATTATTATCAGTTAGTTAAAATGTATTTGTTAATAAATATAGTAAGTAACTTCATTTATGTAGAAGAAATAGAAAGCTTCAGTTGCTACACTGTCAAAAGACCTTCATTTGTTAATATGTAATTTTCCTAAATCAAGTTTTTACATTTTTTCAGGGTACCTTGTATAACTCTTTGTGAATAGCGTTCACTTCTTTTCTGCGCCTTACATCAGGTTTGCAATTTATTTTTAAAATTAATTATTTCTTCTACCTCCCGTGTCTTATTTCTTTGCCTTGTCAATATATTTGACAGAGAGTCATTGCCCTTACAAGGATCTTTTAGTAGAATCACGCCATATTCCATAGTAGCCTATTCGGTACCTACATATTCAAAGTCAAAAGTTTGTTGATCCTACTTATACATTTGACCAATAGTAAAAAATCTTCTAATATATCTACAGGACAAAGTTATGTGCTCATAATAAATAAATATATATTTCTTTTTCATTTTATTTACAAACCTAAATAGAATCAAACCACCCAAATAACACAAATATGTCCCAAGTATATCTTTAGAATATCTGGTGGCATATACCCGTATGTCCCAGGGACATATCCTTTGGACTATAAACTATTCTAAGGACTGTTTGAGGATGCCTGAATAACATATACCCCCGTATTTACGAAATGATACCTGTCGAAGACATACGGTTAATGTCCCTGGACTGGGAATAAAAATTGCTCGAGTAAACTTTGGACTCGAGGCAAAGTGAAGTGGAGGATAATAATCTTTATGAAAATTTTTTTCCAGTACATTTGCTCTCAGTGTAAAATTTATACATACTAAACTACCTTTTTAGATATTCTCTCTCATTCATTACGCCTTCATTTACGTGTTAATCCATAGATTTAGATAACGACTTATTGATTTGAAGCAATACGATGTCCAATTAACCAATTTAATAGTATTAGCACAAAAATGTAAAAATAATAAATCGGAGACGAACATTAAACATGTTAACAATTTATTTTGTAACCATTGCGTTATATTGTTTAATTATGTGATTTTTATTAAACGAATTGTTTTATTTGATTATTTTATTGTTGTATTAAAGTCACAGCCTTTGTAATCAGCGATAACTTTTACAAATATAACATTTTTTCGCCATATAATGAAAGTGATAACATCAAGTTGTCGATTTGGTGAAAACACGTGAAACATGTTCCTCGCGGTGTGATGTAATGTTATGAATTTTATATTTGTGAATTTATAATTTAATAAGTAAGTAAACGAAATGTAATAGACATTTGAAATACAATGTAATTATTTCTACAGATTTTTTTGTTTTACTTTTCTAAATGCCTAAAATGGGTGGTTTGCTATTAAATATTCAGCTAGGAGTGCAAAGTTCATGGATAATCCGTTTCGGCAACAACTGATGATCGCGACAACTTGATTTTATCTTTTTTCACTATATCCAACACATTTTTTGTTTTAAATTTTTCATAATTAATTGTAATCTATCCAGAAAAATGTATTCGCTTTCCACTAATATTTTGATGATATTTGTTTTTTATTTGTTTATCATTAAAAGTAATGTTACATACATTCAGTTGTTGGACATAGCTAATAAAGTTTACTATCTGAGATTTGATAATTGAAATCGCTAGGTCCTTTAATAATTACCAAAATACTGATTCGCTTAATGAAAACAAAATGTAGAATATTATAAAACTGCAGCTAAGGCCAACATTTTGGATAACCTGTGGCAGATATTTAATTTTAGTACTCCAAAATATTTGTCATTTAGCAAAGTTGATACTGCTACTGCTACTACAGCTACTACGCTAATGTCATGTGTTGATTTTCAAAAACAGTTACATAATTACATAAAAAATGTATCGATTGATATAATTAGACCAAGTGTTTCGTATATCCAAGGGTCGGTTGTTAAAAATGAAATTTATTTTAGTAGTCATTGAAGCTTTTCTCTTTTTTTCAAAAATAACGCTGGAAATCGATAGAGAATCAAATTTTGAGCAAAAAATATTCGAAGAATTTTTTCGAGAAATCAATAGTTATTCACGATTGAAAACTTGGAATTTTGAGAGAAAAAAAAATATTTTTTCAAAGTATTTTTCGCGAATATAATAATAACTTGTAGTACTCAAAAAGACCTTCAAAATGAGCATTTATAAAAGTTAATTAGAACAAAATCGAAGCAGTTATCGTCAAAAACAGATGGGTTGCTCATATTTTTTTAAGAAAAAATTAGCAGTAAACGCTATACCATTTCCATCAGAATTAAAATTAATCATAGACCCATTACAATTAGTTTTGTTTTAGTGTTTTTCATACGATCCTGAAGTTAGACCGGTTTAGAATGCTTATTTTTTGCATAATGTACCTACGGTAAAAGTTGAAAACGTATTTTTCATTATTCAAAAAAAATTGCCTTATTTATATAATAACTCTGAAACTATGAAAGAAAAAATAAAGGAGATACCGCCGCTTGAAGTATCCATCCAGAAGAAGAGCTTTTAGACAGTAATTCTAATGATTGTGAACATTAGTGAATTATTATAAGTATTAGTGAAACATTTTTAAATTTAAATTTAAATATACAAATAAAATAAGTAAAAAAATTTAGTGTGATTATTTATATGCAGCGTAGCCATTTTTTTATGATTGATTATATTTAAAAATCGATTATAATAAAAATATTTTACATTAATATTAGTAAAAGGGTAGTTTATAAGAGTTGAAAATGGCAAAAGTAAAATATTCTTTCATAAACAATATAAGGGAATTTTTATTTTAAATTATTGCACAATTATAGCATTCCAAGATTTAAAACGTATTTTTTTTTTTCATTTTTTTAGCACAGGGGTGATTTATAAGGGTTGAAAAGTGTTATGAGATACAAATTCTTTCATAAGCAATGAGGGAATTTTTATTTTAAATAATTGCATCGTTAAAGCATTCCAAGCTTTTAAAAAGTAATCATTTTTGTCAATACAGGTGTGGTTTATAGGGGTTGAAAGGGAAAAATTATTTTATTAGCTATAAGGTAACTTTTATTTTAAATAATTGCACGATTTAATCATTCCAAATCTTTAAAAAGTAATTTTTTATAATTATTTTTTGTATAGGGGCAGTTTTTAAGGGTTAAATAAAGGGTCGAAAAGATTAAATATGTCATAAAACATATTCGAGAACATGGAACATTATTTAATCTTTGTGCTTGAACAAGATTTTTATCAATAAAATGCTTAAAACTTAATTTTTTCAATTTTTTTCACTTAGGGTAGTTTTTACCCCTAAAAAACAAATTTCAATCGGGCTTATGTCACTTTTGAACTTGAGCCTAAGATGAGCCTTATTCTAAATTTTCATGTAAATCCATGTAGTTTCAAAGAATTCGGACGTTACAGCTGATTTTCAGCTTCACTATTTCGTTATCGTGAATGTGAATAACTACTTAGCAAATCAAACAATTCATCATTACCAAATCAAATTATAACAGTGAACTGAAATTTGAAAATCTGTTGTTTTTAAAAAATATTACCTAATTGTTTTACAGAATTGCGTTGGAAATTATCGTTTTGATTTATTAGTACATTCATTGGCTTTATTAGTATTTACATATATAGAAGAAAATAAAAACATATTTCGAAATTTTTATTTTATTTATTTATTTATTTATTTATTTATTTTACACCATCCAACATTACTGAAACGTGACTGAAACCATTTATAGGATGGGAAAAAACAAAAAAAATTATTTGAACAACAAATATACCAAGAAACAAGTTACAAAATAAGAGAAAACATATACATACAAACATTCAAACAAACTTGTTGAGTATTCAAATATTTTTTAAATGTTTTAAATTATTATCTTGGTATTTTCAAGAACAATTTACGACTTACAATTTTAGTAACAGAAACACAATTCCCCGTTTATTGTCTCAATCAATATGTATTGTTTTCTTTCAACTACAGAATTTTAAATTAACATTAATAAAAACATTCATTGATCGTTGATCTGTTGACCCTTCAATTAACATCTTCAAGGGCTTATTTCTGAAGTTAGTAAATAAAACACATTTTTGTAGTAGTTTTTTAAAATTTGTTCCAACATTAATTATAAACATTTATTTTATACGTTCTATTATTGATCGCGCAAAAGAAAACTGTTTTTAGTTTGTATTCGGATCCAGTTTTAACTGGTTACCAAGGGAACTGCTAATAATTAAGAGAGATAGTTGTAAAAATAGACCTTGTTATTTTAAAAATGTTTGTTCAATCCAGATCCTTAAATATTTATGTCTCTGTAGCGTACAATGTTCCGTGACTAATAAAAAATGTTCGTGTAAGATTCTGAGAAAAATGTGGGCTGCTTAAAGTAAATATAATTATAATATAATAATAACGCAAAACATTCCTTATTAAACCAACAAATGACATGCACAATTTGGGAATTTAGTTTAATAGTTCAAGGATCTATAGAACATTAAAAAATAATATGTTTTTTTCAGACACAGTGCGTTAAATACAAGATACAAGTAAGATTTGAGCATGCTAAAAACGCATTATTAGTTTTCGAGCATCTACTAGAGGTCGCTAGCTGCGACCTTACCTAGAGACAACTTATGACGTTTTTGAGGTTAGGTTTTTTCGATGTATGTCGTATATTATAATTATAATGTAATCTCACTCTTATTGAATTGTACCTTTTTTGCGAAAAATACAAAGTCACAAAGTCAACAATTCTACTTCGTAACATACTGAGTGTCTTGAAAAGAATGGCCCATTCATTTCCTATTACTACTTTATGGATGAAATAAACCGACTTAGATCGAATTATCTACAAACTGGCTTCCTTAAAAAGTTATGTTAGCATTAGTTAAAACATTTTTTTTAAATATTGGTAACTTTTTAGGAAATTTGACTTTTTTTAATATTTATATCATCGTACCAGTCGACACTGTCGCTACTGACATTTTTCTTCCTTCTATTTTTGTCTCTTATCTTTTAAGACGGAAATGATTACGACAAATCGCTTTCTTAAATAAAACACTAAACTAATTAAATTTGAACGAACCTTGATTTCAACGAAACATATTTTACACGTACCTAAAAATATTTAAAAAGAAAATAAAATGATAAAATTTTACTTGACAGATGTCATCTTCTATTTTGATATACAGGGTCGGAAAGTCCCCATGGTTCATCGGCCTTTACGCGAGAGCGATAAAGAAAGTCATAGAAATGCGTGCGATAGTGAAAGATGGCTATAATGAAGATGTCTAATAGTCAACGCCCATTTCGCCCTTCCACAAATAGGATCCACTTCTTATTCATGGGGACTTTCCGACCCTGTAGAATGTGTTACCTGTTAAAGCTAAAGAAATAATTAATAATATGTTATACAGGGTATTCCACCTACGCCCAATAAAACTAAAAATATTTTCTATACATGGCCCACGTGATTCAAGATAACTTTTATTAAAACAATTTTTTTTATAAATTTTACAGTTACAGAGTTACAGAAGAATCCCTCTTAGATGGAACACTCTGTATAATAGTTCATCTCAAATTAAATTTAACATAGGATTATGTATGAGCCGAAATTGTGAAATACTATTTTTCGTTCGTGCACTTCCAATGTGGCTCGTGGAAACCAATATTTTCATCTTTTGTTGTAAAATATACTATTTTCGATATAGTTCAACGTATATTGTCGCCAAAAGTGTACAGGTCCGGACTAAGACGCTTTGTATTTTCTACACAGCAGGGGTGATACTCTTCATTTTAATTGTTTCCTTTTTTTTCAGGGGAAGTAATGTAAGGTAAACAAAGATGGCGATCAGAGCCCTCTTTGGGGCATGGGATTACGTAGTGCTGGCCATTGTTCTGATAATATCAGCATCAATCGGCGTGTACTACCGATTTACAGGTGGCAAACAAAAAACAGCAAAGGTAAGTAAAAAAACTCCTATTCTCAAAACGTAGAAAATATTAAATAAGTCAGTTGTTTCCGCCATGTTATAGACACTATTACTTTATGTTTTATCACTAGAGTTCGGGAGACGCGGCTCTTAACAGAGTCGTACTCACTTCCTCTCCCAATTTTCATATCAGTCCTTGCTAGACTTTGTACGGTAGTTCCATACCATTCACTATCTCCTGTCTCAGTTTGGCACCATATTTTATCACCCTGTGTAACAATTTTGTCTATTTTAGGAGTACTTACTGGCTGACAAGAATATGTCCATCGGACCCGTGGCGTTTTCTCTGATGGCATCCTTCATGTCGGCCATAACTTTGCTGGGGGTTTCCAGTGAAAATTACACTTACGGCATCCAGTTTATTGTGATAAATATTTCCTACGGAATATTTACGCCCGTCGCAGCATATTTGTACCTGCCTATTTTCTTCAAACTGCAAGCTACCAGCGCATATGAGGTAAGTGCATCTTCACCTTCTCGTTATGCAAAGACACTGAAGAACGTTTTGCTTACATTGAAATGTTTTTGCAATAAAGTGTTTTAGTTAAAAAAATACATATAATTGATTTTCTGGATTACCTAAGAACAAAAACCGCGTGAGCCTATGTTTTAAACGGCTTAACTTTGCAGATACGGGGTGTTAGAGTTTTTAAAAATATAACATTTTCACAAATATCTTGACTCATACTACTGGAAAAAATAATTACGCTTTCATATAACTTTTTTTTTCGAAAACCCGATACTAACGGAGATACATAACCTCAAAGTTTAGTTTTTTTGTTTATAACTTTTTTAATACTCTAGCGGCTGTTTTCAAATTTAGAATATTTGTTCCTTTCACAAGAGTGCAGTTTTAAATAAAAATTTTTGCAAATTTGTAATGCCCAAATATAAAGGGCATGCTTTTGATAGGTATAAAAATAGCAATAACCTTTTTAATTTCAATTCTATAAAAAATTTGAGGACATTTCATGAAAAAATAGAAAATAAAAAACAACACAATGCTGCTCCTATTTGTCGAAAAAGCCCACTGATTTCGTGAAAATCGACATTTTATATTTTTTAATATACCAGTGATCTTACTTATTTTACTTATTTTATCATATAAGCGAAGTGCGCTGTGAAAACAACTGCTTAACTATAAAATAAAGAAACAGAGGTAAACACAAGGTATACAATGCAATGTTTGAATTGAGTTTTTGATAAAATTGTTCTTAGTGGTTTGGAAAACTGTTCTAATATTAAACAAAATTAAAAGTAGAGTTTGCTCTATACATTTTTTCCTGGGTACGTGGTATTCAAGATACAGGGTGTTCAAGTTCCCAAAAAAAAATATATTTTCGGTCATATCTTCATATTACGCTGAACGATTTGATTTAATTTTACATACCGTACCACACTATACTCCGCGGTCGAAATTATAGAGAGTGATTCAGACATAATATAAAAACACTATTACCATAATGCGTATAAAATATAAAATGATTTTTATACGGTTCAATATTATTTATCTTTGTGCCGCTCGCTACGCACATCGATATAATCTATAATCGTCTACAGACTGAGGTACACTGAACGTCGATCTATATTCTATCTCTGTCTTTTGCACTTGGTAGGGAATAGGGAAATGCTTTTTTAGTGGGTGTAAACGGACTTGATTTACCAGTCCTGAGAAACGTCATAGCATAAGCGTAGACGAGGGGTCTAATTCCATGGCTATAATAAATTTATAAATTAAAAAAACACACTCGCGGCACTAACGACTTTGTGTTTCGCCCTCTATAGGCGACATTCGTGCAATAAAGTACCTGGCAAATTTTAGCAGGTCGCTTCCACCGTAGTAGCCATTTGAATGGCATAGTGGAAGTCAGCGCGATAGATGGAGCCTTTGTGCTTCACGTACTAAAAAAACACAACTGGGACGTTTTAAAATGCTGTAATAATTAAAATGGATCAAAATGCCGATTATAGCAAACGGTAGAAAATATTAGATGTTATGTTTTATTATCTTTTTTCAATATTTTCTATATCTTGCTGCCTTTTACGCAGACACGCAAATGGATTTTCGTTCCCGGCTCGCTTCATCCCCCTTACTAGTCTAAAAGCTAGCGATGAGTCACTCTCTATAATTTCGACCGCGGAGTATAGTACCATACATAACTGTTCCGTGTGGCAGAAATATCGAATCAAATAAAATGAGTAACGAAATGCCACAAATATGTAAATAATTACTGACATTGTATTTAATAAATGTTATATTTTTCAATAACTTTAACACCCTTATCTTGAAAACGCTGTTTAAAACATGAATATACCAACTTTTCTTCTTAATATGACACGAGGAATCACCTCTTGAAATATTTTTACGTTTGTTTTCCCTACAAATATGGTTGTACATTTATTTAAAAAATTTATTTTAAATTTTAAAATATAATAGAACTGAATTTCTTCCGAATAAAGATTTAACGGTAATATAGTGCTATCCTCTAGTATTTAGAGAGAAGATTTGGGAAAACGGCGAGACTAGCTGCGTCCCTTTCCTACACCCTCCAAATGACCCTCTACATGGGAATAGTGCTGTACGCCCCTGCCTTAGCCCTCGAAGCTCTTACTGGAATTAGTCAAGTCACCGCTATCTTGTCTGTTGGTACGTAGATTTGTAAAATAAATACACAACTGTTCTTTTTAACGTTTCTTTTTTGAGATATTTACAGAAACATCTTAAGGACGCCATTTTTCAATTTTTCAGGTATAGTGTGTACATTTTATTCGACAATAGGCGGCATGAAGGCAGTACTGATGACGGATGTCTTTCAATCCCTACTAATGTTCGCAGCGGTCTTCAGTGTTGTAATATTTGCCGTTGTAGAGAAAGGAGGTTTTGCAGAAATTTGGAGGATAGCCGAAGAAGGAGGAAGGACAGATTTACTGAAGTAAATATAGCTGCTTTTATAAAGGGTGCTTTTTTAAATAACATACTCTATAACTTTTAACGAATTGGCCTCAAATTTGGCGTCTTGGAGTAAAAAGGCATTGTGCCAAAATAGTAGGCAGTCAGACTCATTCACAACATGTATACCCTTGCGACTAGTAAGGGGTGCGAGAAATTTTATTCCATGGGCGTACCAGTTTAGAAGGTTCCAAAAATTGTTAAATATAGAACAGACATATAAATGTGCTGATTTTGATGCTGCTGATGGAAATAGAAGAAGTATAACACAACGAGCTCTAGCCATTTCATCTACCATTTATATTTCATGTATTTCATTCCATTACTTTTGTCCATGCAGTTTTTATCAATTTTCCTATACGTCGACTATGGTAAAGCGCATTATCCATGGCAATCATTACACAAAGTTTGACGTGACCCAAAGTAGATGTACACTATTTTTGAAGTACTCTTAGCCTCATGGAAATCCCCTGTTCGCCTCGACTTTAACACATGGAAAGCATTATCCAAATATCCACATTCATTTCCGAGTACCTACTAATTTCGTTTCATTCACAATACACAGAGCAATCTTAAAAAATCTGCGAAGTTGATGTTAAAAATAAAATCCATGGATCTCCCTACGAATAGTATATTTCACTAGAATTATGAGTGGAAAGGTGACATTTTTGAAATTTATTTGCTTTGATTCATTGGTAGAACTGATTCATACGTCAAAAAACTTGACAAAGTCTGTAGCAGTATAAAACCACACTGTTTACCAATAAATTCGTGAATTAATTCATGAAGAACTTCGTCAATTTATTGATGAATAAATTGTCAATGTAAAACAGCTATTAGAAATACAGTGATAGAATGTTTGACAGGTTTATAACAATTAAGTAAAGACAAGGGGCATTCCACGCCAAATGGACCACTTTTAACCCTGACTCCTTTCAATTTGGCTCAAACTTTTTTATTGCTTTCTACCCCATTGAAAACTTCACTGAGAATTTTTTCACCCAACTCAAAATAAGTTATGAATTTTTGAAAAAAATAGCTTTTTTTAAATAACGTTTTCAAAAATTGAGTTATCGGGACGTTTTTTCTCCAAAATTTTTGTTTTTATTGCACTTTTTGAAAAAAAATAGATCAAAATTATCTTAACCTATCTTTACTGTTTTTTTTTCAATTTTCGATTTTCGAATTTCTTGATTACCATTTTTTAATTTTTTTTTTCTTATAAAAAACTGACATTTTTATAAATCCTCAAATTTTTTCAGTGGCGTTTTTTCCTTTCTATTTTTTTTATTGAGTGAAAATTTTTTTTTCAAATTTAGATTATTTCACATAACATTTTCAAAATTTTTGAATCCCAAAATTGAAAAAATTTATTCTATGCAGCGATTGATGACAATTTCAAAAAGCCAAACGGATGGTTCCAAAATGATTTATTTGAGTTCAAATGCGTCGCATGTCTTCTTTTAAAGCCCACTGTTCGTCCAAAAATGGACCAAATAACTATTTTTTTCTTCATTTTCTTTGTTTTTGGATGTAGTTTTCGAAAAACGATATAAAAAAATTATTCATAACGAGCTTCTATTTTTTTTCTTAACTTTTTCAAAAAAAAATAGAAATTTTTTTCATGTTTACCACTTTCAATTATTTCTTTCATATTTTTTTCAATTTTGGGATTCTATATACATTTTCAAAAATTTTCAAAATTGTGTGAAATAAGCTAAATTAAAAAAAAATTCAATCAATAAAAAAAATAGAAAACGAAAAAACACCGCTCTGAAAAAATTTGAGGATTTACAAAAAATGTCAGTTTTTTATAACAAAAAAAAAAAAAAAATACGGTACATCGAGAAATTTTCGTTTTTTTTTCGAGATTTGAAAAAAAACATTGTAGATAGTTTCAGATAATGTTGATCTATTTTTTTTCAAAAAGTACATTTAGATACAATTTTTTTTTAAACGTCCCAATAACTCAGTTTTTGAAAAAAGTAAAGTTATTTTATTTAAAAAAAAAGCTATTTTTTCAAAAATTCATAACTTTTTTTCAGTTTGGTGAAAAAATTCTCAGAGGTTTTGAATGGGGTAGAAAACAATAAAAAAGTTTCACCCAAATTGATACCACCCAATACACTTCTAGTTATATCTGAAAAACAGTAATCTAGTAATGCAATTGTCCCCATTAAGTTGGCCGTACCCAGGATGTTAAATTTGACATCAATCAAACAGAATGTACAAAAGTTATAAAGATAAACACCTTGTATAGTTTAACTAACATATTTTTCTACAGTTTCGATCCAGATCCCATCGAGAGACACAGCTGGTTCACTCTGATCATCGGAGGTGGTGTCACATTCTTATCACTTTATGCCGTGAATCAAACTCAGGTGCAGAGGTACTTAACCGTGAAAGATCTGAAGAAAGCTCAACAGGCCTTGTGGCTGAACTGGCCCATTCTGTCGGCGCTTAGCCTGAGCACGTCGTTCTCTGGATTGGCGATATATTCAAGATATTTCAATTGCGATCCGTACGACGCCAAATACATAAGCAGTTTCGATCAGGTAGATATTTCTGAAAATCGGCGCCCCACGTTGGGCGCCAAATTGCCTTTCAAGGATATAATTTGCTTCATTTCATATTTGATTTTGTAGTTGATGCCTTATTATGTGGTCGACACCATGGGCCACATTCCTGGACTTTCGGGCCTTTTCGTTGCTGGCATATTCAGCGCCTCCTTGTCTACGGTGTCAGCTGCAGTGAACAGCTTAGCGGCCATAACGATTGAAGACTATTATAAGGTAAGTGTCATGAAAGAGGTTTGTTATAAATAAACTGTTTTTTTAAAATTTTAGCCTCTACATTTGCTAATCTTTAAAAGACCCGTTGCGGAAAAACGTATACCTGTGCAGTTGAAAGTCGTTTCTTTGGTTTTTGGAATCGTGTGCATTGCGGTGGCCTTCTTGGCACAGTTTCTGGGAGGAGTCCTGCAAGCGGCTTTAACGATATTTGGGGTAGTAGGAGGACCGTTGTTGGGTTTGTTCTCTCTAGGGATGTTTACTACCATGGCTAATGAGAAGGTATGTGAGAGCTAAGCTCTCAAAAAAGGAGCCGTTTGATTTTACTAAAACTAAAATGTTCTCGTAAATATTTATTTGCAAATATCGATACAACTAATATTTTTTAGGGCTCTGTGACGGGTCTGGTATGCGGTATTACGTTTGCTTTAGTGATGGCTTTTGGTAATAAACCAGCTCCCAAAACTTTACCACGTACCACTGAGGGTTGTGATGATATTGTTAGTGCGATAAATTCCACCATCTCGTCGACGCAAGTCGATGATAGGTGAGTCGAATGTCTCCAAAAAGAAAAGATTTTCGTTGTAAAAGTGTAGCAATATAATTAAACCATATGGTACCATAAATTCTATGCTGATAGAGCATCGAGGCTTATGGTTTTTTATTTTTGAGTTGAACGTTCAACTAGTGCGTTGAAATTTGGAAAAAAAACTTTTAAGAGTGCTAATGTTATTAGTTTTGGACCATCTGCTAGATGTCACCTAATAAGAATGCATGTTCTTGCCATTTTTGCAATTGCATGAAGCCGATGCTCCTTGGTATGAATGTTGGTCAGCATTTATTTCTTTAGCCTTTTATTTAAACAACATAGTAGTGTGTAGTTGTTACGATGTCAATTGGAACCTGTAAATCTTAAAGCACATGACTGTATGCACTTCTCCTGAAATTTCTTCTTATGCTTTAACCTTGATGTGTCTCGTAATATATACTCGAATAGCAATTCGGCGAGTCCGGTATTGGTAAACTAGTCCGCCTGATATAGAATTGACGCGGCGGCGCGCTGGTCATCAGAGCAAACCTGTATTGGTCCACTAGGTCGTAAATAAATTTTTTGTATGGTACACGGGTTAGCTTTGTCGCTTTGCCACGATTGGATGGGCCGAGAACCGACCTGCCCACCTTGCGGTATGAGCCCATTGCAGAGCATTGCTTGGCGGGGTATGTTGTTGGTATAATACGTATTATTATTTATTAGTTGATATTATTATTTGTTTATATCGTAACCAGTAAAGGGTAATAGTTATTAAAATAAATGTTATATGTAACTATCTATAATTTAGCGTGATTTTCTGGAGACTCTTTGAAGCGGAGGATAACGAAATAACTTGGGAAAATCTCCAAATAGTGGAACCGGTTTTTGTCGAAAGTACCGTGAACTGGGGCTACTTTGATAATTGCGGGGCAAATTTGATAACATATGTCCTAACTTTTAAATTCTTAAATTACTGCGCAAGCACAAATTTCTTGGCGCGTTTGAACACATCATATGTTTTTCAAATGTCACACGTTTACGAGAGTGTAAGTCTTTTGTAGCGTTTTGCCGCGGTTCTTGTACTATAAGGTAAGAAAGTTTACTTTTAACGTTTATGTATTTTACGAAACCTCAGAAATTTTTGGTACACAGCTAAAGGGTTTTATTTTGGATCAATTTTCATTATTTTATATGAAATCTTGTTTACCTGGGATGTAAATATCATTTTTAAATTTATTTTAAAATCATAATCAGACCTTTCAGCTTTTCAAATGCTTCGTGGGGTAACTTTGATCGCCTGATATGGGGCAACTTTGATTTGATTTTTTGATTTAATTGAAAATTTTGTAGAGGTGTAAAGTGCCAATTTTTTATTCTTGCCGTTTTGCTATCGATGTTTCTAACAAAGCATGAAAATTAATGCCTAGTTTAAGTTTATTTAATGTCTAGTTTAAGTTTATTTTGTTCTTTTTGAGTCTGCTTCCATACCGATAATTCCTATGTGTGTTCAAAGCAAATTAATGTTTATTTAGATATTTTTCTAATCGAAAATATACATTATTAAGATAAAAGCGTATTTATTTCTTAATTTCTGGTTGGTTTTTACACAAATATGTTATTTTTGGGTTAGTTATTAATATATTTTTTATTTTTTATTAATTTGGACGGGGTTTCATTGAGTTTAAGAGCAAAATTTATCATTTATCAAAGTTGCCCCAAATCCAGTAAAACTTTGATCAGGCCTAAATTATTTTTTTCTGATTTTTGTGAAAGTTTATTGAATGCCTAATGAGTGCTAAGATTTAACATATAACTGTATATATACTTCCCTTTTTTTTTTGTTTCAAAATATCTCAACTCTTTAGTGAACTACAGTGAAAAATTAAAAATTTAGTGATCAAAGAAGCCCCAGTTCACGGTATCGAAACAAACTCAGAATTTAAAAACAAAGATTTAAAAATATATGAATGTTTGAAAATTGAAAATAGTGAACAATGTGATAAAAAAGTTAGGAAACGGATTAAGGAATTAACTAAGATATCCAAAGAAGGCCAATTTATCGCGTAACTAAAGAAGGATTTATCACGGTACAAAGAGGAAACGGAAAAATACAAAATTAAAGAAAATTGACGATTTTACCAGATGTAATGTGGCGCACAATTTATAATATGTATAAAGAAAATAAAGTTCCTACTCGAGATAAATTAAACGATTATCCTGATTATAATTATAATTCTTTAGATATTTTACGACATGCTTTATTACAATGCGATTTTAAACATAAAAAACTTGACAATCGTATAGTAATTATATGGTAACATAGCTCGGAATACAGTATATCTAGACGAGACAGGGCTAAATTTTTCTGGACGTCTATGGATTCCGTAGAATTTATGAATTAAATGTTTTTTACGGTTCCAATTGAGATCGTAACAACTATAACTATAATTGCGCTATAATAATTATTTGGTTTCACTATAAACACAACCTATATTTATATTTCTACAGAAACTTTCCAAAGCTCTCAGTTTCTAGGTTATTGTCTGTCACTTATCCTTCCATTTTTTCTTCCAGCGAGTATTTCTGGTTGTTCAGAGTGTCGTACTTGTACAACGGCGTATTCGGCCTCTTGATCACGACGATATTAGGTTACGCCGTAAGCTTCGTGACCAGGAAGATGGATGGCAGAAGGGTCGAGGATGAAAACTACGACCCAGACTTATTCATTCCGATCATAGCGAAGAAGTTGCCTGCCTCAGAAGCGCCAGTAAACCTGACGAGCCTGACTGAGTTGTCCGCTTCTGACGAGGACCTGAGAAACGGCGTGAAATCGAAGAGGAAGTATTAACGAACCGATAGATGTCGCTTAGATCAATTGCCTTAAAACTTAATAGATAAATTTTTTTAAGTTTTGATTATTTATTTTAGAAGTAGGGTCGAAAAGGTAATTATTTTACTTATAGGTTGTTTGCAAGGTTTTGTATTGTATGAGAACATACAAGGCGTTTTCTATTGTAAGTACAAACGTATAATTTGAATAGAATAATTTTTGTAAAAGAGATGTTTATTAATTGTTAACTGTTTTATATTTCCCTGCAAATTGCGTCTTCCATTATATTTTTAAAATATACCGTAAACATAAATAACATTTTTAGTTTTTACTTTAGTCTTAGGACGAGGTTAAAGCGCAAGATTTTTTTTTATAAATTATAATGAAATAAAAATTAGAAGAAATATATTTTATTTAAAAAATGCACAATATAAAATAAATATTTACAATTTGTACTTTTTATACAGTCAGTGAGAGGTAATTAGTATTTTATACCTAACATGCTACCTACTGTATTATAACATTTTTTTTAACTTAAATAAATCGTTTCTGGACAATGTAAAAACGTAATACCATCTGGATTAATGATTACATAATACAGAGTGATTCATAAACGGTGACCAAAAATGAAACCTCGTATTCTTTCGTGAATTTTAAGAGATGTCTTTCGTATAAAGTTTTTATCTAGGACACTTCGTTAAAAAGATACAGGGTGTTAAACATAAAGAAATATTTTTATTTTTTTAAATAATTTTAAAACTAAGTGAAACAATTTGAAATTGGGCACATGTAAACATTGTCTAAAATCTGAGACCTTTTCCTAAAATTTAGATGCTCCAGTGTCGGTATAAGTGGTATATTTTTCTAAATAAAATAGTACGACACTGCTTTACGGTAACAGTCATGATATTTTCGGATTCATCTTTCAATTTTCTACAAATTCCTATTCTCTTATGTTTTTCGAAAAAAGTCTGATTTTCGAGTAAAACTTAAAAAACAAACTGAAAACACTTCGATATTGGAATAAAATGCGGTTAAAATTACATACTAGGCTGCGATAGCAACTTTGACGTTCTGAGCAGTTAGAAGAAATAATAAATAATGCTCTTCATCAGATTCAAGCAACAATAAATTTCGAACAAATTTCATTTTCGTTACTAAAAATATGTCGCGCCTGTGTTTGTGGAAATGGATGTATTTTTGAGCATTTACTCAAATACTAGTGTTATTAATTTCTTCATTCGAATAAATAACCAAATGATTAGTGTCATGTCATTTAAGTAATAGTGTTTACAGTTCGTTTTTTAAGTTTTACTCGAAAATCAGGCTTTTTTCGAAAAACATAGAGGAGTAATTTGTAGAAAATTAATGAATCCGAAAATATCATTATTTTTACCGTAAAGAAGTGGCGTACTAATTTATTTAGAAAAATATGCCACCGATACCCTGTATCTCTGCCACTGGATCAAGTAAATTTTTGGAAAAGACCTCAGATTTTGGATAATGTTTACATAAATAATGTGCCCCATTAAATATATTTCACTCACTAGTTTTTAAATTATTTAAAAAAATTTAAACATTTTTTGAAGTATAACACCCTGTATCTTTTTAACGAAGCGCTCTATATAAAAAATTTATAGGAAATACTCCCTCTTAAAATTCACCAAAGAATACGAGGTTTCATTTTGGTCACCGTTTGTAAATCACCCTGTATATATAAAAAAATAAACAACTGGTCAAAAAAGAAATTGGGAAGAATCCCTCTTGGGAAGAAGAGTTTAAAAGTAAGATTTAATAATAAAATAATTAGATATCAAAACAAAAAACAAACAAGAATAGAAAAAGCTTTTAGATGATATATGTATAAATATACAGGGTCAAAAACCTTTGTGAGGGTCAGCTATTATGTATTTACGCATATATAAATTAGTATTATCGAGATTAATTGAAGTCACAGCTTTTTAGAGGAATACTCAGTGGCGGCTCCTGAAGGAAAAATTTAGATACAAATATTTGAAAAAAAAATTAAATATAATTAGGCAGTTTTATTTTAAATACTATTGACATAAAGAGGAAATAGATTCAACATTACTTTTTATAGTGAAGTCCATTCGTCTGCTTTTGTCTAAAACGAACTTTTTAATTAATGTTGCCATTAAAGTTTGTTATTTCTCGCACCATTGTTGTTTCAATTACTGTTAATCTGTCTTTACAATTAATTTAAAATTTTACAATATTTAAGAAAACACAAGAAGCAATTACGTAGGTACGAAAATTTTACCGCATACGTAAAAAATTACGTTTAATAATAAAATAAGCCGTGAATAATTAGGTACTATTTGGTTACGGCCGTACTAAACAGTGCCCAAACTGCATAGTAAATATGCGCTACTTCCACTCCGACTTTCGCGTTGGTAACCATGACCACCGCTGTAAACACTGCAGATGTAGGAGCTTGCTACGCGGAGCCCAAGTATTCAGAGATTTTCAAACGAATTTTGCAAGTCGAGTTAAATTGACTATATATTGCAAATTTAAAGCCCGCCCTCTTAAATTCTTGTCTACGCCATTTTTGAGTGCGCTTATCAGTGTTGCCTATTGGATTTAAACTAACTATTTGAAACCAATGGAGTGGCAGAGAGCGAAATAACGTATTGCTTTTCTATGACTTTGCGACATGTTCTTTTAAAGTTACAGAACATAAAAAAAATTTCGAGTTTTTTTTTAAATAATAGTTTTTTGCATGATTGATTAAATATTAACTAATATTCGTATGTGAATAGGCATACTTGACTAATTGTAAGTAAAATTAATTTATATCTATAAATAATTATTTTTGATGTTTTTTAATATGTACACAATAATAAATTTATATATAAAAAAAATTACCAATTTGATAAATTTGCAATATTTTAAAAGAATATATTAAGTTGTTAATAAAAATGTAGGTATTTATAACCATTTTTGTAAAGCATGAACATCGGCCTAGTTTAGGTGAACAACGTAATATTATTCCACCTGATGAGATACGACAACAGAGCGCTAACAACGTTAATTTGGCGAAACAAAAATGGCCAAATAGATTACTACTTCATTTCATTACATTTGAACGGTGTATTTGTATGTCTTCTGTGTGAGGAATACGATATTTGACAACAATACATGCAGTGTAGATCCCAAATGTTGTTTGAAGTTACACTAGCTACTCTAGTCCCGGGGTACGAAAATTATATCTTAGAAAAGGTAAAAAATAATCAGTTTTCACTAATGATATGCGTTTGTAAAAGTTAAACATAGGCGGGTATGTAGAATATAAAAAAATAGCAATTTTAATACCTAAATATTTAGGTTTTTTTGTTTCTATTATTATTCTCATCGCGATCTAAGACGGTGCTGATATCTTCCTAATCTTCGACTTAACCTGCTCGTTAAAGATATTCTGCTTCTTCTCCCGATCAAATAGGTCAAGATTAATCGTGAATGCTTCTTTAACCACACTTCTCTTTGTGTCTGTACCACTATTATCCTTAAGTGGTATATTCAACCAATCCTTCACTCGATTTGGCAAAGAAATGAATAAACTTCTTACAGGCGGCGATAGAAGATCACCGTCAACGTCTTTATAGTTCGTAGGACCAGTTGCAAGAGATCCCAACACCCCTAGGATGAAAGTTATCAGAAAACCTATCGCAGAGTACCAGATGTAGGAAATTCGAAAGATAAAATATACTGGTTCTGACCTAAAAACGAATATTTGAATATTTCCGCAAGTATCATTCATAGAGTCGTATCTTTATGCTTATACTTACACATTGGAAACTTCAGTAACTGTTTGATCATAACAGGGACATTTTTCGGTGCTCATAGGTTTGGTATCATCCTTCATAGTGCCGTTGGCAATGGAAATTTGTTGGCCAATGCACATTAGTGTCACAAGAGCTACAGCTACTAGGCTTCCAAAGATGGCACCCTATGGAAAGTAACAAGATAGTAGGGCGGGAGTATGGTTTAAGAAAGAAGTACTGACCCTTGAATTAGCCCACGGAAAAAACATTCCTAACGAGAATAATCCTAAAGTTACTCCACCAGCTATTCCATTGAAGCTTATAGCTACCTGCATCACACTGCCCAATTGAGCGACGATAAACACCTAAAAGTTAATTGAAAAAAACCTATAATGTTTATGTACCACAAATAGTTATTTACACCATAAAGGGGGTAAGTATTATTTACCAGTCGAGGATAATTTTGCGCTTTGACATTCGAAATCTTGCATAGTTGCCTTGGTTGTTTGGATTTTGTCGCTTCTAAGGAGTTTATAAACAAAACTACATACAAGATACAATTTTGCTGGTTTTGAATTATTATTTCTAAATGAGTGATTTTCAAATAGAAAGTGTAGCAAATTCTGCCTTCGAATATTTATTGCCCGAGAAGTCGAAAGTGCGCTACAGACGAGCATATAGAAATTTCAAAGAATGGAATACTCAATGATTAAGACAACTATTTTCATAGAGGAAAACGTGGATATATCAAAATATCCCAAGCTGAGAGCATTTTTGAAACGTAAGAATGACGACTATACACCTAAAAAGTCAAACTGTCTCATCCGGCTCGAAGGACCATGAAATGTCTCATCCGGCTCGAAGGACCATGAAATGTCTCTTGTTTCGGAGATCTTGGAAATAAAACTGTTGTTTTTACAAAAGAAGTCGACGATTTTCTCGTTCAGGCACCCGATAAAACATATGTATTCGCTAATGAACGTAGTGACGGTCTTGCAGGAGTATAACCTTCTGATGAGTAATGCAAACTTACTTTGTACATCAATTTAAAAAGTTTCGATCATATTATTGTAGTTACAATTCCAGATTCTAAAAATGATATGTCAGTACGTTTAACAATTACTTCTCGTTTGGGTTCTGTTTATCACCCAGAAATTCTTAAGAAATATATCAAGATTACTTTGGAAATTAAAACTGAAATTTCACGCTTTTCTATCTAAGATTCCTAATAAGATTGCACAGTTTTTGAAACTAGAACATCCTGAAACATATACAGGCCATTCATTCCGAAGAACATCGGCAACGTTACTGGCTAATACAGGAGTTGATGTATTAGCAGTCAAGAGGCATGGTGGGTGGAAATCAGCCACAACTGCAGAAAGTTATGTTGCTGACAGTTTAAGTAACAAAAATGAAATAACCACTACTACTAATCCCAACAAATTAGTAGTACAGATTTTACTACAATAATTATTGTATTTCTGCTCTTAACAGACGTATCAGCTACGTACCAAGCCAAAGCTGATAGCTCCATAAGCTATCGACAACACTTTTGCAACCAGAGCTCCTTTCCTGTCAGGCAAATGCACACCAAAAGCAGTCCCGAGGAAATCCTGCATCGTAACAGCTGCCAAACTGTTCAGAGCTGACGCGACAGTTCTGAATTATAAAACCTAGTGTTAATAATTAATTAAAAAACTTTCTAATATTCAACGTACCCCAAACTAGCAGCGAACATACCAGCGACAAAGAAACCTGTCAGTCCCTTGAAATGCCCCATGATGGTAATGATGTACAATGGAAGTATTTCATCGGAAGCGTTTATCTCTTTGGAGGTGATGGGGTCGCAGGTTTTGTAGTGGGCTACCAGTATCATACCAGTGTAGAAGTTGATGGTATAGATAAGGATAAGACCCCCGCAAGATACCCACAGAGCCCTTGAATGAAAATATGTTATTTGGTGTTTGAAATAAAGTTATTTTAGATTCGTACTTTCTTACTTGGGAGATTCGCTCAACCGAAAGGTATTTTTGAATGGAGGCTTGATTGGAGCAAAACATGGTCATCCAATAAAAGGTCCCACCCACCACTACCGACCAAAAACTGTGGCGGATGGTTAGGCTTGGATTAAAACTGAAATCGGAAGGTAGATTAACAAAGTATGAAATTTACGATTTTTCTGTCAAAATGTAGTTACTATACTTACTTGAATAGTTCTAATCTGTCAGTATAGTAGCTTTGGGACCAGATTACGCCTTGATTTCCAAGAAATTGTTCGCCAAGGTACATTATCAACAGGATAGAACCCAGCAGAACGGCAGCTTGAAACGTATCAGCTATGATTACTGCTTTCATACCACCCTGACGCGTCATGGAAAACAAAACTTTTATTAGACAAGTGTTTCCAAAATATACCGCCAAAGCAGAAGGCAGGAAATGTCTCTGTAAACAGAAAATTTCCGATAAACAGTGTTTTGAAAATGCATGATAAAATGCACTGCCAAAAACACATTTTTTAAATTACTTCAAAATGGATGATCAAACTTATCACAGTTCCTTGGATTATTGTCAACTGCATTCATTTCTTAGCCGAGTAGTTTTCATTTCTTTCACAGTGGCAGAGATGCGCTGCTTTTTGTAAATAAAAATTTATTTGTGGAATTTTCAGTAAACAATAAGCACGTTTTTATGTATGAGCATCTTAAAAGACATAAAAAAGTGCTAAATATCGATAATTGTTTTCAAGAACATAAGCAATAAACATTTTAATGTATTTTGAAAAATGAATTTCTTTAAATCAGTCAATAGATTGCTTTCAAATTTTACTTAATTCCAGTTGAAATAAACAAATTAGTAAGAAAATTGAAAAAGAAGTGCATTTTTTTTAAATTGATATAATGTACCAGTAAAGCTTAAAAGCACTTTTAATTATCGAAATCCGTGAAATTTCATTGCCGAATTTCTCGGAAACAGAAACCATGCGGATTTTGTGTCATAGTTAGTTAAACCCTCGCTGCGTGGTGTGAGTATTCGGAAAACATAATGTTGCGGAGCTTGACTGATGAATAAATACAATGGAGATTTCTGTACAAATGAAATATTTTTTGAAAAAATATCCTTATTATAAATCAATCTATTTGCCCAAATCATATAAATCTTTCTAATATTGCAACTTTTTATATTTTAATTTTTTTAAATTATTTCAATTTTACCACACTATTTTCATCATAGAAAACTTTCTACTTAAAATGACATTTCCTGTCTATTGTTTCAGTTGAAATATATCTTAAAAACACTCCGCGAATTTAGAATAACTATATTTTAATAAACACTGCTTTAAAATCTCGTTTAAATTGTTACACACTTACCTGAGATGCATAAAATATGCATACTGCATACACAGCAGTTACAGCCAAATAGACATTTAATCCAGTAACTGAAAATAAATAAATAAATAAATAAATTTCATGACATTTGTTCGGTAACGAATAAACATGTATGTATACAGGGTGTTAATTAAGTATGTACAATAAATTCAACAGACGATTATTTGAGTGATTTTAAGATAAAAAGTTCGTATAAACATTGGTTTTTTGGTATAGGAAGTTTTTAAATATGTCACTGTTGCTAATATTTTACTATCTGCTTGAGGTCGCTAGCCATTACCTCTCCAAGTGACATTTTATCCCTTAATTTTTTTGATGCTAAGTTTTTTACCGCATATGTCGTATTTTATTATACAAAATTTCATTTATACATAAAAGAGGTACTCTCTAATTTGACTGTCCCAAACTCAACAAACTTTTATATTTCAATGTACAGGGTGTTCTTAAACGAATGACCATTCTTCAAAGGTAGCTTCTTTAGATTAAAATGAAAATATTTCTATTAATTTTACTTACCTTGGTGCAATTTTGTTTCATTAAAAAGTTATGTCTTTAAAGGTTTGAAATTAAAAAAAATCGAAAGCCTGTAACTTTTTAAAGATCAGTTTTCTAACGCTTACCGCTACTAAGGGCCAACGCAGGAGCATACACAGCAACACTAGTGTACAGGACCATTTGAAAGATGTACAAACCGCTAGCCAGATACCTTGTCTTCGGACTGAATCGCATGGATAAGTATTCGTATGAACTTGTCAACCTCAAATTCATGAAGACGGGTAAGTACAGCTTAGACGTTAAGGGCACCACCAGGATAAAGGGGATGCAGATCATCCAGAACTGAGAACCATGTGTGTACATCTCAGCGGGGTTGCCAAGCAATTCCACCGCGGTAACAAAACTGAAAAATATTGCGTTAAAAGTCAGTGGATTCACCTTTATTTTTTCACAGGGAATTACCCCATGAATTTTTCCACTTATTTACATATACCCTGTATATTTCTAAGTGTTCATTCAAATATATTTTGTCAAGTTTTTCCATGCACTAGTATTTTAAGAAAGGTGTTTAAGTAATTAGATTAAATAATATTCTGTCTCTGTGTATTCCACTTTATTTAGGTATATTCCAGTAGCGGCTCGTGACTTTGTGAATAGCTGAGGTTCGTGGCTTTTTTACCTGGTGGGCAAGAAAGAAAAGAAAAAGTGCCGCAGGAAAAACAATTTAAATTTTCAAGGTCAATAAACCAAATGCATCTGGAAATTTTTAGTTGCACTTACAATTTTATAGAAAAACTGATGTTCGCGAACAGGATTTTCATTAAGATTTTATAAAAAATAATAAGCAACTATTTGGATATTTTATTAATCCGCTCTCAAATAAAAAATAGGAATAAATTTCCACGTCATTTTTATTATAGAGATCTTCGACAATAGCCCTACTATAACCGTAAATTAAAAAATTATGTTATTAATAATAATATCAGAACTTTAAAAAATGTATTTACAATAAAATTAAGTAACAGAAAACATACAGTGATATATTTACCTAATAACATAGCCACACACAAAAAAAATTTTCTGTACTTTTCATGCGACATATTATATCCGTAGTATTTTTAGCTCCTGATCACGAATCCGGTGTCAGAATTGATCTATCACATCACAGGAATTTTCTAACCTCAAAAAACAGGTCAAAAATAGGAAAAATTTACAAAAAAGTCCTAGGAAAAATACAAAAAATATTTTCTTCTATATTCAAATGTTCATTATTTTACGGAGGTTTTCGGGGTCGCTGATCACGGATCCGAGGTCAATTTTGCAAAATTCCAGATGGCGGTTTCAAGATGGCCGATTAAATTTTCAAAAAATAACACATTCGCGCCAACTTTGGTATACGGAGGTTTTCGGGGTAATTGAATACGAATCCGAGATCAGAATTACAAAATTCGTTTTTAAAAATTTAATCAATTACCCATGTACTTTATTACCTGAAATTAGGCAAAAAACTCGTGAATAGATCTTTTACAGAAAAATATAGCCGAAGTAAAGAAGGTTAAAACATGATTGGGTACCTACTCGGGTTATAAAGGAAACAATAATATTGCAAAATGAATGTCGCAATTCTGACCTCGAATTCGTAATCAGCGACCCTAAAAACCCTCGTGTACCAAATTTGACTCGAATGTGTTATTTTTTGAAAATTTGGTCGACCATCTTGGATCCGCCATTTTGAATTTTGCTAAATTGACCTCGGATCCGTGATCAGCAATCCCGAAAACTCCCGTATATCAAATTTGGCGCGAATCTGTTATTTTTTTAAACACGTTTGGATTTTGAAGTAATAAAAACAAATTCGTAGTCGAAGGACAATCTAGGAACGGTACAAAATTATAAACTTTACACGCTAATTTACACTCAATTTACACGCACATTTTTACACGCTAATGTATTTAAAATAAACCCTTGCGTCAAAAGCATCGGCCAAGGGTTGTTTTTATGAAAGTAGTTTTACCTAACCAAAAATTTCACACTGAAAAAAGCAAGACAATAAAAAGTACAAAATACATATCACTATACAATATACATAGGATATGTATGCCGTCGTCGACGATTCGAAAATCAATTTTCGTTCAATCCAATATACCGGGTTTTAAATTGTTGAAGTGACAAAGGGGAGAATCCGCTCAGTAAAATATGTAAAAAGTTCATATTATAAGCATGGGTCCGCAAGTGCTTCGTTTCCGATATACAGGGTGTTAATTTTTTTAAAAATTACATTAAAAAAAGCGCTTTTGCCGATTTGAATGAAATTTTTATGTTTATTAAAACAATTATCATACATCAACTGGACCAATTAGATTTGATCCAGAATTTTCAGTGGCGTACCCAGCGAGCAAGTCGTTATTTTTTTGTAGACAGAAGAGACACAAATGTACTATTTTTAATGGGTTTAACTGATGAATATTACATGTAACCGCAAAAAACCTACAGGGAGATATTTTTTTCTACAAAAAAAACTTGCTCGCTGGGTACGCCCCTGAAAACTCTGGATCAAATCTAATTGGTCCAGTGGATGTACCTATGATAATTGTACCGTAAAAATTTCATTCAAATCGGCGTTTTTTTAAACTCAATTTAAAAAAGAATTAACACCCTGTATCTCAGAAACGAAGCACTTACGGACTTTTTTACATAGTATTCTGCAGAGCGGAATCTCTTCTAGGCTTTTGCCACTTCAACTCTGAAACACCCTGTATATGTAAAATATACAGTGATGTGTATTTCGTATTTTCTATTTATTTGCTTATTTCAATTGTGAGATTTTTGATTAGCAAAACCATTTTCATAAAAAATAACTCTTGTCTGATCGATTGGGCCCAAGGGTTTGTTTCATTAACGTTTTATTTTTTTCACGCTAAGAAAAATAGGAAAAATACACAAATAAATGTTTGTATTATATCTAGATGTGATTTGCGGAAAAATCTTGATGATAAACGTACTCACCTTGCTGCCAGTGACATGGCCATCGGAAACGTGCCCATAGTGCTGCCCCCAAGTAAAAAATCTTCGCTATTTTCGTGTTTGGGTCCGAAGAACCCATAAAAAATTCCAATTCCGCAGGAAACGACTAGCATCGTTGCAAGGACTATATAATCTACCCACGAAAAGGCGTTTCTGTTTCTGGTTTTTAACTGAGCATTTTCGCAAATTGCTGAAAAAAACAACAACAGGAAAAATATATAAAAATTAATTTAGTAATGGATTTTGCTTACATTCTTCCGTATTGGATATATTGAAATCTTGAGCAGATACTAAGTAATAATCGAAGTGAAAGAGACAAACTACCACTAAAATAACCATCAGTCTTGAATAAGGGATGTTCCCTTTAAAGGTAGCCATGCTAGAAGTGCACCTAAAAATAATACAATTGGTTAATAAAATTAGAAACATTATTAAAAAATGCTAATTTACCTATTTTCAGTTTGCATGAAATACTTCAAATGAGAACTTAAATCTTTTAAATGTCGTATCTTCAAAGAAGAGCTTACCAACTCTTTTTTGAGAAATAAGTAAGAAAGACACGAATTTTCGAAAGGTTACTAAAAAATAATCAACTTCCGGACCTAAGGTTTAATCTCACGAGCAAGTGTTAGATTTTATTTGATTTGAGAACATCGTTTTTTAAAAATATTCATTTATTCCAGTTCTAAAAATATTTTCCTTAAGAATTTTTGTATAAACACTACTTACTAAAATGCACAATTATGGTAGTGTAGAAAATATCTCGGAGTTAGTTTTAAACTGTATTTGGATGGTTGGAGGGACTTCTTTAATTCACTGACTGACGAAGGCAGTGCCACAAAACCACACTCAACAGTCATTAACAGTAGATCATACACTTAATAAAAATGGACTATCGTTTTCAACTGCAAGCTGCACAAATAAATACTTTTCTTAATTAGTCTTGGAAAATGGCTAGGAGGGGGAGCTTGTAGATGGGGAAGAACTACTTCAAGGGAATTTGGAAGTTGAAAGATTCCTAATTCCTCATATTTTTCTGATCAAAGCCTTTTAGTTACTACTTATTTATGAGTAGTAAAGTTATGCATATTTGCACAGTTTTTTATGAATATTTTCAATTAAATTTTACAACTTAGCTCTACAGGGTGTTTATTAAGTACTTGTACAAACTTTAAAGAGTGGATCTTTGACTAATTTTAAGATAAAAAGTTCATATTAAAAACCTGCCGCAACGGCTTGGTTCTTGAGATACAGAGGATGCAAAAAATTTTTTTTCTTTGGTATTTTGATTATGTTTGTTCAATAACATGGCAATTTGACGACATTTGGAAAACTGGGAATACTGATGATGAGTACCTCAAATATTTACTTAGTTTTTTATTTAATGTTAGAGGGCGCCACGTACATGTATTTAAATAACCATAATTTTTTTGTGTAGCACTGTATGTCATTTTTGACTAAACATACCTATTCCCCATTCAATTTTACGTAAAAACGGTACTCTTATTATCTGTCGCTGTTAAAGTTAAACCTGCGTTGGAATTTTTTAAGTTGAATCATTAAGAGTTTTTGAAAAATAAGTTTTTTTTTGTTTGTATCGCGATGTGACAAACTTAGATCATTTACAAGACTAAGACTAAACTACTTCTACAAATAAGTTAATAACATTTACAATAATTGCTGAGACAAAAAATTTTTTTGGACACTGTATCTCAAGAACTAAGCCGTTACAGACCTAAGTTCATATGAACATTTTATCTTCAAATTAATTAAAGATTCACCCTTTAAAGTTTGTACAAGTACTTAATAAACACCTTGTATAAGGTATTAACAAAAATCTTCATTATACAGGGTGATTCACAAATGGTGAAACCTCGTATTCTTTGGTGAATTTTAAGGGGAGTCTTTCCTATAAAGTTTTTATCTAGGACGCTCGTGATGTAACATAATCTCAAATACAGTTAAAAACCGTGTTTTTCACACTTTTAAGTTATGATATAAAACTTGACACTACAGAGAAATTCTGAGGAACAGATTCGGATTCAGCGCCTCAAAAACCATCGGACGAGTACAGTCAGAAAAATTCAGTTCAAATTGTATTAATTACTTAAAAACAGCGTTTCTTACCTACTTGTCGAACTGGTATTATGGCCGTAATGAATAAAAGTAAAATAAAATTGTCTCCTTATGTGTGACACTTTACCTTAGTATGTAGATATAACTTAAAAAAATTTCTCATTACGTAGTTTATATTAACAACAAGTGGCAATGGTTCAGGAATAACTCAAGGAACCATTAACGATGATATTCTAAAGTGTTACCGATAACATGAAATACCTACTTATATACAGAGTGTCCAAAATATACAAAATTACCTTATAGCATAGAAGGAAAACACCTTAAATGTTGTATAAATGAAATACACCATTAAATCAAATTAACCATACAAGACGAGTTGTTGTTACTGAGGACCTGTGGAAAAAAAATTAAAAAACGTTCTTCAAATGAACTAGGTACTAACTTTAACTAATTGAATATAAATCAATAAAATTCATACAAATCTATTCAGAAGTTGTATGGCTGCAATCTACTAATACGATATTAGTACAATTAGCTTAATTTTCTTGTTTTCTCAAAAAAAATCCATGAAGACAAATCTGGTGAAGGTCATAGCTAGTAGGATACATGGATCTCATACCATCAATCTGCAGATTTTTTTTAATTTGTTGAAACAGCACATCCTGTACGAGCTCATAGAATTGTTTGTACAGGGTTAGTCACTATAATCAGACAACTTATTGTGAGTTTATTTTTGAAATTACAAAAAAGTTGTTAATACAAAAGCTTTAGCTTTTTTTTGTGAATTTTTATAATACAGTATTAGAAAAAACAATTGAATAATGGAAATCACTCAATTAATTTTTTTTTTAATGGAATACTCTATATATTAGTGCATAGTTGACTTCGTTAAATTTTTATCTTTTCAAAAATATATAATATGTTACTGTTTGATTCAAGAATTTTCAACATATTTCAGTTTAAAACTATTTTTGAAGAAATAGGAAGAAAATTTAGGTCTGACGGATCCCAGTGGCTATGGACCAGGCACGCGGAACAAACAAATGACTTTGACAGAAGTTTCTTTATCATCATTAATTTATTTCCTACAACAAACTATTTTAACAAAGAAATAATGTTTAGTGAGAACGAAAAATTTGAAGCTATTCGTTTATTTCATGATAATAATAAAAATCATTCTAAACTTTAACAAGTCTTAATTTTTAACAGAATTTTAATATCTAATTAATAAAAACCAATAAAACACAAATGGTCATAGATGCTCAATGTGACCGCCATTATTATTGATGCACTTCGAATAATACTCATTAATTTTCAGAACTGCATTTAAAATTCACTTAAATTTTGTACTTTACACTAGTTTCCTTATAAACCTCGTTTTTAAGTAACCCCACAGAAAACTGTCCAAGGTGTAAGGTCTAGGCTAATTGAAGGCCATTGAATATTTCCTCCATTACCAATCCACAAATCAAACCTATTATTTAAATAATTTCGTACTGCTCTGGTTCTATGAGGAGGCTTGGTGCCGAAATAAATTGGTATAGTCGATCAGCGGCAAGTCTTCCAATTTGTTTTCTATTTGATTTTCAAGAAAATGCAGATATCTTTCCCCAGTCAAAGTACCTTATAAAACCCTATAAAATGACAGCTGTTGTAAANGCTCTGGTTCTATGAGGAGGCTTGGTGCCGAAATAAATTGGTATAGTCGATCAGCGGCAAGTCTTCCAATTTGTTTTCTATTTGATTTTCAAGAAAATGCAGATATCTTTCCCCAGTCAAAGTACCTTATAAAACCCTATAAAATGACAGCTGTTGTAAAAGTCGCTTCATCAGTCCATAAAATCTTTTCAAAATAGTTTAGGTCGCCATTTTTCAAGCGCAACATTTCTCTGAAGTACTGTAATCGCTGAATTTTTTTTATTTTGGGTGAGTTTTTGATCCGGCATAGTTTTATAGGGGCGGCATTTATATTTATGTAGGTAACGTTCTAATAATTTCAATTTGGCTTAGTTCTAACTACCTTGAAGCATTTACTGTGGACTCTTGTGACCTTTGAAGGAATCCTCCTTCCCTCCTGTTTTTTCAAAAATAGTTTTAAACTGAAATATTTCGAAAATACCTGAATCAAACAGTAACATATTATAAATTTTTGAAAAGAGAAAAATTGATAAAACTTTTCATTTTCTACATACCGTTCTTGAATTCAAAAAGGGACAATATTTTCATACCCTTTTATAATTTAGATGTTATCTGAATATGAAATACCTAGAAATATAGCTATTGGGTGTAAATATCTATTTCAACTCCTATGTTTTTTCGCTTTTACCAGGTCTACGTTATAATAACTATCAACAACACTGTGAATAAAATGTGAGGTTTGGTCATAGAAAAAGGTTTGGTAAGTGGGTATATTTTATTGAAAAGAGTATAGACATATAAATTCACAAAAAATAAAACTTACTTAAACAAGGCAACTTTTAGAATAATTTCACCCAAATGGACTGGTGGAAAAATGGGAACCTCTTAATAATTTTCTGATTTTATTCATGTTTAAAATTGGCTCGTCACAACCTACAACATAAATTGATTATTATTTAGCATTATTAGTAGGTGTAATAACGAATAAAGACATGCTCGATATAAAAATACTGGGAAAGTAAAGTGAAATAGGTACATAATAAGAAATTTTAATACTAGGTATTCTTTCTGTATCTGCAGTGAGAGAAGGAAAACAGGAAAGCTGTAATATGTAAACAAATCCATAAACAATCTATTTTATATTTCCAAAACAAGTTTTATGATTTGACCGCAAAATATATAACCTACTGTAGATATGAGGTATTTAAAAAGTAAGTACCTAGTGCAGTAAATTAGTTAAGTGGTTATTTTATGAACAGATAGTGAGTCACAATTGATTTTATTACACAAGTATTAATTAACTTCGAGGTATCGGAAATGATTTTATTACGAACCAGTTTAAATTAATCAAATACAATTAATTTAAAGACTTTTTAAATACTTCTGTAGCATGCTGTGTATATTATATTATTTTTCATATAATGTGCAGTGCAGTATACAGTGCACACAAAAAAAATATTAAATCAAGGATGGTATATTTATACCGTTCCAGTAAAATACCCTTAAGCTTTAAATACGACATACGAATTTTTAAATTTTTGTTGGATATGACAGTAAAATTATCAAAACTTACGCCATCACGTGTCCCCTTTGAAATGAAAATCGACGTCTTATTTTTTTTTAATTCCGATATTTTGCAGGTGGGAAGTTTTAACTGGAACACCTTGTATATACGCAAAGAAATATATTCTTGATACTAATATACCACAATTTAAACTAAATAAAGTTTCTTCAATTAAATGAACGTTTTCTTGATGGAAGAGATTTTACTTAGTTTAAAATTGTGGTATATTAGACAGTATTAAGAATATATTTCTATTAATATACCAATCTTGATTTAAGAATTTTTGTGCATGTGACTTGAAGATTGATGGATCTACATTGCCGTTCTAAATATGAATTAATATGCAGGATGTTCCATTTTATATAGTTCAATTTGTCGGGCTTTTTAGGAACATTCTTCTATTCAATAAGGTCATAAATACTTCTGATTTATAGCTACAACTCTCTTATATAGCATGTTTTTCTAAACTAATAAGAAAGTTAGTTAATCTCGAAAAATCCCATAAGATATTTGAATTTGACAGAACGTAGATAAATGTGCAAACCCAGAATATTATGTCAGCAAAACAATTGAACATCGATTTAAAAAGATATGGAAGAAAAATCAATTTTTGAAAAAAATGCGTTTAACTGGAATTGAATTTCATCAGTACTTATTTTTAACTAACACTGTATGTTTTGGTTGCATCAGATGGTTTTTTCAATAATGAATCCAGAAATATATAAAAGTCATACTTTTGATATTCTAACAAAATAAAAATTTTTACGTTTAAGACAGTTTTATAAATTTAGAAAAAACAATAATTAATTGTTAGATGTAAGATATTACATACCTAAAAGATGCATATTATGTTTTCTTTAAATATTAATTGTTTTAGTTTTGTATAAATATTTCTATTTTTTTCAAATATTAGCATATTATCTCTCTAACTATGGAAACAAACAGAAACAAACAAATTTAAATTGTTGCAATAATAATTAAAACGAAAAATCAGTACTTATAAGTTCAGAAGATGAAAACAGATAGATTTTCGAAACGTTTGCAACATTTTGAAATGGGCGATATATAGTGATGTGTTTTTCCTATTTTGGTAGGTATTTGCCTGCTTTTTTCAGTGTAAGTTTTTTATAAAAATACCCCTTGACTGCTCCTTTTGGCACAAGGGTTTATTGACCAATTTTTTAAATATTTTCCCAAGTACAAAATACCCAAAAAAAAAAAGATAATAGAATCTAATTTTAATTTATAAATGTTAAAATTCAAAATATATTTTAGGGTCAACATTTCTTAAATTTATGATTTTATAATTAAACAATTACATATTCTCATAAAAATTTGTATTTTCATTACCAGATCTCATTTGTTGATAACATAACCTCGAAATTAACAATTTGGAAGAATTGTGGTACGTTCTTTTGGATCCTGGATGAAGATGGTGTCCCATTTTGTTTTATTATTGTGATTGTCGCATCCTTAAACAGAGTCCACTTCTCATAACAACTAACAACTCATTTCGAGAAGAGTTCCTTTTTAAACCTGCAAAAATTAAAAGTTTAGATTACTTCAAATTATCAGTTTAGAGAAGGTATAACTAAAATACTTGGCCAAATTGTAATGACGGATTCTGCATCACAAATTAAAAAAAGTTAAAGAAAACGCTCCGTGTAAAAAAAAAATTATTCAAAAACTATTTTTTTTAAATCTAGTATGCTTTTAATTTTTGATTATTCAAAAATGTATGTGCACGGTAAAGTTTTTTTACACACAGGGAAGTAGCTTCGGGGGTGGATGTAGGCATTTTCGCTCTTATTTTTTTTCCAAGCTGCTTCAAATGTAACTCGCTTTTATGAAAAACTATTAATGGCTTTACCAAATGCTCCATGTTGCTGGAATATACCATTTTCAAGAAAAGTAATATACTATTAGGCCAAATCTAAATAATTATTGCTAAAAGTGTCAAAATATAAGATTATTATTCAAATAATCTAGTTAACTACGAATGAAATAAAATATTACTTATATAACTTCCCTCAACTGTGTTTTGTAACTTTTAAATCAACTATGTTTTCAATAAATTATTATCACATATCCAGAGAATGAATGAAATTGTATGGTTAGGAACTTTTTCTATTAATTTGGTTAAATATCCTACTTACACTGCATAAATGAACAAAAATTACAGTTAACGGTACATATTTTGTACAGATCAGAGTTGACATGAATATTAAGTAACTAGTCTAAAAACATTAAAAACAATAACAGCTTTTTTATTTTCTACTACTAGTGGAAATAAATAAAAATTACTACTTACTAGGTGTATATTTTTTCAGTTAAGGCTAACGTTTTATAAACAAGAAATTGCATATTTAGTAAGACAATGATAGAACAAGCAGTAACATATTTTTTTTTTTTTCATAAATAAACCTGTATAATAGATTTGAAGGAAATGGTTCACATTCTACTCTATCAATAGTGGTTTTTAAACAATAAGTTAAATTAATATGAAATTCATTCAAATTTAAAAGCGTCCCCGCATCCATGACTTCTAAATTGATCCCAATGAACGTTTGGAGCTGAGCAATTAAACATGTTATGTTATTGCTGGTAATACTTATAATAATCAGCTTTTTGGTTCTATCTAGTTTACACCAAGTCCGTATAGGTTATTTCTAGATATCCATTTACATTTTACAAACGTCTAACACGAAACCGCTTCCTTATCAGGAATTATGGGTAGAATTAATATTGTTATACAGGGTGTCTCACATTTAAATAGCAGGACTTCAGGAATCAGTAGAAGACCTCATTTTGAGTCTAAAAGTTCCTATATATATATGGGTCCTAAAACGCTTCGTTTCTGAGATACAGGGCGTTCAATTTTATTTTTGTTTTATTTATTTATTTTTTAACTAAATAACCGCTGACAAAAAAAATCATCATGTTGCGGCGAAAGACTTAGTATTTAAGGGCAAATAATTTGACACAGAAAATCATCGCATATTAGTTCCAGTGGTGGAGATAGAGGGGTCTCTATGCATATTTTTATAAAAAAAAGTATAGCCGATTTGATATTTTGCAAATGTTTTCGAAAAATATGAAAGAGCATTCAATTTTACCCAGAAAAGACCCTCTTGTCCAAAGTCGATAGGAGGTGGCGTTTTCAAGAAAAACCGNAAATTTTTTTTTCGTCAATTTAAACGTTATTTACAGTAAAAATGCGAGAAAACCTTAAAAAAATTTAGTGTTTAATCTCAAAAAACATAACCCTTTAATTTTTTTCAAAACTGCAACAAAGATTAGATTCACAGGGTTCTTCTGGGTATATCGAACAGTAAAAGTCATGCTTTAACATTAGTCATTTCGCGAATACTTCTAATTTAGCCGTCAATTTTCTAAAAAACTATAAATTGCCCTTTTCGACATAGAATGGAGAAACTCAAAATAGGCCGATTACAGAAATAAAAATACGTTGCAGATTATTTTTTGTCAAAATGTCAAAAAAAAAATGTCAAATTTCCACACATATTTCTTTTTTGTCATTGACGCCAGAGGTACAGATCTTAAGAGTTGAGGACACTACACATATGTTGGATATAAATTAATTATATTTGTTTTTGAACAAGTGACTATTTTCATAAAACAAAAAATAAAAAAAAATCCAAGTTTATTTCTACTCCATTCGTGAAGAAAATGTAAGTCTGAAAAGCAAATTTAAATATCGAAAATACACATGTATAATTACATTTGCAAGGTTCAGCATTTTTTGAATAATTGCGGATAAAACTGAATATATATGCACATAGTTTGAAAGTAAATACATAATTACAATTCCAATATAAATACGTAGATATGATTTGATAAACAAGTTTTTACATTTCAATATGGAAATTTCCCGGACTCGCTTAAAATCCACAATCAAAAAAATCATTAAACTTAGACAGGTGATGCTTCCAGTGAAAAAAAGGTACTGGGTTGTGGTAGTAAATTTAAACCCAAAAAAATTATCACATAAAGGACATCAATTTATTTCTCTGCTTTGACGAACATTTCTTCTATAATTTACTGTAACATTTTTGATAAAGTAAAATGGGAATATTCCACAGATTTGATATTTTCTGGTACTTCTGGTTTTATCATTTCCACCCTATTTTATTTGCGTTTGGGTAGTTTATTGCATATTTTTGAAAAAAAGTATTAAGTATCGTTTTGAATGTTCATTTTGACATTTAATTTAAAATAATACTTCTACCTTTTTTCTTCTCATTCTTCCATGGCACCATATGCTTGGTCAAAAACTGAATAATTTCCATTTTCACAAAAATTCACCGAACTGTCTACTAGTTTTTCTACTGCCGTCAAAAGGTTTCACTTCACAATTTATCAACTTTGCAAACCGGGATAATTCCTTCGATGTCCTTTATGGACGGCATCGTACAAGAAATGCATGGGTTTCTCTTCCGAGAATCAAAGTGATGGCCGGGTCCAGTATTTTCCTGTTTATTGCCAGTAAATCTTGCGATATCGACATTTTATTGGACATTAGCAGAATCTGGGCACCAAGGAATCGCATGGAAGGCTAGTCCAGTATTTATGGTTGTCCCACTTTCTTTTTGGACGGATTTTATTAACCATTGCGTCACTATTGTAATCTTCATGTAAACGATTTATTAGAAGCAGTATTTGGCAGTTTCCATTATTTTTTTAAAATGAAAGTAACACTGATCCGCCATTTTTCGCTGCGGCTCCATGTAACATTTTTAAAAATTGCCATTTTATAAACGTTTTACAAATAGGGACTAAATATTCTAAAATTTCTAAACCGTCTTAATTTTCAAAGCAGTACAATTTATGAGGAAGTATACAGGGTGTTGCAGAAATGTGTACAAAAAATTTTAGGGTGATAAAACAAAAAAAAAAGTAAGTTTAATTTTTCCTGAGGATCAAACACGTATCGTCTCTTGTTTTTGAGATAGATGGGCATAAAAATGATTTTTTGATATTTAATTTCTGTCAAATCTCTTCCAAAAACAGTGTATTGAAACTTACGATTTAGATCAATTTACATCAGCATAATTTTGCTTCCTAAAATGTTGCAGGCCTATAAAAAAATGCACGTAACTTTTTAAAGAAGCTAAATTGCACCAAAGTTACTTGATATACAATCCGTATGATATTTGTTGCAATAGAATTCCAAGAAAAAAATAGTCCTACGAAGTTCTGTAACAATTTATCGCAGCAGCTGTGTGCCTTGAAATTTTCCGTCAATGTCTTTTCATCTCGGATGTCGAATGCGGTTAATTCCAAGAAGGTAACGCAGAGGTCTTCTTGGAATTCTATCTCAACAAATACCGTACGGACTATAAATAGGTTTATTGTCATACAAGGAAGCTGATGGAGTATCACACTCAGTACCCAGAGAAAGTGAATGTTTGGCCCGGAATAATAGATGATAGGATCATAAGGCTATTCTTTTTCGAAGGAACATTAACAGGTCATCGATATTTATATGACCACCTAGGTCTCCAGATTTAACTGCTATAGGTTTTTTTAAGGGAATACTTAAAAAGTAAAGTACCTATACCAAAATAGACCAAAAAATCTGGATGCATTCAGACGGAAATGACAAAAATAACTCCGGAAGTTTATAGACGAAGTTCGAGAAGAGTTTACTGCTCATCTTTCTCACTATATTATAGATCGATCGATAGCCGCACGGTTTAAGGCGTCAGTACTTAAATCGATGTGTCGATCTGACCGGGTTTCGAATCCCGCGGCCGGTAGACCGTAGATTAGCTATGCTTGTACGGAGGATTGGCACCCTCTGTGCAGGTATGGTAGGGTGGAAGAATGTTGGCTTGGGTCAATGTGAGAGATTGACACCGGTTGGCATTTGACCACCCCCCTAATTAATGAGGTTTTCCAGGTTTCCCTCATTCCTGCACTGAATGGTGGTTAGGGCCTACCAACATAAGTCGT